CTGTATATTATTACAGTGAGATGATCCTGGTGTAACAACAAAGATGTTGAATGCAGGTCTGTGATAGTGGATTGTCATCACATCACAGGATACCTGGTTTGACATCATTAAAGCTTTCCACTGCAGTGGTACATTCACTCTTACATACTCCAGGAAAACAAATCGTGTTTGTTGGCTTTGTTTGATGTGTTGTGGGTGGCAACCGTCCAGAAACATCAAGCCATAAAGTGAAGAGATCATAAAACACTGCTCTGGTTTGTAAATTAGGTTGTAGGTGACCACTGTGATAAGATGTTGTAAAAACATCACTCACTGGTTGTATGTATGTTTTCTTATTCAGCATACGGAATAAATATTTCATTATGTTTTATTATCTTTCCTATTTTTTGCTAAGAGTTAATATTTGTACCAATAGTGCTAAAATGTTCCAAAAGTGATAAAATAATGCTCAATATCCATATTCATGGTGGCATACCCAATATAAAATTGTTTTAAATGAATCAGGGGTGTGTTGCCTTTTTTTCGTGCCTGATTAGAATTTAGTTGTTATGACAAAATGTCACACAGATGTTTAATGGGAAGTGATGACATTTTATACTCATCATGTCCAAAAAACAGGAACAGACGGGGAGATTGTGAAAATATTTCACAGTTGGTCGGACACTGAATTGGTGACACTTTCGATTCAGAGGTCAAAGGTCATTGAGACCTCAAAATAGGTTTTTAGCCATAAATTCAGAATGAATTGACTGGGTTGACACAATGAGTAAGCAAGAACTAGCACAGTACAGGCTTTATAACAACTAAACTTTATACATTTTTATAATTCCTTCAATGTCTTCACCACATATCTGAAACTGGACACTGCAACTTGCCTGGTTGGCAAAGGCATACAACCATAGGTCAGTAATTCTACTTATATTTAGTATTTTAGGAATTATTAACCAGAAGAATTTAAAGTAGTACTTCTGTGTGTGAATGTGTAGCTGTGAAACACAAAGATACAGTGGTTCTCAACCTTTTTGGTGTCAAGAAGATATAGATGTAGTCTTAGACATTCCTGTCTTTGAGATTCTATAACTGTCTGTACTGTAGATTGGGCAGGTTAACAGTGAAGATTTGGAAAACAAACGATGAAATTAAAATATTCCCCATTTTTCATGGAACCCCCCACGAAGGAGACCTGTTGGTCCTTGGACACCAGGTTGAGAACCTCTGAATTAGTAGAGCAGGGGAAGAGAGTGAGAGGATCTCGCAGGTCTGATTTATAGACTTCTGAGCACAGCTTACTGCATCTCTGACCTCCTGAAACAAAAGAAAGGAGCATAGCACCAGCAAAGATAAGGCCAACCCTGGGCCCACAACAACCATGTACACTACTCCCCCTAAATATGAGGTGCAAAGCAAAACAGACTCATATAAAAACACTTGGTTGTATGACCAACCCACGTAATTATTAACTCCCTGAGTTGCTGCAATAGTGACTTTGGCCACACAATTACAGTGTTTTCTCCTTTGGTAAAGGTATCGGACAACAGACAGTCTGCAACTGCTGCGATCATGGGCGACAAGACACAGAAGCTCAACCTGAAGCGGGAAGTAGGGCTGATGGGAGCTGTGTCCCTCATAGGAGGGACAATGATTGGGTCTGGGATCTTCATGACCCCACAGACTGTGCTCTACTCCATCGGGAGCCCCGGAGCCAGCTTGGTGGTGTGGGCATGCTGTGGCTTACTGGTGATACTGGCGTCTTTCTGCTACGCTGAGCTGGGCACTGTTATAAGAGAATCAGGAGGGGAGTACATCTACATCCTCAGGACTTCAGGCCCGGTCGTCGCCTTCATGTTAATCTTCAGCTCTGTGTTATTTGTGAGACCTGCTGGTATTGCTGGCATGGCTCTGGGTTTTGCCCAGTATGTCGTGGCTCCTTTCTACTCAGACTGCCCCCCTCCAGTGGTGCAGGTGAAGTGCGTGGCTGCAGCTGCAATTGTGGTCCTAGCCATTGTGAACTGCCTCAACGTTCGCCTTTCGATGGCAGTCCAAGTGTTTTTTATGGCGGCCAAAGTTCTGGCCTTGGCGGTCATTATAATAGGAGGTGTGGTGATGCTTATCAGAGGGCACACGGAAAACTTTGAAGACTCTTTTGAGAACACAAATGTGGGCATCAATCCAATTGGTATTGCTTTCTACCAGGGACTATGGGCCTATGATGGCTGGAACAATCTGAATTATGTTACTGAAGAGTTGAAACGTCCAGAAGTAAGTAAAAAGGGTATATGGGGTTTTAGTGGAAAATGTTATTGCACTGAGTTATTTAGACCAAATAAGCTCCCCACCATCACCATAAAGAAAAAACTTGTAATGTTTTTCTACATAGGTGAAAACGGGGAATGCAATCCAATCAATGTTTGAACTTTTATCTCCAGAACCCACACACACACGTTCATACAGTATATGTCATGTTGGATATCTGTGAAACCATCAATGAGATAAGAACAGGGGAGTCTTTTAGTGTCATGATAACAAATCCTCTGTCTTTCCTGACCCCATGATTGTGGGGAAATTTAGACTTACTGGTGACCCACCTTCATAGTCACGTGTAAAGTGCCATCAAGCCAACTGCTATAGCCACACACTAAAAGTCAGATCACCCAGTCTATGTTTGTGCCTCAGTGACACTCTTAAGATCTATCCTTATTTTGATAACCTGCTCATCAGAGTGAAAAACTTAACCACCACCAAACCTAATAAATTAGACAAATGTCTTCATTGCTCAGCTATACCTTGATAATAATAATAAGATAATTGCTGAAATGTTACTATTCCCATTACTGCAAAATTGCAAAAGCTGGGAATAAAAAATTAACAAAAACATATAATACTGCTGGAAGTAATGAGCAAAGTCACAAAAACGAGTATGTCCCACCTTGTGTCAGTCCGACCCTCAGATGTCTGACAGTAAACTGTTAATCTGTAGCCAATTGTAAAGGACATGTCTAGTGTAGAAGAAAGTAGTTTAGTTTTATTTCCCTATCGGTTGTGTATCTTGATTTAAGTGTCTACTGTTCTAGCCATGTTAAGATAAACTATTTTACATTAATTGATCTCTGTTTGCAAAGCCTTTTATTGTGAGGAAAGCCCTGGTCACCCCTGTGAGGAATCACAACTTAGCTATCATACAAACCCAAGTTGTTCCAGAATCACAGCCTCGCTCCCATTTTGGCTTTTGTCAATACAATAGCAATGTACAAAAAACTAATCTTGTATGTAAATCCACTCAGAAAGACCTGGAAGTGAGTGAGAAGTGAGTCTCTCAAACCCTCCTCCTGGTGCTGACACAGAATGCACATCTTGGGTACTGGTAGTTTTGAATGTCTCTTCATTTCTTCATTGGCACCATTATAGGATGTGGGATTTTCTCCCCAGTATGTGCTATCCACTATTTGCAGCCCTGGGGCCAGCCTTATTATGTTGGCTTGCTGTGGGTTGATAGCCATGCTGGGGGAACTTAGCTATGTTGAACTAGGCACATGTCATACCAGCAGTTTTATGGTTTAATATGTTTTGGCCCCCGTTTACGGCTGTAGCCCTCCACAAGTGGTGGAGAAGTTGGTGGCTGCAGCAGCTATCATGGGACATCCAGGTGGTTTCCAGGGACACACTGAGAACTTTGAGAGCTCCTTTGAGGGAACAAATGTTGGTGTCAGCTCAACTGGCATTACCTTCTGTAAGGACTTGTGGTCCTATGGTGGGTGGAACACTTAACTGAGGAGGTGAAACATCCAGAATAAGTGTCTGTTTTCTTTTTTCACAATTAACTTTCATGCTCAATAGTCTCTCGCTTTACTATATAGATTACTGCAGTGCAGTCTGAGAAACACATAAAAAAGATTACCAGTGCATCTTAATCAGTCACTGTTTTGCCTTCTTCCCTGATTGAATTTTAAAAAGACTTACAGTGGTATTGCTATTTTTACTGAAGGATCTCAATACTTCTACCTTCACTGCCTGAACTGAACTGATACACTCTCTGTGGAGGAGGCAGATTTAAAGGAAGCCATACCCTCAAGGTACCAGGGGTGTATGACATTAACGCTGACATGCTAAAGCTATAAATATTGCTGGGCTGTCTTGGATAACACTTTTTAATGCCTAAAGGAGGGGACAGTGTCTGGCAGGTGTAACACTGCTCAGTCTTCACTAAAATAACAAGAAAGCTTATTCCAGGGTACTGGAAAACATTGTAAAGCTTCAGATTCTGGAGGGCCACTGCAGATTCTGTCCTGGCCACAGACTAGTGGAGCAGCTCTTTATTCTTGACAGTATTCTGTAGAGGTCGTGGGAGTTTAGCCTTTCAGTCTCCATGTGTTTTGTGGACATGGAGTGGGCTTACAACTGTGTCCTTTGGGGTGTCTTGAGTGGGGCACTGTAGGAATGCAAAGTGCCAGGGCCATTGCTACATTCCATCTGGTCCTCTGTAGTGAGAGCTGTTTCCATATTAATGGCAAGAAGGTAATGCATACCCTGTGGATGTTGAATTAAGTCATGCTTTTCCATTACCCCTGGTTCTGTTTGTTATTTACATGGACAGAATCTCTTGGCACAGTCACGAGGCAAATAGTGCCTGGTTCAGTGATCTCAGGATTGCATCTCTTCTTTTTGCAGATCATGTAGTTCTCCTGGCTTCATCAGGTGGTAATCTCTGAGCCGGGATGGAGTATAAGAGTAAGTTATTTCAAAGCGCTTCAGTCTCAAGCTTTCAAACACAGTTTTAGTCTGGACATTAATGGTATCAGTTTGAAGTGGCAGAATGTTTGAACTCATACTTCACATCAGTTGCAAACAGTCTGGTACAAGTACAGAGCTTTTATCCTCAACCTCTCTCTGAAGCCCGCCACATAGAAAAAGAGCCAAAAATGTTTGCATCATATTTGATACTGTACATCAGGCATTTATAGCAATTTATTGATACATTGCATTTGGAACATTTGAATGGGTTTTTTTTTTTCAAATAGGAACTGTTTTACAACTTTTTCATTTTGCCTTGTGGTAGGCCAAAAACCAGTTTGCTCAATATAACACAGATTATGATAGTCAAGGAATAATTTTAATGAAAATCAATGAGGAAAAGACAATTATTAGTAAGCGAGCCATTACAACCTTCAAGTGATTATTACGAGAGCAGGTTAAAAAAACATCCATTTCCACTCTAACGATATCTTAAAATGGCAATAAATTCTTTAATTAGTTTAATTTAATCATGAAATACAATGACAATTGAGGGATTTACAGGCAAATCACCTTTTATACCCACTGTATCATATTGACACACATTTTCACCACAATTTTGTCATAAAATAAAGTACAAAATATGAAGTAATTATAAGTTGCTTCAATACAGTAAATATGTATATTGAAATATTTGTATCAATATAGCGCAACGTAAAAAAATTTTTGCAAATCACTACATGAAGGCAACCATTTTGGATTTGGCACTCAAAAGGCCCGCCACTTTCTGCAGTGCACAAACAATCCACCAGAGGGCAGAAGACAGTCATGGTGATGACAGATCTCAGAACTCCCCCTTAACCTCTTAAAAATCATTAGCTTTTTAATTTCGTCATTGGAATTCCCAAATAAAAAAGGCTTGAAATAGAAGAACTGTTGGGCCAAAGAGCATGTATGACAACTAATTTGAAAGGCAACATGCTCTAGTTCGTGAAAACTTGCTCATTTAGTACGGGGCTAACACACAGCCTCCACTACATCTGCTTAAACATAAAGGAAACATTTATTTCTTTGGTTCTTGTCTTCAGTAAGTCAGTATTTGAGTCGCATTAATGAGGCCATGCTCAATGTTACAACTGTTACGACATACATCATGTCAACTACATCTGCGTAAAATATTAGACTTCTGGGCCAAACTTTATGGGAGCTAGTCTTTAGTGTCACTGGTGTCCCCAAACCTTAACCCTGATCCGGTGCACTGTGGATCTGGTGGATTTTAACAGGTTAAGAGACAAGAAGGCAATGATCAAAGTCAAACACCGCACCTTGGTTTTAGTGGCTATTGAAGAGTTAGCAGTTAATCTACAGACGGTTCAATGAAAACATGAGCACACATGCCTAGTGTGTCCTCCGAAAGCCTTTGAGGAAGCAGCAGTTATCGAACAATGGAGAGTGACAAACAGGGACTCAACCTGAAGAGGGAAGTTGGGATTATAGGAGCTGTGTCATTCATTGCTGGAACCATGATGGGATCTGGAATATTTGTATCCCCCCAGTATGTGCTATCCACTATTGGCAGCCCTGGGGCCAGCCTTGTTATATGGGCCTGCTGTGGGTTGATAGCCATGCTGGGGGGACTCTGCTATGCTGAACTGGGCACAGTCATACCGGAGTCTGGAGCAGAGTATATCTACATTCTGCGGACGGCAGGGAAAGTGGTGGCTTTCATGTTTGTCTTCAGCTTCATCATTGTCATGAGACCTGCCAGTGCCACAGGAATTGCTCTGAGCTTTGCTGAATATGTTGTGGCCCCCTTTTACAACGAGTGCACCCCTCCACAGCTGGTGGTGAAGTGCGTGGCTGCAGGAAGTATCATGGTGCTGGCCATTGTTAACTGTCTGAGCGTCCGCTTGGCCACCGCCATCCAGGTGGTTTCCATGGCAGTCAAAGTGCTGGCAATGGCAGTGATCATACTGGGAGGTGTTGTGATGCTTTTCCAGGGACACACTGAGAACTTTGATAACTCTTTTGAGGGAACAAATGTTGGTGTCAGTTCAATTGGCATTGCTTTTTATCAGGGCTTGTGGTCCTATGATGGCTGGAACACTCTGAATTATTTAACTGAAGAGCTGAAGGATCCCGAAGTAAGAGTTTCACTGTTTACTATTCAGAAATCATTATGTTCTTAGCAAACATTAAATTGAGAGATTATATTCTTTTTGTCAAGTATGTTTCATTGAGGAAGACTGTACATCTGCAATCAAGATCATGCATCCTTTTTGTCGTTCATTGTTTATTCATGTTTTTGGGCAATCAATCAGTCTGAACGAAACAAGAAATTCAAATTGCCCACTATCTTCCCTATCCCTATCTTCTCCCACTTATTAAAGATGATACATCCAATATCAACCTGTTATCTAAGTGTTTACAAGTCAAGTCATAAAATAATAAAGAAAATACTTAAGGTTTGAAAAAAAGCAAATTACACAAAGAGTGGAAGTGCTGAGGTTAGATAGTTTGAAAAACACAATAAAGCTGCCACTGCTGTGCGATACAACAATGATCATCTCCTGACAAGGAATTACATGACAAGTTAAAATGTAAGCTTAGAATCAAGATCAGATTTCAGATTTATTGTTAGATATACAACCATAGCTGAGTTAATATTACATTCAAGCTACTTATATGTGACAGTTTTTACTACCTCCTCTTCATTTACTGTTATATACAGTCTACAGGTGTGTGCCAATGTCCTTATCTGGGTATCTCGTCTGTGAGAGCATAACAACTACAGTATCTTCATTTTACACTTTCTGATCTACGTGGCCATGGCGGACAAAGAACCTGAAGCCCTGAAAATGAAGCGGGAAATTGGGTTGATAGGCGGTGTGGCACTAGTTTCAGGGACTATGATCGGATCTGGTATATTCATGTCCCCACAGTTTGTGCTGGCCTTCGTGGGAAGCCCGGGAGCAAGTCTGGTGATCTGGGCTCTCTCAGGAGTTGTAGCTATGTTTGCAGCGCTGTCCTATACCGAGCTCGGGACGGTCATTCCTGAATCTGGTGGGGACTTCATCTACATACTGAGGATCTATGGTTCATGTCCTGCCTTTTTTGCAGCATTCACTTTTATCCTGGTTGTGAAACCGTTCAGCATGGCTGCAATGGCAATTAGCATTGCAGAGTATGTTATAGCACCTTTTTACCCAGACTGCCATGCTCCTCAGCTGGTAGTGAAGTGTGCTGCAGCTGTGACTATACTGGTTGTTGCCATAGCCAACATCTTGAATGTCCGAGCTGCCATCAGAATCCAAGTGGTCTTCTTGGTGGCAAAGGTGCTCACTTTGACTTTAATTGTAATTGGAGGGATAGTGGAGCTCATACAGAGCAGCAGTGTCATTGTGGAAAGTTTAAAAGTTGAGAATGCATTTAAAGGCACTCAGTACTCTTTGAGCACTCTAGGAATGGCTTTTTTTCAAGGACTCTGGTCTTATGCTGGCTGGTACAACCTGAACTATGTCACCGAAGAGCTAAAAAGACCAGAGGTGAAAATGCATATATAATATGTATTATATTATGTATTATTGTATATTATATATTTTATTCAAATACAATAGTGCCTGTAATCACCGGATAGATAATGCCCTGTTAAATATTTTGCAGGACGAATGTTTTGATCCCAAACTGGGAAGATGACAAAGCTATGATTGTATTATAGAAATTAAGCTGATGAGTGTTACTTTATAACTTCTTCTACTTTTGCTTCAAATGCTTATTTCAAAACCCATTCACCAGTCTGTTGACTGTATGCCAGTTCAGAACTGCTTAAAGGTTTCTGTATAGACCAATAATTAAACTGTCAGAGGTGTTGGTGCTAAGTTACATAAAGACACTCAAGGTTTGTTTTTATAGCTGCAATTGTGCTCTTATCTAACTGTGACAAAGGTGTGTGCCTGCCAGTGTTGTTATCATGTGCACAGTAAATACAAAATGTAAAATCACAGAACCAGGTGTCCGATCACAGAATATTGTTTGGCATAAAAAGTAGGTCACAATCACAGCTGGCTAGTTTGGTGGTTACTGTTTTTTTTATTCACTGAAGTCACTGAAGCTGTATTTCTGTTATGGATATCAATTGCAAATTGTTAGAAATAAATGGAAAAACTTTTTTTCCAGCCAGTTTGATCTACTTGCCAAAAGTTGAAGAAATAACATTCAAAGTTAATTAGGAACATCTTTCCTCGTAGAAAATGTATTTAGCTGATATATATCATCATGCAGTAGAGTTCTAACTGATTTTCTGTTTAGGAGTGATGTGATGACAATGTGAACCTCGTTGTGGAAATTCAAATGAAATGTGATGTAAATCATTTTCCAGCTATTGACAATGGTTAGGCCTTTTGAAAGATAAGGTAATATTTGTTTAGACAGTTCAAACAGATTCATTGTTGGGAGGACTACAACATTTGTGCTTCATAATGGGATGCTCAATGTCTTTTTAGACAGTTTGAACACTTCATGCTTTTAGATTTTATTCTTGAGGGTTTGGAGGGCAATCCTGGACCTATGGTGAATGATCTTCATAGCTGACAGATTCTGAATGTGTCATTTTGAGTTTGTTCTTTTAATGAATCATTGTTATAGTCAAGTAACCACTCCAACAACTTTGCAAGCTAGATTCATGCATTTTGAACAGCTTTCCATCTTCATTTGGAAATGATTGTACAAAATTTGGGATCCAAAATTTCAACAATTTTGGTGTTGAAAGTATATAAACAGTGTAAGTGCATGTTTAATCCTGTAGTTTGGCTCCAGATGTTTTCATGTTAACCAGAACAAAAAAATGATGTTGCTTTTTTTCTTCCAGGTGAATCTTCCTAGGGCGGTTGTCATTGCCATTTCTCTGGTGACTGGCTTATATCTGCTGGTGAATGTGAGCTACCTGACAGTAATGACACCTAGAGAGCTCATGTCCTCCAGCGCAGTAGCAGTAACCTGGGGGTAAGACCGCACCTGATGTCAATGTCCCAGATTCAGGTAGACAGGTCCACACTGTCTGTTTAAATTGGTGTGTCTGGTGTTAAAATTGCTCATTTTAAAGGGGCTTTAAAATAGTACTCCACTGATTTACCACTCCTACAACACTGTATTAAAAAGGGATGCAGCAGAACCAGACACATTGTCTTTTTATTTTCATGACTTCTTCTTCCTTGTAAAAACCTGACGTCCACATTAACCACAGTGCAACTCCACCACTTACAATTCCGGCTGAGATTCTGGTGTGTTATGAAAGCAGCGGCTAATGTAGCCTCTAGCCTCAGGCAGAGATGAGGAGTGAGCTATAGAGGGTCTGGAAATCTCCTTTCTCACACCCCAAATGTTTTTCAGTTGCAAACTTCTAGTCTTCAGGCCCAACTGACACTGCCTCAAGCACATTTACATATGCAGTAGTATTCCTCAAGACCCATAATCAGACTTGGATGTGTAAAAGAAAATACTTTTAATTACCTCTATCATTGACCTGGAGGAAAAGCACATCAGCAGTGCACTCAACACTGCAGTGACATGAGCACAGTTAGTTCAGACATCACTAATGACCTTTAGAGCAGTAAGAATAAAAAAATAAAAAAAAGCTCTTGTGAGAACTTCAACCTTTTTCCACAGGAATAAGGTGCTAGGAAGCTGGGGCTGGATCATGTCTGTGGCTGCAGCATTGTCTGCTTTTGGTTCACTGAACGGGACATTCTTCAGTGGTGGCCGCGTGTGCTTTGTTGCTGCCAGGGAGGGACACATGGTGAGAATCCCTCTACCTTATGAACATATGTGATTGTTGAGATGGTTGTCACAGAGTTTCACTCAGACTTGTGTTTGTTTTGTAGCCAGATATTCTGGCCATGGCTCACGTCCACAGACTGACTCCATCTCCAGCCCTGATATTCACCACTGTTGTCTCTCTGGTAGTGCTGATCCCCGGAGACTTCCAGAGTATTGTCAACTTCTTCAGGTGAAAACTGGATCCGCTTTGTATATATTTAATATTTCTTCTTTATTATTAAAATGTACAGCCTGTTTGTATTTGTCTGACATTCCTCTTCATTGCTGCTGTCAGTTTCACTGCCTGGTTTTTCTATGCCATCACCCTATCTGGACTTATCTACCTCAAGATTAAGAAGCCGGAGCTCCCCAGGCCGTACAAGGTCAGTGTAACACTTTCACATGCATAAACACCGTCTGTCTTTTTTTAAAATCACAGGATGACAATCAGCTTGTCTCTTCCTCTCTCCACAGGTACCCATTATACTCCCCATACTGGTCCTCATTGCAGCAATATTCCTTGTGCTGGCACCAATCATAGACGATCCTCAGATCGAATACCTCTATGTGACTTTATTTATCTTAAGTGGAGCTATAATCTACGTACCCTTCATCCATTACAAGCTCTGCCCAGGACTGCTCACCAAGTTAACAGTGTTCCTGCAGCTGTTCCTAGAGGTCGCCCCGGCTGAGAAGAACCTTTAATTCGGGCAGAAAATTTCAGAAGAAAGAGGTGTTTTTCCAATGTTATTGCTTGTGTTTTTTAACTCAACCTGCTGTTGCTATGACCAAAGGTGAAAGTCTGTCACTCGCAGCTCCAAGAACTAAAGAACCAAACCGTAGCATCCTTTGTCTTTAAACAGTTACTTTTTTAATTACTGTGTCTTACGGTGCTAAAGAACTGTATGTAATGAAATTGTAATAAAATTATGCATCCACCGTTGTGCTTCAGAAAACTGTACAAAAATAAAACAAGGCTTGTTTCTCAACAACTATTGGATGGACATTTATGTCTGCCTCAGAATGATTTGTAATAATGTTGGTGATCAGTTAACCTTAATCTTGCACCATCAACAGGTAAAAACCTCTATTTGTCCAATGTTTGGCTTTATGATCAAATGCCTACAAAACCAATGACATTCCCATCAGCTTCGGATGTACTTTGTGTTTAATGCTGATTAGCAAATGTTAGCATGCTAGCATCCAAAACCAAGATGGTGAACATGGTAAACATTACACCTGCTAAACATCCACATTAGCTTGTTTACCTTCATGCTTACCTCAAGTACAGCCTCACAGAGTGTAGACTTCTGTTAGTTAGCAGGTCATCTGGGCTACAAGATCCTTAATAAGACATTCTGAAATAAACACTCATACAGATTATGTGAATTTAAAAAAAGTTTATTAAATAATTATTATCCACCAAAAGGATAAAACAAGACATGGCCAACTTTAGTGCAACTTTCACATGACAAAAGATTGTTCAACACAAAACAGGAAAGAGCAGGGAAGGGAGAGGTGTGTGAGTGTGTATATAATGTACAGTGTATGCATACACAGACCGAATTTCTGTATGACAGTTATCACACAGTCAATCTAGTCTTGTCTGGTGACACGATTGTTTTGTTTGTTCAGCGTCACTATTCTGTTACCAAATAAATAGCTTCCTTGCTTATTTTTTTAAGCAATTCTTTTTGCAAGCTTGGGGCTCTCAATACCTGCTGATCCAAAAAAGACATGGAAAGAAAATGAGCTGCTTTGACTAATAAAATACTTAGTGTTGAAATAACTTGTCCTTAATCAGAGGTTCCCAGTTAACCAACACAGTCCAAAAACATGAAGGTATTTTTTAAGTTTAAGTGTGTAATATTGTGTGTGTGTGTGTGTGTGTGTGTGTGTGTGTGTGTGTGTGTGTGTGTGTGTGTGTGTGTGTGTGTGTGTGTTCAAGAGTCCTTTGTCAAACTCCAGTTGAAGAATCACTCAGCTCCAGTTTTCCTCTCTGTTCCGTTAGAAGCGTTCGACTGGCTTTCAGATGCGTCTGCACAGCTCGGCTCCCCTGACCCACTCCCGCCCTCTTGTGTTGACTGGTGGTACAGCATGTGAAGTCGCTCTGCATTCATGTCTGCATCCTCTGCCCCCTCACAGCATCTTATCCACGACTGAGGAATAGCCTCGATGCCATAGTGGGCCCCAGCGATGGCCCCTGCCATGCAGGCAATGGTGTCCGTGTCCCCTCCCAGGGCCAGGCTGTACGCTATTGTCCTCTCCACGCCGCCATAGTTCTCTGGAAGGCATTCCCGGGGCTGCAGGCAGTGGAGGACGCAGAAGATGGCAGTGGGCACTGAGTGGAGTGCCGCTATGCCGTTACCTAGAAGGAAAGAATGTCGAGTAATAAGAAAAGAAGTGAGAAAAACTAACTGTAGTGGAAGCTGGCAGATAGGAATATGAGCTGCTCACAATGCAAAAATGTTAAATAAATATAGCTAGTCTAAATGATGCTGCAACGCCTTATTGGCACAGCCCATTTGTCCATCTAAATAAAACTAACTATTGGCTAAGATCTTTAATTTAACAAGAGCAGCAAAAGGAAAATAACACAATCATCAGCAACTATTTTAATAATCTAATAATCATTTAAGTGACTTCTAAGCATTAATTCACTGGTTCAAGCTTCTCAAAATAAAATAAAAAAATGAAAATAATGGAATTGGAAACGGGCAATGGAGGGACAGATAAGGATGTATGACAACAAGCCTTGTAAAAACACAGAAGAGAAATCACAATAAAGTCAAAGACAAAACAAGTACTGACCCAGTTCAGAAATGACCTCCTCTATGCTGACCTTGCTCCGGTCCATCAGGTCTCTAACTCTGTGGAGGCGCTCACAGAATGGCTTCTCTGCTTCCTTTAGGCTGGACAGAAACACCATGTTAAAAAGGAAATTAATTCATTCATGTATATCTTTATAAATCTTTCAAAGTTTCCTTACAATAAACTCAGAATGTCAGATAACATTTCTGACGTCCACAAACAGACATGGCTACGAGATCCGTGCTACAGCAGCCTTTAATCATGTACTCACATTCTGGCATCATTGCGTGCTGCCTCGTTGCCCTCCACTTCCTCCATCTCTGTGATTAGCTTGCTGATGAACTGCTGGGGCAGGTCTAGCGCCCCCTGCAGGGAGAGGTGCACAGCTAACGCCTGCAGCACAGCCCCGTTGTAACCCAGAGAGCAGGAGTGGGTCAGCATGGCACCCAGACGGGCAAACTGCAGAGAAAAATCAGGAAAAAAAAGTCAGTGCATCTTGCAATGCCACCCTGTGTGTTTCATTATCATAATGAAGACACTGAATGTGAAGGTAAACATGGTTTTCAGCCAAATATTTTAATAAACGTTATTGTTAGTGATAGACCGATTAATCGGACTGATTTATCTTTATCAAATGTCTGCACACACATCTGCAGGCAGCATTGTCAATGTGGCTGCTGTGGAACAATGTCAGCGCTTCCCGAGTTTTGTGAAGGTGAAGTTAGTTTGGTGCCATGTACTGTAACTCTCATGCATCCTGCTGTAAATGTTTGTCTTCAATTCCTCAGTCACCATTATATTTACTAAATGTTAACACGCTTCTCCTTAATGATAGAAAAACTAATCTTAAATTGTCAGAGGTAGTGTTAAATATATATTGTGTTATAATGTATAAGAATAACGCAGTGGAATGACTGTAGCCCGCTCCCTCTCTAACTCTACGGCATAACCCAATGTATTTTTCTATTTCATTAATTAATAATAATTCTATTTAAAGCAACATCTTACTAGCCAAAATAACATGTATATTAAATTATAAAGGAGCATGACATAATGCAAATATTCTAATTGTATTTATGTCACAGTGTGTCTTAACACTGCTCTGTACATGAGACTACTGGCTGAATACATTACTATATCACAAAGTGTTTTATTTACTACAGAGGTGAAGACTCGAGTCACATAATTTGAACTCAAATCTGACTTCCATCACCTTATTTATTTGAGACTTGATTTATGAAGACAGTTCCTTTGTGTTTACTTGATTTGCTGAGATCCTTTGATCTGAGTTAGCATAAAGGTTACTATCTCACAGATTCATGAAGAAATACGGTACTGAAGTTAGTTCTTGTGTGTCAAATAGCCAGTTAGGACTCAAAGTTTACTGGACCACACAACAAATTAAACTTTTGGCAGTGGAATGTGTAATTATTTTCTGTGTCCCATACCTCTGTTTAAACCTGTTCAACTTCTAATAATGCTGTGTAAAATACAGATTAAGCTTCTAGGTCAAAAGATGTGCAGGTGAAAGAGCAGGAAACAGAACAAACATGCCCACAGACAAGGCAATACATAAAATGTGTATAGCTCCAACAAACAAATAGATAGATAGACAGATAGATAGATAATGACACCAAGGATGTGGCTTTGGCCTAAAGGATGCCCACTGCTCACCCTTCTAACATTCGCCATATCAGGGAAAGCCAGTGCGAAGGGGGCCGCCCTCATGGCTCCCCCATTCCCAAAGGAGCCTCGACCATTAAACTGGTCCCTTGCCGGCTGGTACACGTCACTGAGCTGAGGGGAGGACAGCTTCTTCAGCACCTGGATCACTCCAGAACCATAACCACGACCCGGGGATGCACTGTACTCCTTAGCAAACCTAGAGGGGTGAGACACCGGGGCTTCAATGTAAGTGCTACATTACATCTATTTCACAAGCCTTTGCAACTATATTTATACCATAACACACTGAAATTCTGCAGATAAGCCATTAGTTTCAGCAGTGTGCATTCACGTACCTGCGAGCCATGTCCTGCTCATCAAAGCCGGCACGGGTGAGTAGAGACTGGACCACACAACGTGCCATTGCTGTGTCGTCACTGTACTCCAGGATGCCTGGCACACACACAAACACAGATATATATAAACACTGCATGATGCACAAAAACACCTTGCATCAAATACCAGCATTACTAGTATTTCCGCACTGTCTATAAATGAGCAAAACTAAATGAGTGTTATTAGTGCAGCTGCCATCTTAGTAGTCCTGTAGAATTCACTGAATCATATTTTTTGTGACTTGTCAAGTAAAATGTGTTGGCCCTATTCTGGTGCAAATTGGTTTTATTAGTTTTATATTGAATCATTTGAGTTTCTGAGGACATCACTTTGGGCTAAGATGACCCGTTACTGGTGGCAATTTCCTATTATTTTGACGTTTTGCAGTAATTGGTTGAAGAATGACGCATGATCTTTTTTAAATTGGTGTTGGTAATCTACAATGTAACTCTCTGATGACCATTGCCCCAGTTTAATACGAGGCATCTGAGTAATGGCAGCCTTGTGCAGCATTCACAATCCTGCTGAATGAACTGAAGCTCTTCTGTAGAGGGTTGGTTAGGTTGGGGGTTAGCGAAGAGCCATGTATCCACTGCTATCTAAATATATAAATCTCATCCTTTCACTCACCATTTCCTTTGGTCTCGTCGTCCAGGCTGTTCAGGTGCTGCAGCACACTCTCCATAGGAACCTCCTCCGCTCCTTCAAACTCTCCGCCGACACAGTCTCCCAGCACAGCCGACACCAGCGCTCCCCTGAACCGGGACAAAGACGCTGGGCCCCCCGCTGCCACCGCTCTCACCGCCGTCATTGCCATTCATCCGCCGGTGAAGAGACGTCGACCTACACCGAGAAAACACTCCGCTGGTCCGTTGACCAGACTGCCAGACAGACAGGGAGTGGATACTGCCGAAGTGACAACAACAACAAATGTCTACTCCCACCTCTCCACTGGTTCCTGAAAACGTCTTGATGCCTGTTTGACCCCGATGAAAGGTCCGGGTCGTCGCACATAGACATACGCGTACATAGAGCGGGCTTCCGTTGAAAGACAGGCTGCGGTGCGCTGCGGTGCGCTGCGGTTTATCTGTTTCTATACGACGACACACACGGGTTACCGAAATGGATATAATAAAAGCGACACCTTGTAAAAAGAAAGAAAAGAAAAGGTAATTACCGGAACCTTGTTGTTAAAGTTTTAAACGGGACCTCAGTAGTTGTGTATTGTGTCCACTTGTTTGCTGTTCTTATCACGGAGCTCACTCATCTCATACACGCTTTAAGACTGCAGTTTACACATATACAGAGACATTAATGGCTCTGGGCATATACAAGGAGTTTTACGGTACAGCCATACATTTGTTAAGATCGCCCACTGCTGGACAGGAGCTCGGACCCGGACAGGATAAGGTTTCTCACCACTGATTTTGATTTAACAGTAATTAATTACATAGATAAAGGATGTAGAATAATGAAACTGAAGACGAGCTACAAGACGGTGTATAAAAAAAAAAAAAAACACGTGTTACCAATGATACTAACTAAGGTTCTGGTCCATTCAGGTCCAACAGAGTCAGGGTGCCGCTGATATTCTGCATGTTGGTTCACTAAAAAGGCTCTGCTACACTAAACGGAACGAAACCTTAATTAGTATCATTGGTAACACCTGTGTTTAACCTATTTCACGTCAAAATGGCTGCCATGAAAAAAGGGTCTGTTGTACACTATTGTGTAATTTGTCTAAGTAACGTTAGTGCACAGGACGGAAGTCAGACCACAAGGTGGTAGCTGGCTAACTATTCTTAAACAGTTTACTTATATCAATTATGTAAGATGGTGTTAACTAAAGCCAGGATGTGGGAAAGGTAAATGGAGGGTATGCATTGTGTTTGTTGTAAAGTATAGTGGAACAATAACACAACAAGGCTTTCATTTATCTTCAAGTACAGAAACTGTTAGATGTTATTCCGAGCTGGGATTACCGTATTGACCCTAACATAGCACGGTATAATTGTCTGGAAATCACATCCGAAAAGGCGAGGTACGTGGTCATTTGAGGACTTGAACAGTTAATGTTAATATGTTATTACTCTTTTACAACAGAAAACTACGCTTGCACAACACAATTATGCTGTTTATTATTCGCAAACTACCACCTACAGTGTCAGGAAAAGAGAAAAGCTCTCCAAGAATACGGTAATGTTATATCTTCTTCGTTGTCGTTGTCTTTTTATGAAATGGGCGATGGGGAAAATAGTTTATTTCTTTTCTTAAAAAAGTAAATCCGAAAACATTTAGGGGTCGTCTTGCGCACACAGTACGTACACCCGACTTGTCCTGTGTGCCGACTAGCTTTCTTTCATATTGAGTCCACAGCAGCCTCTTTATATCGTATGTAGCTGCTCGCATTCATAACCTATAACCCTGAGAAGTGGGTGGGTGTTTGGAAGCGCGGCGGCTGCAGCATAATTAAAACATGGCGGACTCGGAGGAATTTAGACTTAAACGATTAAAGGTAAGCAATACACACCAAGAATAGAGTTATAGCAACAATCAGACGACAAGCTGAATTGATGAGCTGATTCAGCTACATAATAGGACATTTAGTTATCGTGGACTAGCTTCCGGTCAAGATGTGCATATTTAAGCTAATGTTAGCTAGCTAGCTTACAACCCTGTAGCTTGCTGCTATTCAGCACTATGCCACTACGCCAAGCTCCATTTAACACCTTGACCAGTAGATAATCAGCAAACAAACACTTCACACACATTGTGGCTCAGGTCCTCTTGTGAAGCCCAGGAGCTTTTATTAATCTAACTATGCAGTCTTAATGCAGTTGATTGTTTTGTTCCACAAAGCCCTTGCATCGTGGAGGGCTGCTGCGAACAATACAAAAGTCTGGATTTTATGAAGTTAAGTGTTGCAGTGCATGTCACTTGAATGCTCTGTTTAAGGCTCCAGCAACTACTACAGTGTCTCAGTTGTTTGGTTGATTAGTGCGTGAGTCTGTTTACATTGACAGATATACCAGAACACAATATGCTGCTGAATTTAAATTGAGTTTGGGGCGCCCCCTCCATACATCTGATCAAACGGTATGAGGCCTGTAGCCATAATCTATAGCAAGACATTGACAACAAGTCTGGTATTGCTAAATCTTTAAAACGTTGACATGAAGGTGAGGTTAAACTTAGGGAGGATATAATGTTGTTTGATGAGATTGCAAGGGGTATTGATCCTCATGTCATGTATAATCTCATTGTAACAGAGGAATTTGTCAAATAAAGAGCTAACATATCTTCCCATCTCACCAAATTCAAATACACCACCTACTAACAGTAGACCCTGGTGATTGTTGGGCTTGTTTCTGTCACTGCTGTGTTATTATTCTGTTACTTATGTCACTGTGGGAAGGTGATAGGTAATGCGGAAATCTGGCTTTCCAACCAATAGTATTGGTAGTGGGTTTGTTGCTGGAAGCAGACTGTGTACAGTAAGGACAGCTGCTGGGTAGATTAAGTCAAGTCTAGTGGATGAAGACAGAGCTGCAATGTTTTGCAGCAGTAGTTGGACCAATAGATCTTTTTGTGGGAGGCATTTTTATATGTGATAACAAGAAATGCACAGTTAATAACACGAAAGAAGGCTGTATTCCATTTAGGTGACCCACCTACGGAGTACTGGTATTCTGCATGCTGTCTGACTGGCGTGACCTTTAAATGGAAGAAATGGTTCATTTAATAAGATGTGGTAATCAAGTTTTGATTTAGCATTTTAATGCAGCGTATTTATAATGAAGGAGGAGTTTCAGCAATTGATGACACAAACTTAAATGTACAAGAGGGGAATATGATTGACCACACGAATCTCACTGTCTCAATGTAGCAGTGGTCTAATCAAGAGGAACAGATAATTAATGTGTTTAATTTGCTATCTGGGACCAGAAGCATCTACTAGTTGCACTTAAAAATTGTGGGGGAGACTTGGACAAGTACGTACAAGTCAGATTGTCTGATAGGAATTGCTCTACACAAAATTAATGAAATGATGAAGTAGAAAGTTCATTCTAATGATTAAAAGAATGCCTGGAAGGAGATTTTTCCTGATATACAAATTTAAGTCCAGTTCTAGCATCATGAATAAGTTTATTTCCAGAATGTTACTCCTTTTTAATGATATGTCAAAGTTCTGTTCAAATGCACAGTAAAAACCATTTGCTTTAATGTGTGCTTCCGTGTTATATTTTTCCACACTGGTTATCTGAATTTGCAGCATCTTTCTCTTTTTCTCTGTATGTATGTTTGAGTGTTTCCATTGCACAGTCAAATGTTACATTACAGTTATTTATGGATGTTGGCCATTCAGAATAATGAAATGCAGTTATTGGTCACACAGTGATATTAAATACAAATATAAGACACAAAGACTTTAACAGACATCAACTTCTTGTACAGTTTTATATATCTTATTAGTTTTGATTATTGAACACTTAATCATTGTTAAACTGAATGACATTGGTAAAATTCTCTGAAACAGCTTAAAAGTTATCAGCATTATTCTTGAAACCCACCATTAAATTAGCAAAGGTAATCTAAGTTTTAAAATTAAATGTTTTTATATTTTCAGAACCATATCTGTCTTTGACCTGTGTATTTATAGTTAGGATAAAAGTTTCTCAATAATGAACATTTTATTTTTTAAGGGCTAAGTTTAACAAGCAAGAAAAGAGGTTTATAGCACACCCTTCCCTGAGTGTTAAACATGTATTTGCCCCTTGAAATCTCTTTTCAATTAACCTTTTTGTCCACTACAGCATGAGGAGCGACTGTCCAGAGTGTTTGACGAAGTGATGGGGCTTGGAGATTTTGCTGACTCCTCCAGGGGCTCTGCCACGTCTTCAAGGAGCGGTGGTCAAGACGAGACAAAGGAAGCAGACAAAACTTCAGGACCAGGGGAAGACCAGCACATAGAAGAAGAGCATAGCAACGGCAGCAGACAAGAAGAAAAGATGGATGAAGGGATGGGAGAGCCATCCTTTCCTCGCATATCATCCCCTTCATCTGACCGACACTCCTCGTTTACCATGGGAACCAATGAAGGAGGAGGACGAGGTGGACGAAGTGGAGGGGCAGCATTTGATGATGCAGTGGATGGCCTGGAAGATGATGAAGACTGGCACTTTGCCTTGCCGATGGGCAGCCTCGAGGGCGTGGGTAAGGGAAACAAAAAACAGCCAGAAGCGGGGAACAGTGTAACTCAAGAGGATCCCTTTGCTCATCAGCCCAGAGATGAGGAGGAGGAACCAGAAAGGGAAGGGAGCAGTGAGTCTGCGAACACCTCCCACTCCTCCCAGGACCACACACCTGACAACAGCCAAGGTAATGCTGTGTACACATCAAAATTTTGATGATTTTCAAGGACCAGATTGATCAGCGGTGTCTATTCACTGCATTGTACCACAATATCCTCACAGGGCTTGACACACATTAAAGGGACACGTCCCCAATTTAACACTTCAAGTTCAGTTCATTTGGGAAACAGTTGTATACTGTCCTCTGTGACTCTGGAAGCTGCTTCCCAAAGTCTCAGAAAATAACCCTGACGATGTCATAGGGATGTCCTCAGGGTTTTAGGGCTTGGGTTCAGAGACTTCACATTTTTATCAGAAAGCCTTTATAGCAAACTAGGGATGTGGATTTTCAAAGAAATGGGAATTTGAAAACCCCATTGACTTGCATTATGTGATTATACAGTTCATATGGTAGCGCTGGCGACCTGTGTGCCTAGGCTGAGTCCTTGCTCCAGCGGCCATGGGAGTCCAAGCTTTGGCCTTTTGCTGCGTGTTCTCTTCTCTCTCTCTCTCTCTCTCTCTCTCTCTCTCTCTCTCTCTCTCTCTCACACTTTCCTGTCACTCTACAGCTGTCCTATCTAATAAAGGCAAAACAAGCCACAAAATATAAATAAAGAAAATGGTAGCCTTGTTGTTTTAGTTTCTCTCTATTTTATCTTTATTTAACTAGTAGCTTTTGTGGCTCATTCAAGTGCAACTTCTAACAAAAGGCATGTGGACAGTTCTTTGAGGTCAGTTGGGTGTGTCAGGGTTTGGTGTGAGCTGCCCCAATATCAATGCCCCTGTGCATGGGATGGGAATTGGACAGCTTTCATTTGTTAAAACAAAAGGTGAGCTGAAAATGCCAGGACTGTTCCACAAAAATTAGAAAAAAGCAGCGTAAAAAGCTTAGAAAAGAAAGTTTCAAGTGTGCCCTGGAATTATTTGCAACAGCATGTTCATTGTCCATTATTTCCTGGCATTATGGCCTGGGAAGAACGTGTGTAGTTGGACATACTTTGTTGAAGTGTGTAATGTTTTAACTGAACCTTTTTTTTTTTCTGACTTTCTGTCAGATGGGGGCGTCCTGAACCAGACGGAAGAGACAGAAGATAGCCAGGAGGGAGAGGTAGGGATCTGGAAAGATCGTCAAGTAACTGCATTTAAAATCATTTTATGAACCTTCTGTGTGGAATTATGATGAATACTTTTTATTTTTTCAGAGGTCAGAGGCAGCTCCAATGGAGGACAGTAATCCTCAGTCTCCTATCAACATTAAAGATGAGCCCATTGATGAAGGCTATGACGCTGCTTTACTGCCTCAGAGCTCCATCAGACAGATTAAAGAGGAGTTGGAACATCAGGAGGTGAGTGTGGGGAGAGAGAGTTAGGTGTAGATCTCTAACTTTGACACATAATTATCAAAAAGTTTTAATATGACGTACTTACTAGAAGGGGAAGAATGGTATAATTAAGCACTTGAACAACAAAAAACAAGATCAGATCTCTTAATGTGTTCCCCTTTCAGGAAGAACTGAGGATCAGCTCTGTCTACTCTGTTGGTGGAGGAAACACCTTTGCATCCCCTACCAGTGAGATTTTTTATTTGTTCATTGTGACATGTTTTTCTCTCATTGTTGTGGTTATACTGGGCCTAATGCAGAAACAACTTCTCTTAAGTAAAAATTCCAACTCCAGATGCACCAAGCATTCTTAACCATCCAAATCTGTGTATACCCAGGTGTACTGAATGATGAATCCTGCTTGATCATAAATTGGAGGCCTGTGGCTGATTGTTTGTTATTAGCATAGGCAGGTGTTGGGCTGTGTTCAAATACTCTGGCACATGCCCCATAATTTGAGAGATTTTGCCCAAAAAATTTCCTTAGTAGATGGATGGGATTATTAAGCAATCTTAAAACATTTGTTAGTCCTTCCACTCTTCCAACAATCACCAACTCTGGCTCTAACATAATTTGATGTGAAAATATTCTGGCTCTGTGCGCTACTTACTTCATGCCTCTCCTCTCCTGACCTGCCCCATTCCTGTCCGTCTCCTGTCCCAGCCTGTCCATGCTGTGTCCTCATCTTCCCATGAGTTAAAGTCTTGTTTGGAGCCTCTGTGAATCACCTTGTTGCTGTATTCCCTGTCGTCAAACCAGTCGAAATAAACCCTTAATTCACAGCAGTCAGATGTGAAAATATACCGGCTCTACAGATGTTTTTCCTCTTGTTCTTTGGTATGTGTACTGCGCTGCTGAGAAGCATTTCTCATTCTTTAGAGACAGACCATTAAATTAGCAAAATTCGACTGTTGGACTGCTGTCCTCATCCAGTAGACCCTGGATGATCCAATTGCAACAGTCCCTTCTTCTGATACACTAAAACAGTCGTTATATTTTCCTTCATTAAAGGGTCACTAATTTTCAGTCTAGAGTTACTTCTCTTTGGCAGTACCTCAGTCTGGCTCTGAAACCGAAGGGTGACAGATTGAAGTCCAGCATGGACCAGTCAGTACAGGGTGTGGACTGGTAGCTGGAGAGGTGCCAGATCACCTCTCCACCTCCTGGGCACTTAGGGGTTAATAAAGTATGCTTTCTCTTCCTCCTTCGTTTTCTTCTACTTTTACTAACTGGCTCTTAATGCCTCAGAAGCATCAGCAGCCAGTAATTTAAAGCTGCTAATTTAAAATATCATTATTCTAATTTTCCTGGCTTTACCACCAGTTCTTCTCTTATCCACTCTAGTGCCTGCAGCACTCCCAGCACCCCCTCCGGCGGCCATTTTTATCCCAGGTAGAGGTGCTGTCCTACAAGCCATGGCTCCCCTCCCTGTCAGACCACAAGTTCCAATCCAGTCACTACCAGCTCTGGCACCAGTACCCCCACGCCCACCTCAGCCCTCAGTTCCTGGTAGTGTTCGCTGCAGTGGCTGCTCTAAGGTACGGTTCTAACTCTTTGCTGCTTACATTTGGAAAAAAGAAACATAACAAGACCCTGCTACATAGACATGTGAATAATATTAAGGAAACCCTGTAAAGCCAAGTGTATCATATTTGATTTGATTTGATAGTTGAGTTTTTGAGACCTCTACATCAGCGTGATATTTTTTTTCCTGAAAAACCTGATGTATACAATCAGATACATGCAGTACCTGGATAATCCGCCAGGGATCAGTAATTTATGCATCAGAGGGCCTTCACTTGAGACATCCATGTAATTTTTCAAGAATATTTTTGTCAATTTTGAAAAAGTTAAGGTAAGAAAAACTTTCAAATTGTTACTGAAACTTCAATAGGAATATTTAATGGATTGATGTAATGTAAAATTAATTCATATTTCATAACTTAATTTATAGTAAAACGTGTGTATCATATTCGATACAGCAGGTATTAAAGGTAACTTATTTGAAAATCTGTCAATTGTCATTTTATTGCATTTCATACATAATGCATTCAATAAAGCAACATATAGTATTTTTCTCATTTAGGTAAACTAATTAAAGGTTTAACTGACATAATTAGGTATATTTAGAGTAAAATTGAGATATCTCTTTTTGAACAATTCAGAGAAATACAAAATTTGTTTTCTTGGTGTGTATTTTTAGATGGCAAAAAAATTGAGCGTTGAAGATGTGTTGAAGATGATTATGGATGGAAACTCAAGTGACATGGAGCAGTTAGAGGAAAGTGAGGAGGAGGAGGATGCGGAATGGACTCCTATGTGTACTGAGGAAAACTCAGATAGTAGTGATGAGGAGGAATTAGATGAAGGCGTGGACCACACAAGTGCAGAAGTCAAGGATCCAACATTACCACAGGACACAACAAAGCAGTCAGCAAGAGGCAAAGTAAAAAAGTATCAGTGGAAGAAGAAAAAGTTTGAACCACCAGATGTTAAATTTGATGAATGTGTTGAGGAAGAGTCTGAAGTCAGGCATGACTGGACACCTTACATGTATTTCAAAGATTTTGTGACTGACGAAATGCTACAGGAAATTGCAGAACAAACAAACCTGTACAGTGTGCAGAAAGAAGAAAAGTCAGTGAACACAACTGCTAAAGAAATTGAGCAAGTTTTGGGTATGTACATGCACATGGGGTTAGTACAGATGCCCAATGTACGAGCCTATTGGGAGATGGAGACAAAGCACTCTACAGTTTGTGATGTGATGTCTCGAGATCGATTCCTGAAATTGTTGACACTGATTCACTTTCAGGACAACCTCAATGTGTCTGATGATGCAAAGAAAGATAAACTTTGGAAACTCAGGCCATGGTTACAAAAGCTACGTGAGCAGTTTCTTTGCATACCTCCTGAAGAATGTCACGTTGTTGATGAAATCATGGTGCCTTTCAAGGGAAAATCACATCTACGTGTCTACATGCCAGCAAAACCTCACAAGTGGGGGTTCAAGATGTGGGGACGTGCAGGACAAAGTGGTTTTCTTTATGACTTTGACATTTGCCAAGGGGCAGAAAATCCAGACCAAGTGAAATCTGATGTTGGTGCTACTGGACATGTTGTCCTGAAATTGACCTCAACCCTTCCAGCAGGAAAAAATCATAAGGTTTTTGCAGACAACTACTTTACATCAGTTCCATTGGTGGAGCACTTGAAAGAAAGAGGAATCTACTACATAGGCACAGTCCGAATGAACAGGGTAAAAGACTGCGACATGATGGATGAGAAAGAAATGAAGAAAAAGGGAAGAGGGACTTTGGATTTCAGAGTAAACCAGGACAACGCCATCATTGTGAGATGGTATGACAACAAAGCTGTGAACCTGCTTTCTTCTTTTGTCGGCATCGAACCACTGGGCAATGTGAAGCGTTGGGATCGAAAATCCAAAACCCACATGATGGTTCCCAGACCAGCCATCATTGAAACATATAACAAGTTCATGGGAGGAGTTAAACTTCTTGATATGCTATCTGCACTTTACAAGTTCAGCTTCAGATCCCGAAGATGGTATATGTACATTTGGTGGCACACTGTCACAGTGGCAGTAATCAATGCATGGAACCTCTACAGAAGAGACCATAAGAAATTGAAGCCCAGGCAGAAACCCATGCCGCTGCGAAGGTTTCAAGCAGCTGTTGCCACCTCTCTCACAAGCGCAGGAAAGGGCAAAATCAAGAATGGCAGTCTACAATCCTCCTCTCCAGAAGCAGCACCTCCCCCCCGCAAAAGGCCAACCTTTAGTGTGCCCCCTGATGTGAGAAAGGATGGCATTGATCATTTTCCAACATGGGAAGCCCGACAAAGATGCAAGCACTGCACGGGCAATCACTTCACCCATGTCTACTGTGGGAAATGTAAGGTCCATCTTTGCCTGAACAAGGACAGAAACTGTTTTCAGGCCTACCACAACACAAAATGAAAAGGTTGTGAAAATTAAACAAATTAAGTGAAAAGTTCCTCTTCCACCATGACGGTTCCACTGGTGGGTTTGTCATTGCTGCGTGAAAGCTTAATTTCAGCAGATGTATGATGTTGTTATATGGAAAAAATTTATTTTGTATGTTTTAGGAAAATTTTAAGTAAACTCAAACTTTAATGAATCAAAAAGTGTTTTTATAGGGCTGTAACGGTTCTGAAATCGCGACACAAAAGTCCACGGTCTCGTGTCGCAGATCCGAGAGACAGAACCGCAACACACTCGCTCCCTGGACTGTTGAGCTCTCGTTAAGACAGTTTAACTGCAGCGGTGGTGGCGGCGGCCCGTGGGGTGGTAGCGGTGTACGCCTATATCATATTTTGTATTGACAGTAGGTTATTCTAGGTCATTTTCCACCTTATTTTAGTGTTCATTTACTACTTTAATCTGCTCCCTTTCTCTTCTCCCCACACACAGCACACACCTAGCCTGGACCTCTGGTCACTCACGGCAAATGCTCCCTAATGTAAGATTTCTGCCGTGTCCGCTTAATGTAATATCGGATAACAAATAAAATGGGGGAAAACCGCGGTATGAACCGAACCGTGGATTTGGTGAATCGTTACAACCCTAGTGTTGTATATGTTTTTGTTTGTTTAAGATAAACACACTGAGCAAAAAAAATCCACAAAAATACCAGATGTAGCAAAAATGATATGCTGGTTCCACTGGTGGATTTGTCATTGCTGCTTGAAAACTTGCTGCGTGAAAAGCAGATGTATGATGTGGTGTTATATGGAAAAATGTTTGTATGTTTGTGGAAAATTTTAAAAGGAAACTCAAAGTTTTAATAGGTTAAAGATGTTAGGTTTTATATGTTTTTGTTTGTTCAAGAAAAACAAACTGTGAGCAACAAATTGCACAAAAAGACCTGATGTATCAAATATGATACAAATTAGAATTCATATATGCAAATTGATATTAATTGATATATATATTTTTTTATTTGTCAGCAGTTTCAATAAACACTACAGTTTAAACAATTTGAATTTTCTCTGGGTCTTATTTCATGGTTCAGGCTTTACAGGGTTTTAAACTGATATTAATAATTATAGTAATGTATAAAGTTTAAATAATTTTGTGTTTAAACAATTAACACTACTCTAGTTTTATGCATTGCTACTAACAGAATGTTTACAGAGAAATACTTGCTAATGAATCCATTGATCAGCTTTATTAATGACATTATTAGCAGAAAAGATCTTTGTGTGTCAGGTCTTTGTGCAGTGGTGTAGCTTTTTATTTCTTGTCATTCTCATGTTTCATGTTTCTGTAAATGGTTGTAGGTTCTGCTGAAAGGCCAAACAGCATTCCAAAGAAAAGGTTCAACACAGCTCTTCTGTTCCACAGTTTGTCTGACTGGTCATCTGCCCCCAGCTAACAAAAACCGATCCTGTTTCCAGTGCAACAGGTACGTCTTAGTTTCCACTTGTATGTACTTGTTCATGTCAGGCTTCCATTTGCGTCATGGTTTTATTAAGCTGCCATGTGATGACAGTTGGCTTATATAAGGTGTATTTGTGTGACACATGGAAATACTCATGGTCAAAATGTTTGTTTGTTGCTTTTCTCTCATGCTATAGCTCCTACTTTAAATGAAAACAGTTTGTTTTGGGGTGTAAGTTAGGTAGATAAATACATGAAGAGCTGGTTTTACAACTGTCAACTATGGGAGACTACTGACTTTTTACGCTTTCTGCAGGTAATAAACTTGTCATTGTTCCTGTGAAACGTTTAAGCTTGAATGCATAATACAAATAACGTCTGTCAATTTGAATTAAATATTTAACTATTCTTCCTCTTTGCCACTTTGTTTGTTACAACGCCAGTATCCTGTATTATTTGACTGTTCTATTTATCCCTTGTGCTATTCTCTTCGCAGGGAGATTATTCAGCCCAGGGACATGATCACAATTCCAGCAGACGACAGCACTTTCATGCACTTTTGTGGACAGTTCTGTCTGTCGGTCTTTAGACACAAGAAAAAACATTCTGACAAGATTCCTGACAAACGACTGGAGAGGAAGCCTGAGAAGCTGCCTGAGAAACCAGCAGAGCGACAGCCTGAAAAACCCTTTTGCAGTGTCTGCAAAGTCTCTAATAGAGTAAGACACACAGAAGGCTAGCTTTTCCAGTAAAGACAGATTTTAGTCAATGTGTTGCAAAGCCAACTCTTCGGTATAATTCTCTTGTCCTTGTGTTTTACTGTGATCATCTCTACAGGTGATTGAGCATGAGGTCACCCATCAAGGTCGTCTGCACAGACTCTGTAGTGATGCTTGTTTTGTAACATGGCGCAAGATACGGCAGTTAGCCATGAACTGCTGTGAAGGCTGTGGACTTTACTGTAATAGTAATTCAGGCTCCTGTCAGACACTCACAATTGACAGATCTCAGCTCAACTTCTGTGGTCCTACCTGTATTGGCACCTACAAACAGGTATGCGTTTGTGTTCAAAAATCTTTTTTTATAATCATAATATAATTTTAAAATAAGGATGACTTTACAATACAAATTGTGTTTTCATATAGACCTGCAGAAAGATGGTTGAGTGTGCCTACTGTCACAAGATGGCAATAGTGTCATCCACCATCATGGAACGAGACCAAAAGGGCAAAGTTCAGCTTTACTGTTCATCTGCTTGTGTGGAACAGAGTCGACCCCCCCGACACATTCTCACTGGTAGGACATACAACAGACACACACTCACATCAGGGTGAGCTGGTATATGCGGTCTTAAATGCAGAACTGGGAGATCTTCTCATTGACCACAGTTATGTTCTTACTGGTTTATGATAAATATACTAATGCTCGAAGTAAATGTGTCAAGGATTTATTAAACTTAAACTTATTAAAACTTAATATCACTGCAATCCTATATAACATTCAACAGCAGGGGATGTTTCATTATTGGTTAATACACATGAATGCATGCTCCCATGCTAGCAGTGGGATATTAATGTTACCCTTTTCCCTTAGGTACTGAATTCCCCTGCTGCCTGTGCAAGGTGTTAGCTGTTCCTCAGTATCATCTGGCCATGGTGGACGGCACCATTCGTAACTTCTGCTCCTACGACTGTGTTTCTATATACAGGGTAAAGGCACCGGCAGCATAAGAAATTTGTATCTAACAAGAGTTTATGATGGGGCATCTGCCGGTCTAAATCATGTCTTCTTGTAGCTTTGACACTGATATTATTTTCCCTCTGTGTCTTTACAGAAGTCTGGGCACACCTCTCAACCAGACCTGATCAATGGAACCTCTGCTCTCAGGGACCCCTCCCTCAGAGACGCCCCCAAACCGGGGCCCTCTGCGGGAGCCAGCTCAGTCCCTCCCATCCCTCAGGACTACACGTCTTCAGTCCCCTATCCGGGCCACCATCACAGTCATACCTCAGTGCCCCCGCTGGTGCCTCCCTATCCAGCCATGTCCTCCCCTTCTGTCCCAGGGCAAACCCAGGCCAGAGCACCTGCTGGTCAGACACTGAAACAAGCAGACGCCGGATCCAATGACCCCTCCAAGCTGACCTGCCATCAGTGCTTCAAACTATTCAATATCAAGCCGCTGCTTTTTAGTCACCAAGTAAGGGGTACAGCTCACATGCTCTTATAGATGATCAGCATATACAGATACTTAACCATAACTTCCTGATAACTACCTGCATGGTGAATGTAACACTCACAGTGATGATTATAATACTAATGATAATTTTTGCCTGCAGGGTCGTATTTCTATGTTCTGCAGTAGGATGTGCTGTGAGCAGTATAAAACTCAAAAAAATATCCTGGTGATGTGTGAGGGTTGTAAACAGGAGAAAGTGCTCTTTGACACCATCAGCTACAATCAACAGGACCTGGTCTTCTGCAGTGAAAGTGAGTTAACACAGCAATGGCTTTTCCCCTTTTATCCTCTCCTCTAATAGGCAACATAAAAGCTGCAATGCTGATCCACTGAGCTACAAGAAATGCCTGAAATAATGTAGAGGACTTTGTCAACTTTGTTCAGTCGCAGTCTTGACGAAAGTGGCCTAAAACTATGGCGAGCTTCAGCTTCCATACTTTTTAAAATGAATAGTCAATGTAGGTCTAAATGCCAGATCTAATCAGTGTCTTTGGACTTGTGGGTTGAAACGTATAGTTGTAGTATTTAAGTAATATAATGCTCCACCCATCATGTGTTCCAGGCTGTAAGCTACTCTTCAAACATGACCTGACATCTCGTAACAAGGATCATCCCTGGCGCCCCTGCACCTACTGCTCCGGTATCAGCCAGAAGATGCTGCACAGCCACTATGGAGGCAGGATGGAGGAGTTCTGTAGACCCCACTGCATGTCCCAGTACACTGTACTCTACTATGGGGTAAGGAGATAGATGTCCTACTACACTGTACATTGTATGTCATTAATACTTACTGTATCTTCAGTGTGGTTATGTTTTTAATTTTTATTTTTTCTCCATCTTCTTTCCTCTCTTGGCTTTTCTCCGCTCCTTCTCTTCCTCCCCTGACAGATGGGGAGATGCGACAGTTGTCGGAAACAGGGCTACATGACTGAAAAACTGCAGTGTTTGGGTTCAGTCCGTAATTTCTGCAACCTGCCCTGCCTGCTGCAGTACTGCTACCTGCATTTTGAGACGAGCCAACACACCAGCAGTAACGGTACTGGAACGGCCCCACAAACACCATATGGTAAACTGTGTTATCACCTCACTCCTACACAGTATGATGTTGAGTACTTGAGCTGTCTCCATGCTCATGCTAGTTAAAATAGCACACCTAAAATGGTATTATTCCTAAGTTCCAGCTAATAGGAAAGTAGATGTGGCTAGTTCCCAGGGCAACGTGCTGCAAGGTTTTTGGGTTTGACTGTTATAAGAGATTGCTTTGGCTGAAAATTTAAAGCCCCTGAAAACATAGCTTCAAATCTGAATTATTTCTGGAAAACACTGAATATTCACAAATAAATAAGCAACTAAAAAGGAAGGCATTATTTCTTTAAACACTTCCAGCTAATCTGCTTTCTCGGGACTGTGTGGGTGTGGTTTAATCAGATTTACATCATGGTTTTTTTACGCGCCGCAGTTTTAGGTCAGGTACTGCTTTGTGTGTCGAATTCAAATGTAGTGAAAACCATGCCAAAACAGAACAAACCGGCCCCCTGCCGATCAGGTTTTGAAGTGCACCCAAAAAGAAGAACACAGAGGGGGGAAAAAGCAGAAATCTCATTCATTCAATGACCAAAACTGTTCTAACTTTGGTATGTTTCTCTCTTTCTCCAGCTCCTACCCAGCCCCACCATTCCTCAAAGATGAATCCTGTCATAGCTGATGTGGTGTCACTGGCCAATGGCTCTGCCACTCAGCCCAGTGTGTCGGCAGATACTGCTCTGACTGGTAAGTTCACACACATTGCCCTAACCATTTTCTACTTTTATATTGACTTTAATCATCTTTCACAGGATTATATTGTCATATTAGTTCATTGTTTATTGTGTGTGTGTATATGCACGTTTTAATGGGGTTTAATGCAGTTCTGATACATTTTTATTCCTCTTTTGTAGGAGCACTTCCGACCTCCAACGTTGATGGCAAGAACTTAGACCATGTATGTACTCTGTGTGTGTGTGTTGTTTGTTTAATGTTGGAGTTGCATACAACTGTAGGTCTTTATTTATTTTTCTAAATATCTGATATGATGAAGAGATCTGGTCAGTAAAAGGACACTGCAGCATATTTATGTTTAAGAACTAGATCAGATCTTCTTGTTTATTTTTGCTGTTTTACTTTTAATGTCCAGGCCAGTACTCAGACTGATGCCATGCGAGTGCCTGTGTCCCGTCGACGTCAAATGAAGAACAAGTCAGTTCTGTGTCGGCCCTTCACTATGGACCAAGAGAGCATGTGCCAGCTGCCCGCACCTTCCACTGAATCAGCAGGTAACTACAAAAAACATATGAAATTTGAGTAGCTTAGCTTCATTACGCCTCACACAGGACACAGACTGGCTGCATGGCCAGATTCAGATGGACTGTGTGCCATCCAACAGCTTTCTGACCGTAAAACTCACTACATTGTGTCCAAATACCAAGTGGACATCAAATGTACTTACTGCACATTGTTCGTACAGACATGTGGAACATTAAGCATGAAGTATTTCAAATCTGTCTTAGAAGACATAACGTTTTATAGTTTAAATATAGTTTTATAACATTTTCTACTTTTTCCACCATGATCATTGACATTATATCGTCTATCTTTGCACATGATGATGTTGGTGTTGAGTCTTCAGTCCTGCTTGATGTGTGGAAAAATCTCTTCAAAACTTTTACTTGTGTTTACTAATCAAACCAAACCAGCTATTAGTAGTGCAGCATAAGGTGTCACTACGAGGCAGTTGCTATGTTTTAATATTTTGTTAGGACAAATGTTGAACTTTACCAAAGCAAAACTTTTAACTTTAACACAGTGCTTTGTAGAAAATAATAATCTTCACTGTCAACACAAGGTTGACACACAGGTGGGATTGAGTATAAATATCACACTTTTCGGTCAAAATAATAGTACTACATTTTGTTGCTGACTTGAGGGGTGTTTTTGCTGTTTCAGTCCAGAATAATTGGTCCATTATCCACAGCAAGCATTAACAATAAAAATGTAATACCTGATAGAAGTTATTCTCCCCCTTAAGCCTTGACTGGTTTGTCCCTTTTTTTAGGGTGTGTCACAATTCTACACACCATCTAATTCATTCATTTATTTTTTTTGGTTCATTAAATTATTCATTGTTCACAACTAGCTGTTTCAATAATTGCACCAGCTCTGCGAGATAGCGCCTTGAAACCTGCCCGGCCATCTGCTGATGCTTCCACATCTCCACCATCGTCGCCAAAACCTCAGGGAGAAACTCAGCCATGTAACGGCGTGCCAGCGCGCCTAACCGGACGCCATTTCTTGGGCAAGAGGGATACTGACTCTGACTGCAAGGTCTGCTCACAGCACAAAAGGAAGAGGGTGGAGGAAGAAGAGCCGGACGAGAAGAAGAAGAGGAAGAAGAAGATGGAGGGGGATGAGGAGCCAAAGGGGAAAACAGAAGAAGAGGCTGACAAGGCAAAGGGAGTAAACTCACATGATGACAATGATGGAAAGAGAAAAGAGGAAGAGCACTGTGAAAGGAAAGAATGTGAGCCACTGAGGAGGCAGACGTCGTATTACTGTAAGACATGTTCGGGAGAGCCCAGCCTCTGTCCTGTGCCCTGTTTTGAACTCTACCACACCAGACTGATCTACAAAACAGCTCCTGAACTGGAAACACAAGGTGAGCTTTCAGAATAACACAAAAAATGAATTCAGTTATACTCTAAATATATAATAGTACCAATAAAGTTGTTTGTATCACAGCTGTTTCCACTATCCAAGGATTCCCCTGTTGTGTTTGTGTGCAGTGTGTGAAATTTGTGATCACTGCAACTATGTCATTGCTTCAACTGACTTCTTAAGAGGGTCGAGTGTGTCACCCAAGTTTTTCTCTCCACAGCCTCCTGACCTGCCGACATGAGAAATCATCTCTACGGTGACCCTGGACAAAGACTAAACAACTACAGGGTGTCCACACCAACACTACTTTAGAGATCTTAACTTCCTTTTGTGTGGTTGTCTGTTCAAGTTGAATCCAAAACCTTTATTGACAGTGAAGGCAGAATAACCATTAGTTTACAGTAGTTACATGGAAGTATGTTGACAAACAGGCAGTGCAGTGAAATGAGACAGTTAAAGGGGTGCTTTGGTATTTTTTTATAATAAAGAAAGATAGCAGTATTTATGATCCATTGTTCAGAACACTCTCACAGTCGTCTGTTTCCTTTTCCCATAAAGATTATTTATTCTGTGTGAGGGGTGTTGTGAATGGTCTGGAACTGATGGGCTTGGCAAGGTGTTGTAGTCCAAGGCAGAGTACTAACTGTAGCATGTTAGTAAGTTTTACCTCATTGATTAATGTGTCACAATACATAAACATTAAAAAAAGTCATTAAAGCTGATCCCAATCACAGTCCATCTGTCAAGTGTCTTAAAAACAATAAATCTAAATCTAAATGTTTAATGTTGTGTAAATGGATGGATCTGCTGCACCATTATCTCTGGTGGGTTCTTATACATAAAGGCACAAAAAAAAGTATGTTTTTACTACCCCCACAATCCCACAATGTGATATAGATTTACATTATAGGCTGAAATTCACCGTCATTAACTCTTTTACTATCAGTACCTGCACATGTCATACAGTATGTAACCTGATCCTTACATTTAGGTCACGTGTGCCTACCAACTGGTCCAGCCTATGGAAGATAATAGTTAATTGTTCCAGTACAGGTTTCTTATAAAGGGGTTTCCGCATTGTTTCGGTCTAATCCAGACCAATTTGTTATATGTGTTTGAAATCAGCTCTTACGTCATATAAACCAAGGCAGACCCATTTAAGCCAAAATCCAACTGAAAATGCAGGTTCATGGAGCAACTGTGCTGCTAAATGTGCTTCTACTTTGACTGAAATACTTGAATTCTGACTTAGTATTAAACAACTCTGTTACTGTAGTTCTTTGTAAAACAGTGGCTTCTTCCATATGATTTTAACTAGTGTAGATAAACTATGTAACTTCTGTCTAGAAAGGGCACCATACTAAATTTAATTCTCTAATAAATGACGAGTGGTCCAGTTGTCGCAGAAACCAACAATTTTTCCTCAGAAGGGCGGTCAGATCTAGTGTGTGGATGATCTTCGGTGCAAGTCATTTGGTTTGGGTTCACTCTCACTGCCATATTGACCAATGGACAAGTTGACCAAACGAGGCGATAGCAGCGTAATGCTCTCAATAAACTTTGTAGAAAGTGAAATTCCCCGCTTGTCACTCTTTGCTTTCTGCTCCACCTTTAACTTGAGATGCACCTGTCAGGTATACATGAGGCTAAAATCTGCAATCACTTGAAGTTTTTACAGTGTATGAGTGAAGAAAAGAGCATTCATCTGGACGCTCAGTTAATGTATTTATACTGTTGCGCTACATTTTCATGTATATTATGAATGTGTGATGTACGAACGTTTAAGGTTAAATTTCTTGCTGTACCTCACTACTGATGCAGTCATATGAACCGAGGTTGACTTCAGTTCATCCACCTGCTGCGTTTGAGTTGATTCCAACCTTGTATTATGTCTCTGATGTTAACTTTTTACTTCTTTTACAACATATTGTAAGTTTTTGTTACCTCTCCACTGTAACTGCATGTCTTTCATTTTTCCTTACTTTTATGATTACACTGACATGGATAACGTGAAATTATGTGGCTTTACTGCTTTTTGTTTATTTGAAACAAATATTGTCAACACCTGAAAATTACGGTTTATCTTTTGTTAAATGCAAAAAAATAAAATACATGAATAAATTTAATCTGAGTAAAATTGTGTTTGTATATGTGTGTGTTTATTTCTCAGATTTTACCTGTCACATCCCACAAATGGCCTCCCTCAGTCTGATGGTAAACGAATGAAGTGTAATGTAATTTAAAGGGAACATAAAGTCTACATGACTGTGAGTGTGAAACTGCTAATATAAATCCACACGTGAAGCTCGTACATGAGTCTAAAACAAACTGTCAAGTGTTTATTATTTACCGTAATAACTTAGCTATGAAATCAGTTGTGCCTGTGTTACAAATGGCTTCAGTCAATTTAAGATGTATTAATGATACAGTAAGCTGCAAAAGCGGCACCCAAGACACAAACACACGAAAACAGGACTGAAGTGATGGTCACGTGACTGAATAGAGAGCAGATTTCCACTGCGACCGTGGTGCGTTAATCACAAGTAAAGTCTTTTCCTGAGACATAAAGCTCTGTTGACTGCTTCAGGAGAGTAGACCAGCACACTGCAATCAGACGATGTGAGGGATCGCTGAAGAGACACTGAGGGCAGGTAAATCTTTTAGCAGGAGCTCTTATGACTATTACCAGTTAAGCACAATACCAATGTCAACTTTGAAAGATTAATAATGACCAGTTGTGTGACTGATGATACAGCCGATCTTAATGAAATCAGGCTTGTGGTGCTTGTATCAAAAACTCAAATCATTAGTTAACATGTAGGTTGTCTGATTTCAGTCACACATTAGCTGTTTGTCAGTTGACCTTTTGCTTTTCCTCTGTGATACACGTGATACACCATGCTCTTGGTTTTTGAATGCTTTTTTATTGTACTGAGTTGTCATTAATTCATTTTCCTTTTTTATAATTTTCTTCTGTAATTTCCTTTAATGCAAATAGATATTTTCAAAAATGAAAAAGTTTTAAAAGTGAATTATCTTACTGTGTCTACTGAGCCTTATTTAATCATCTTTTTGCCCATTTTTGTTTCTCTTTCTGTCTCTTCTTCATGATCTCCCCTCCTCCCTGCTCTCCCGCTCTCTCCCCCCTCCAGCTCTGTCTCTGCCCTCAGTTAGCTTCTCAGCAGGAGAGGAGAATGTGAAGGTGTTAATGGTGCCCATCCCAGTACCAGTCTTCATTCCAGTGCCTATGAACATGTACTCCCAGCACACACCTGTTCCTATGGCTATGCCTGTGCCTGTACGTCCCATTACTTTACATTCAAAATTCTATGAATTCAAAATGATGAATGTAATTTGCAGTGAGTATTTGCTGCAGCAAATTAAACTCTTCTCTTATTTTCTACAGGTTCCAGTACCCATGGTAGTACCACCACAGAACAAGGAGATGAAAGACGCAGCAGTCCAATCAGAGCCTTGGACTATGAAGGAAGAAAAACTGAAAGATGGGTTTGTTTCCAGTGCAGGTGAGGGCTTTCTTATCCTGATTTTTATAGATTTATGTCATATATACACATTCTTGCTACAATAACCAGTACAAGTACCCAAATGTCAAAGCGTGTTGACCCAAATGCAACCTCATTCATGTTTATTTTCTGTCTGCTACAGACCAAAGCAGTTGTTACAGTGGAGACCTGAAGTCAGACGTGGTCACTCCAATAGTCCGTGAAAATGAGAAGACTCAAAAACCGGTTCAAGCTGACCTGCCAGTTACTGTAAGTTCAGAGAGGAGCACAGAGTCAGCTGATCCACAACTCAATACGCAGTCAGAGGAGAGCGCCACGACAAGCGACCCACCTACCACCAGTTGCGAGCATCAACCTCCCTCCTCTCCAATGATGGACTTGGAGACTGACTTCCCGTCTGGTGAGAAAAATAAATAAAGTGAAAGCCAAAATGAATCTGTTGGAAAAAAGGATGACTTGAAATATTTCATCTTTGTCATTTTTTTTTTATGGCAGCACATACAAATATTATTGGTTTACACAAAGTGGAGATGGAAAACATACTAAACAGCACAGACACACTCTCTGACTCACTCACTGTGTTGTGTGTTTTTGCAGAATCGTTGGATCAGAAGCCATCTGCTCCTCAGCGTGGAGTGAAGAGACCCAGAGAAGATTTCTCTGGCCGGAAACGGGTATGACTCCTGACTACTGATGGATCATCTCAGGTTAATTTGATCAGTCTCTGATTTAAAACCTTTTAGTCTGCTGACTTTAGTTTGTAGGCAGATGTGTTTTCTTGCAGATGGCTCTGTGATTCTCTAGCTAACACTTGCTGTAGCAATCTGTGGATGCTGACAGTGGAAATTACTGTTCCAGAAACCCATTTAACAAAGAGTACCTCTCCTTGGATGTCATCACATTCTTGGATATTACATGTATTTATAGAACTACAAATTCTCAAATATGCCCAATTATGACCTAAACATGCGTCTTCTGCTTGTTGCACTACTCCAGTATGCACTGCTTTTCTATCCATCCAGGGTCGAAGGCGAACTGGTACGGTGGACCGCAGTGCAGTGATGACTGTTGTGACAGCTGTCTCCAAACTGAACCACCTGTATGGGGTGAAAGCCTGGAGGACCTGGGTCCAACAACGAAACAAACAACTGAGAGAATGTGAGCCTTAGTTTTCTTTACTAAACCAGTTGTATTTTAGGATATCTCTTCCTCTGAACCATTTTAATGGTCTCTTCCCCTGTAGCCAGTCCAGTGGATATTAAAGAAGACGTCCTTCAGTGTAACTCTGCTGAGCTGAGCTTAGCTCTGACTCGCTTCATTAGGGAAGTGAGACGGCCCAATGGAGAGACCTACAGCCCAGACAGCATCTTCTACCTCTGTCTGGGGATACAGCAGGTACACACACACACACACACACACACACACACACACACACACACACACACACACACACACACACACACATTGTGTCAGTACTGTGTTTCTTATTGCTTCCTTCTTTTCTGTGTCCCTCTCTTTGGACAGTACCTGTTCATGAAGGGCCGCATAGAGAACATCTTTACTGACGAGCTGTACAGTCAGTTTGCTGCTGAGATCACCAGGATGCTGCGACTCTGGAGACCTAAACTACTACCCAGTGGTATGATTATTGACATGATGTCATAAATCCTTCAGATTTGTATCCATTCAATTTATTGCCATTACATTAAATAATTACCTCTCGATATGGAAGGTTTTATTGGTAGCCAGGTTGACTCCATAAACTTCAATTTATTAATACTCAGTAATACTTTTGTAGTTAACATAATTTTAAGATATTTAACTACCTGTATTCAATAATACAATGATACGTCACTCAGCTTTTTCCCTACCTCCTCTTTTCTCTTCAAGGTGGTGTTGTTTCCTCCCGTGTTGTGGAGTCCTTTCTGTGGGAGTGTAAACAGCTGGGCGCCTACTCTCCAATAGTGTTGCTCAACACGCTGCTCTTCTTCTGCACCAAGAACTTCCGCTTCACCACACTGGCGCAGCACCAAAGCCTCTCCTTTACCAACTTCAGCCGATGCTCCAAACCCTGCAGCCGAGCCGGCAAAGCCCACTACCTCCGATACCAGAGAAGTAGCACCGCTACGCCACGCAGAGAGGACACAGGTGGGTGTTGGAAAATAATACTTGTATATCTTTTTAAATTAAAGTAGTTTGTGTATGTAGCTGTGCATTTAAATAGTAGCTTTAGCAATTTCCAAAGTGACTGTTTAGAACAAAATATCAGCTATCAAAAACTTTAATCCAAAACTTTCAGCCTTCATGTTTATATATATCAGCATCATCCAATTTATGAACAAAACCAGATTTATAAATTGACTATCTGTCCCAGAAAGTAAAGTGTGTTTACTGAGCTTTGGTGTTTAATTTTGTTTTTAGAGCGGTTGAGAAAAAGGCAGGCAGAGGAAGAGGGAGACCTGGAGATGCTTGAAAATGTCACCAACCCTCTGCACTGCCCTGTCAGACTCTACGAGTTCTACCTCTCTAGATGGTGAGATGTGAATACACACATAAAAACAACAAACTAACAAATGAAGACAACAGCACTTACTAGCAGTCACATATAAAAAAAATAAAACTGAATGAATGCTTCATCTTCTTTGTGGTCTTGCTCTCTGACAGCCCAGAGTCGGTGAAGATGAGAACCGACATGTTTTACCTCCAGCCTGAACAGAATGTGCACACACACAGGTCAGAGTCAGAAACCTCAGCTTCTTCTCTTTTGAATGTGTCACTTATAACCATGACTTCCTCTCCATGACTGTTGACAGGTCATAGATTCACCCTATGTGCCCAAATAAAATGGTTAAAATGTTACTGACAGGAATCTGGACTTTAATGGGAGTTCATATATTACTTCCTGTGCTATTTGTGGAAGACGGCATGCTAAGGGTTCTCTTAATGTTCATTTTTGTTTTTCATTTTTATTTCTGACCTCAACAGTTCCCACTGGTACACTTCTCAACCATTAGAGGGCACCACTCTACAAAGCATGCTCACACGCATCTTGGCTGTCAGAGAGGTTCACCAGGAGCAGTTAGCAGCCCAGCGTCAGTCCTCAGCCACTGCGGATGATGACAGTTTACAGTGATATGGAGCTCTGCTCATTCACATCCTGCTATGATGCTCTGCAACAGAAACCTTCTCTGATGCTGAACACTTGACAGTGAAGTAAAGCTGTAGGTACGGCCATCAGTCAGACTGAGGCTGACAGGTCTTTGAAACAGGGAGACAGAACAAAGGGACACAGTGGAAGTGTTAAAGTATGAGATAATTACATTGTATTCTGTTACCTGAGTGACAATCCCCATCCCACATAAATGCATAATGAGTTTACAAACATCAGTTACTCAGAAATATGAAAAAGGGAGTGTTGCAGAGTACATTGTTAACGCAGTCTTCTTTTCTCGCCAGTGTCACACCAGAGTGATACATATCACATATGTGGCAGGTTTATATGCTACCAGTAACGGCTCATGCCAAGCCTGTCAGATGTACCTTTATTTCTGCAATATTAGACTGGTGTGAGCAGCAGATTGTTTACATCCATCAGGCACAGTCAGATCCGTTCATTAAGGGGTTTAAATGTGCTGCTTTACTGTCGTTTCCCCTCCCTGCATCAGCACATTGTAATATGGAGAGTATTTACTTGTACAGTATGAGTTTAAAGGCTGTCACTGGTATGTGAGTGTTGAAACTGCCTCTTGCGCTTTTAAATTTCACCAAAACCCTAAAACAATGACATTTCGAGCAGGTTTTGTAATTTGACGGTGTGGCACATTCATGCATTGCTGCACCAATGTTTCTCAGTTCCCACAGGCATACAGTAATGGTAAATGGTAAATGGACCTGTACTTGTATAGCGCCTTTCTAGCACTTTTACACTATATGCCACATTCACCGTTTCACACACATTCACTCAGCGATGGCAAAGTCCATCGAACAGAAACTAATGCATTCATACACATTCACACAGAGCAGTTCAGGGTTCAGTGTCTTGCTCAAGGACACTTTGACATGTGGTGGGAGGAGCCGGGGCTCAAACCAACAACCTTCCGATTAGTAGACAACTAAAAATATGTAAACATTTGTAAAGAAATTATGTGGTTTAACAAACTGCATCATATTCATCACATTGGACGGTGGATGCCATTGACTGGGTAACATCCAGCATTAAATTAAAAGCCAATATCTGACTTACTATGTTGTTAAAGCAGTATACTGTAGTGTAATCCTTCTTTTAATAGTAGAGGAGAAACAGTGCCTCTCATCTTTTGTTGTTTTATTATTATCTAGTTATCTGATATTATGTTGTTCCCCTTTTATATTCTTCATCCTGTGTGGCCTTATTTCCTTCTCAGCAACTTTCCCCTCTCCCGCCCTTTTTAACCGTGAATGCCGATGAGGATTCTTCCCTTTTTTCTCCCTGGCTTTTCCTCGTATACCTTAACAGATTCCCTCTGGAGTTCAAGTGGAAGAGTAGCTCATTACCAACATCCACTACATTGCAGTGCATACAGTATACTGAACTCAAAATGATGGAGCTGAACTTCATTTTCAGACCTTGATTGACTTTAGAATGTTTAGAAAATACATTCTCACCATTATTATGAATTGGAGTGTCACAATTATTATTACATATATGATCACAGGGCTCTTTATGTGTATCCTATTTCTAACAGTGCCATTGTCTTTTCCTTTGGGCCTTTATGTTTTTCTCTTCCCCTTGCCTTTTTTTTTCTAATTTGAGGAAAATTGGAATTAGAGGAATTTGGATGAGCAGTAGACAGCTAAAAGTACTAGTACAATACTTGTCCTAACCCTGATCCTGAGGTTTCCTGTATTATAACTAATGTTGTGTATGGTTTATGGTGAAGTATGTTTTTTGTTGGCCATACATTAAGTCAAAAACAAGCACTGTGACAGTGTGCCTAAGATGTTTACCACTGGGTCAGTGGTAATTTTGTTTCTAGTCATTCCTGTTATCTGTAATAGACCTTTAATTAAGAATGGATGCTGAAATTCTTTCTAAAGTGGCATGTAGGTAGTCCTGGGGACTGAAAACAGAGAAAATATAGAAAATGTTGCTGGTCCATAGGGTTGCTGTGATAAACCCTCAGAATCTAAAGCTCAACCACTGCTCATAACTCATCAAAGAGATGCTAAACTTACGTAAACATTTCTGGACATACTGAAAATGAAAGCCTAGACATCTTATAATGTCCATTTTACATTTTACTGCCATTTCATAGAATGCTGCATCTTAATTAGAATGTTTTTAAAACAACTATCATAAAATGTAATTTCTTTCAATTTAAAAAATAAATATATAAGACACACTACTGCTAAGTTGAGATTTAATGGAAATATTACCATTTGTTCTTTTATTTTGTGGTAATAATGACTCCACTACCCACCATGCCTTGTGGGGCCGTCAGGGATATGGTGCATTTTTGTCACACTGTTGTAATGTGCTCTTTGCTACTTGCATCTGTTTTGTTGTTATAGCTGTTGTTATATTTTTTCATGGAGGCCAACGTGCCTTTACTTTTGCCTTATGTTGATGCTTTATATAATATCTGTGTAACAGTGTAAAAGAGTTATAAGCACTACTTATCAGACCAGCCCAAAGCTGGAGTTGATAGATCTCTGTAGTGCTCCATGCTAACTTTAAGCATTCACAGTGTGGACTGACAGTAATCCATTAGCATTATCCACACAAAGAGTTCTGTAAATGTTGGTGATTTTTTTTAAAACAACATATTCTAACACACCGTCACCGCTGCTGGTGCAAATGAAATGTTACTGTCTGAATTTTATCACTGCTTTTATCAATATTGTCACACCCATTTGATGATTGTTTAGAAAGAAAAGGCCCAGAGACATGTTTTATTGCCATGCACAAGATGCTGTATTGCCATTAAGTATTAAAAAAACATTTTATTCCTTTCTTTCCTTGATTGAACTGTGACTGTGTTGAAGGTCAGTTTATGTTTCTCACTTTCTCAATTAGACCTTTATTTTATTCTTCAGTCTGAAAAACATTCCTGTACATAGCTGATGTCAGAATTATAATTAATAAGGGAATATATCAGTTACAGATGCAATCAGGGATAAGGAAAGTCAGGCCATTATTAATAGATTATCTTGAATTTTATATGTTTAAGTTTTTGTCTGGTGCCCTCTTCACTGGTGTTGGCACTAATATGTAGCTAACAACATGAAAAGCCAAATTACAGACCATAACTTACTAAACTGCTGAACACTAATGATGGCACATGTATATAATTGCTCAGCTTAAGGTCCACTTACTTGCATGTTCTTGAGCTTTCGCTCATATGACACTTGCTTGCCGTCATCATTCTGAGCACTTTTAGCACTTCTCTTCCATGGCAGTAGTCATTATAGAAACAGACAGATTAAGACTAAAAAAATATGGAGGAAAATAACATTTTTATAGCTGTTTGAATGAAGGATTCAAAACAGAAGATATGCTATATAGCCACTCTCCTACCCAGATACAGTTAAAAAACTTTTGTTGCATCAGACCGAGTTTGATCTCCTTTCTACTCGACAGGCTAAATACCTCATCTCCAAATCTAGATATTACCACTGTGAGCATGGGGAAAAGGCTGTGGACGGTTCCTTGCACACCAACTGTCCCAAAGAACTGCTCATCAAACCATTCCTACAATTAATGATGACCAAGGTAAAAAAATTTACTGATAGTGGCAGAATACATTTTTGGTTTATAAAGTTTTATCAAGTATTATACACCTCAGATTCACCTACTAACTCCTCTGCCTTAGAAGTTTTTTCCCCTAAACATCCCTTCTGTAGAAACAGAACTGACTGGTGAGTTGGAGAGGGATCTTTCGGTGAGAGTGATTAGTGCCATGCAAAGTGGTAAATCTCCTGAATTTTAAAAAACATCTTCAGATCGACTTTCCCCCCTTGTTACTGTTAATATTTGAAGAGTTTTCCTTAAAACCGTTTGGTGTTGCCCCAGTACACTCTGCTTTTACTGTGTGCAATATGAATATGATGGCCTTTTGCTCTCTATTGGCCAGAAGACTTATTTTATTCAAATGGAGGGATTCTCTCCCTCCAATGTATGGCCAGTGGATTAAAGAGGTCATGTGCTATATTCACTTAGAAAAGAATCAGATATACCATCAGACAGTCCACCAGAACATTTTACACCATGTGGCAGCCATTTATATCCTTTGTTGATGGCATGGCAGCTACCAGCATAACTTTAGAACCCATATATATGTATTTATTTATTTTTCTTAATCTGTTTACTCTTAAGTAATTTATTATTGGTTGTTATCTGTTTACTTCCTTTCTATGTGTATGTGAACTTACTTGTATGAGCGTAGCTATATACATATATTTTTGTTTGGATGTCTGGCTGTACACAAGCCAGGCATTCGGTCTGAGCTCAAACCAAAAAACCATCCCTTTATAGGAGTCTTCATCAAACAAAATGTAATTCATTGCATGTGAAGCAAAAATGGGAAGGAGAAGTAAACATAGGAATAAGGGATTATGAATGGGAGTCTCAATGTGAGTTACAATGGAAAACTATGAGTTCAGCTTTATGGAGAGAGTTTTGTTGGGAGAATCTCATCAGGTTCTTTATTAGTCCAGCTCAAAAGAGTCACTATACCAAATCTTCCAGCTACTGGAGACAATGTGGGGGCCAGGAGACAAATCATTGTCATGTTTTCTGGTTGTGTCTTTTATTAATTCTATGGGGCTGTTTTTCCCTTCATTGAAAAGGACATCTTTAAAAAGGAACTGGAAAACTTGGTATGTAGGGGGCCAGCTCTACCAGGTGAACTACAGGGTGCCCCCTTAGCTCCAGTTGTCATCATATCCAGGGGTCCTACCACTGTGCTCATCAGAAGTCCTGCTCCACATCTCATCTCGTTTTATCCCTTCGCCACAACCATCCCCAGTGTCTAGACTCCATCCCTGTGCAGCTTACGGCATCACCACGCCCTCAAAATGCCACAGACACATTTCTAAATTTTATTGTGAATCATGACAAATAAATTAATTTGAACACGTTTAAATCAAGTATCTCCTGGTTGAAATCCTTTCTCTTATTTTGCTCTCAGTGCTTTAGATAATGGAGGATCAGTGTTTTATTATTATTCCTTCTTCATTTGTTGGTATTTAATTTTGTAAAATGTTCAACTCAAATCTACATTTCTTCATGTCAGATTGACCAAACATCAGTGTTTTTCCATGAAGACTGAGGGGAAATGCTCCATTGAAACTGAGACTGAAATGATGATGAGACTGAATGTTGATTAGTAAATGACATGATGAACAAGCTTTATGACCACAGTTCAAACAAAGAATCAGAATCAATTTATTGGCCAGGTATGTGTGCACATACAAAGAATTTGACTCCAGTTTTACTTTGCTCTCAATGTACAAACACAGATTAACAGTATAAATAAACACAACAAGTTCAACAAAAAAAGATACAGACTAATATGTATAGTTATACATATCTATAAACAAACATTTGTAGACAGTAGACAATAGTGCAGAGGAAAGATCTTTTTCCAGTAAGAAACAGTCCTAAGAAAAATGTGCATCTCTAATTTTCATTTAACTGTCGTTGACATTTAGCATAAAACTGAGTCAGACAGTAAACTCCCTAAAAACATTCATGATCCAGTGAATCAGCACTCCTGAGATACAGCTCCACACAGTGGAGAGTTGTGGCAATGACAGGAATGTTCCTGGAGACTCTGGACCTCCTTCAGTTGGAATATAAAAGCCTGCTGAGACACAAAGCAGTACACGTTATCAGTGTTTCATCTCACAACTAGAGGACTCAACACTAAACACTCCCTGAAGATGCTGTGCTCTCATGGACTCCAGTCTGCTCTCAGTCCATTCATGGACTTGTACTGGCCTGTGCGCAGTCTGTGGCCAGAGGTAAAACCTCTGCTCCACCAGCAGGATCTACTGCAGAGAAACCTACAGGAGCTTTGCAGCAGTCTGGAGCTGATGGACAAACTTCAACACAAGATCCTGGAGGAGACGGAGCCTTTCCAAAGCGCTGCCACCCTCCAACCAGTCTCCTACCAGCTGGAGAAAGAGGGAGAGTGCTTTGGCCTGACCCTGGACAACCAAGGCTTTTCCCCAAAGGATCTGTCTGTCAGGCAGGTGGGCAGGAAGCTGAGAGTCAGCGGAAAGAAAGAGAAGAAGCAGGAGGATGAGAAAGGCTGCTACTCTTACAGCCGGCAGGAGTTCAGGCGGGAGTTTGATCTGGTTGCAGGGCTCAACCCTGAAGACGTCACCTGCCGCCTGGCTCCAGACGGGAAGCTCCACATCCAGGCAGCCAAAGGTGCATGTGTGGATGAGGCTGAGAGAGAGCGGACTGTCTAGAGGAGCTTGGAGGAGAAAACACAGCAGAGTGTGTGTTCACACACAGAAGGCAGCAGCACAGACACACCTGCAAACATGGACTGATCTTTATGTTGTTGTAGTGCCATTGTGGATTCATTGTTTTATAAAAGTGTCTTGTGTTTGTATAATATACTATTTTTAATAAATATATGAAAGGTTTGGCCTTTCCTTCGGCTTTTTTAAATTACCATTTTTATTTTATATTATTTATTTAAAAGACAGAACTTGAATGGACAGAATGGACTCATATTTTATTTATTGGAAAAGTTTGCTCAATTTATAGACCTAATTTCTTCTTCTGCATTTGTTTGCATTTTGTTTTTGTAAACAAAAACTACTTTCTACAACTTTTTAATTAATTGTGGGCAGATGATATTCTCTGCATTCAGTAGATTGCAGGAGACAGAAAACTTATTTAAGCCTTTAATGTTAACTTTAACTTCAACGTTCAGTGATATGATAAATTCCCCCAAATCAACAAAGTATAATATAAAAAGACACATACATTTTCTTTATCATTTCTGTGTGTGAACAAAGGAAATGAGAACAGGACGTTTTATATCATAATGAGGTCTGTGTGTTATCTGTCATTCAAATATTCAAGCTTCTCTTCCTTCTACTGCAGTTGTTGATGAAGATGAGGCTTTTACATGATGACTGTTGATGTCTGTTTTATTATTATGTCCCCCTGTGAGATTTGTGAATTTAAATAAAAATCTTGATGATAAAAGGCCGTTTTTACTTAGTTAGAGTCAGGCAAGTCTGAATTTAATCTTCTGAAGATATCCAAAAATGGATCACTTACTACTTCTTTTCTATTTGGATGTTTTTTTCTGTGAACATACTGTACACGAACAAATCACAAGACCATAAACACAAATATTTGTTAAAAAGTGTAATTTCAGAATGAGCAGTTATTCCCTCTCCCTATATTCTGATGTTATTAAGGTCAAACAGTCTGTGTGCTTGTGTGGTCTTGTGAGTTAGAGGAAAGTTAAGGCATTGATTTGATGAAGTGAGAGTAGGTGGATGAGGATGTTGGACATTATCAGATCTGATGGACAGAAACTTTACATAAAAGCCTTCCATCGCTGATTTTGCATAGATATCAAAAGGATATTGTAATTATATCCATTTCTTCCCCGGATATAAAAGATATGGTTATGATAATAAGAATATGGGTTACACGTTGGGGTTTTTTGTGGATTCAAACTTGCTTGGCACTAAAACTGAAATATCCTGTTCTCTGGGAATATTTTGTTGCTCAGTCTTACAGCAGCCTGCCACTACCTGTCTGTTCACTCATGCACTGAACCACTTCTTATTTTCTGTGACTACGAGTCAAACAGTTGCAATAATGGGACAGCGGTGTCTGATGGGTGCTGTTCATTGCATCTGGAATGACATTTGGAGAAATGAGACACTGGTGAACTCTCCTCAAAGAAGTACTGAGGATTGGGATTCAGTCTGTGTTACTTCTCAAGTAGACGGGTTGAAGCTGAAGAGATTTGTACACTTGATAGAAATTGGATCTGTAATGTTCAGTTCATGTCAGCCATATTAAGTAGAGAAAAGTAATAGTAATCCACACAGTGTAGCACCAACTCATACAATATTTATTAAAATCCATCTACACTTTTGATAACAACAATAACAATAATGTAGCAGTGACCAGTTCCTGCCACTATTTGGTGTTCAGTGCATTTTCAGTTGTTGGTTTTTTGTTTTTTTTTTGGACACATGAAATGGTTTAATTCTGCTTAAAGATTACATTCTATATCAAACAGTGCAAGTGTCAATTTCAGCAGATGAGTGTCTTGAACTGGTCAGTGTTACATTCTCTTTCATAAACGTTTTAAACGTGCAGTTTGAACAAAGACTACAAAGAATTTATAGAGAGTGATCATTCATTTGAGCTCACAACACCACTGAGTGGACAATAATTCAACAGGTGCCTGCTAAAAATGCAAAGAGCTGTATTACAAGTTAAATTGACCAGTGACATACTCAGTCAGGACTGATGATTTCCTGACACATATGTATACTGGGGAAGTGATGTTAACCAGTTTGTGCAGTTGATTAAGTAAAAGCTACCAAAACTTTAACAGCATGATCCAAGTTTTGGTTTTCCTGTGAGTAAATGATGACAGATGCTGAATGTTGCATATTTGCCACTGAGGGGGTAGTGACATTTAGGTGATACCCTCTGAACAGAGAGGAAACAGGAGAGGTCAAAAAGAAAAACACAAAAGACTGACGACAGCAAAAAAAAAGTGTGAAAATATAAGAGACAACATTTAAAAACTGTGGCTGGAGACATCCTTTGCACTCCTACTGTCTGGACAAGAATTCATGATTGCAAGACTTTCAGTGGAATTTCTACATAACTATGACTATGATGACTCAAATGATGGATTTAAGCCAATTGTATTGACCAGCCCTAACTGTTGCATAGTAAGAAAAAGCTCAAGATGGGTGTTTAGGCCATGTCCTCTTCGCCCTCCTCCTCAAACTCGCCCTCTTCCTCAGCAGTGGCGTCCTGGTACTGTTGGTACTCGGACACCAGGTCATTCATGTTGCTCTCAGCCTCTGTGAACTCCATCTCATCCATGCCCTCGCCGGTGTACCTGAAACAAGATGATACTTACTCACATACGATTTGACAAATGAGTCAACATCTATTGGTAAAACGATTTGTATTATGACAGTCTATGAATTCTGAGTAAGAACAGGTCAACAGGGACTTCTCTCCACCATCCGACTTCCCTCAGTCTTCTATTACTCACCAGTGGAGGAAGGCCTTGCGGCGGAACATGGCGGTGAACTGCTCTGAGATGCGCTTGAACAGCTCCTGAATGGCTGTGCTGTTGCCAATAAAGGTGGCAGCCATCTTGAGGCCGCGGGGAGGGATGTCGCAGACGGCCGTCTTGACATTGTTGGGGATCCATTCCACAAAGTAACTGCTGTTCTTGTTCTGCACATTCAGCATCTGCTCGTCCACCTCCTTCATGGACATGCGGCCTCTGAAGATGGCGGCGACTGTAAGGTAGCGCCCGTGGCGTGGGTCGCAAGCTGCCATCATGTTCTTGGCATCAAACATCTGCTGGGTCAGCTCAGGAACTGTCAATGCCCTAGAAAAAGACAAACAATTCAATTAGGATCTATTTTAAATGTATTCAAGTACAAATTGAGGGTCTGATATGGTTTCTAAAAGCAGGTTCCTGCCTCTCTACCTGTACTGCTGGCTGCCACGGCTGGTCAGGGGGGCAAAGCCTGGCATGAAGAAGTGCAGCCTGGGAAAGGGCACCATGTTGACAGCCAGTTTCCTCAGGTCAGCGTTGAGCTGGCCGGGGAAGCGCAGGCAGGTGGTCACCCCGCTCATGGTGGCTGAGACAAGGTGGTTGAGATCGCCGTAGGTGGGCGTTGTGAGCTTCAGTGTACGGAAGCAGATGTCATACAGGGCCTCATTATCAATGCAGTAGGTCTCATCTGTGTTCTCGACCAGCTGGTGGACAGAAAGGGTGGCATTGTATGGCTCCACCACTGTGTCTGACACCTGGAGTGGGTCAGTGAAGGGAAAGAGGAGACAAAGGGGGAGGAGGGAACAGCATTAAAGCACAAGGAAGCACGTGGAGGGACAAATATTGGATTTTAAAATAATCTGATGTATTAAATGAACCTTAGGTGAAGGCACCACGCTGAAAGTGTTCATGATGCGGTCTGGATACTCCTCTCGAATTTTGCTAATGAGCAGGGTGCCCATGCCAGAGCCGGTGCCTCCTCCCAGGGAGTGTGTGAGCTGGAAGCCCTGGAGGCAGTCGCAGCTCTCTGCCTCCTTCCTCACCACATCCAGGACTGAGTCCACCAGCTCAGCTCCCTCAGTGTAGTGGCCTTTGGCCCAGTTATTACCTGCTCCACTCTGGCCTGTGTTACATGCAAATACAGAAATCTATCACAGCTCTGGAGTCAAAACCTCCTGGATCTAATTCTACTTGAAACATGACTTCATAATACATGCAAAGTCAAACACAATGCACTTTTAATGAGCAGCGCATACACTGGCTCCTTCACTCTTGCAGGAATGTGGGAAAACTACTTTAAGGATATCCAGCTTAAAATAAGAGTGACTCTAGATGCTTTAATCACAGTATGGCAATTTCATCAACCAAAGTTAAAACACACATTAATGTTCACATTTAAATTCTCACCAAAGACAAAGTTGTCTGGTCTAAAGATTTGTCCAAAGGGCCCAGACCTCACAGAGTCCATTGTGCCTGGCTCTAAGTCCACCAGCACTGCACGAGGGACATACTTGCCACCTGGAGATGAAAACACAGTCCGACAAATTATTGAAACAAATATGGCTGAAACAATTACTCAAGCTGCTCACTTTTTTTTTTGTTAGTATGCATTAAATACCTTTCAAAAGGTTCACCAAACAAAGAAAAAAAAAAATTTGTGGGCCTGACACTTTGTTAAGTTGTTGTGACTGTTTCTCATTTTACTGATTTGAAACTACAAAAAACCGTTTTGGCATTGAGCCACATGTTTGACATTAACTGTAAATCATTTTTAAAATGGTTGGTTGGCCTGTCAGTACAGCCAGGTGTGCTTAGAGCAGACCGTTACAGTAGAGCTGCAAACAAAGCACAAAACCTATTTATGAACTCATTAAAGACATTACTACTACTATAATTCCTCCTTTACGACCCACTAATGCCTATCATTTACTGATAATGAAATATCTCGTTTTTATAAGATCAATAAATAAACAAACTCAGTCACTTATACAAATATCACAGTAAGTTAAAGCTAACGTTTTCCTGTTTGTTTGTGATAGTTTCGTCTGCTGTTGGTTTGTTGGTTTGTTGTATCATGGAAACGGGGTGACAGTAACTAGGAAGAGCCCATTGGCTTCAAGACTGCTTTCTAGCGGGACAAGGAACCCCTGCTGGATGGCTACGGTACTAACAAGCCCTCCGGGCAGTGTTGAGTTACCTTGGCTCCCTTAGAAATGAGATAATCTAACTCTGTAGCTCGGAACCCTTAGCAAAGTAAAATTAACCTGATGCCTCGTTGTAATACACGTTGATCCGCTCCAGCTGCAGGTCGCTGTCCCCATGGTATGTCCCGGACGGGTCGATGCCATGTTCGTCACTTATCACCTCCCAGAACTGAAAGGGGAAAAGAGGGAAAAGAGGGAAAAGAGGGAAAAAGGACAACAAAATTAGCTGCTTACTCAGTGACCCTTGCGAGGCAAACCCATCGGTGCCATGGACACCAAGGCTATCATTAGCTTTGCTGCTAAGTAAGCTAATTTATCTCCCTGCCCGCCCAATCCAAATTTAACATTCACGCACTTTTTTCGGTGTATTAAGACTTCACTTTTATACCAAAGCTGTTCTCACCTTTGCGCCGATTTGGTTTCCACACTGGCCTGCCTGCAGGTGTACAATTTCCCTCATTTTGGTCGGAATTTAAAACTGCTGAATAACGACAGAGAAACAAAGTTGTTACCGCTCTAGCACTCCAGCAACGGACTGACCTGATAAGGTAGGATCAACGCCAACTGGAGCTGGCCGATAAACCCCATTGGACCAGCTAAATGTCAGTCAAAGCACACCGGACATCTTATTGGAAGGGGGAGGCTCCCCCTTCGGGGGGGCACCGTTGCCCTGGTTACACAAAATAGAATTCAATACACAACAGCGTTTCTGCAGAGGCACGCCTAAACTCTGCTTTATGTTTCAATGAAAACCCACCAACAAGAAGGTGTTCATCCGTGGCAACACAGACCAAAATTATACCTTTTCATTTGACGAGAGGAGAGTATAACTTTACGTCTTGCTGTGTTCAACAACAAAACAATAAACGTCCAGAAACAAGTGATAATGCCGTACATATTTCTATGATGATGTAATGGTAATTTAGTGTGATGTGGTGTTTATTAGGGGACAAGTATACTATCTAATCCTACATGTGAGGTCTCCTTGCTAGAAGAGGAATTAACAAATTACTGTAATAATATGTTTAACTCACCTGTTGCACAAGGGCGTTTCTTCATACTCTCAAGGGATTTTGCTGGTAGTGTTCAGTTCATTGTGTTGTGGGGTTTCACATTTAGATTATAAACATTTATGAATAAAAGGTCTACCAATTTAAATCAAATTATTTAACAAAAAATCCCAAGTTTTTTGCCTTCAGAAATACATTTACAGACATTCAGTGTTATACTTTTCAACTGAAGCTCTGAAAAGAGCCAGGGATGCTTCACTAATTACTGGAAGAAAATCTGTTCTGCAGTCTCAGCATCCCAGTATAAAAATAATGATTTTTGATCAGTGAGTATATACCCATTTGTTGTTGTACAGTTGTCCTTATACTGTACTAAGTTCCAATGAAGCCACTGTACCTCTGCAGTGTTCTGGGATCACATTCACCACCAGACCTCTTTCTCCTCTATTTGATTCAGATTCTGCTCATCGTGTTTATCAAGCTGCAATAAGCTCAATGACTAACATATGGCTCCATTATAACACATTTGCAATGTCATTAAACTTAGAAAAAAGCAGACTGGGGTCACAAATTTTGGAGTTTTATTTTTTGTTCTTGTAATGTCATCAACAAATCAACAAAAAACAAACTGAAAATACAATAATTGTAACATGAGCGAGTTCAAAGATGATGTAGGCCTAATGGCTCAGAGAAACAGCAAGCTTGACAAACTTTCATCTAAAAGGGGTTAGGCAGAAAATTATCAAACCATAGATCAGGCAGGCAGAGTCAGGTTGGCAGAACAAAGGGTGGGAAGGGCAGATGCAAACTAGACAATCTGGCAAGGAGTGAGTGGAAATGGGCGGTATATACTGCAATACTAATGAGAGTAATGGGGAACAGGGGAGCAGGTGGGCGAGGAAGGTCAGGTGATGGAAATGGCGTGAAAGGGGTTACTGCAGGGCAGGTGGGTGTGGTTGGATCTAATATGACAGGAGACTTGGTAGATGGCAGGGAAAAAAGTATGCAACAGAATGAATACCTCTAATCTACGTAGAGCACCATTCATTTTTAAATACAATAAACAATTCACATTTATGAATGTGACATTTGCCAAGAATAAGAAAAGTTTTATAATTAAAAAAATCTTTAAGATCGTTCATTGTTTAAGATGATTTAAACGTGTTATCGGTTTCTGTATGCGCATGCAGTTCCAAAAAAATAAAAAATCATGTTCATCAAAGAATGAAAAGTTTGTGTTGTGTCCTTTTTGAGTCTTTAGAGGAAGCATTTTGCCTCTGTGCAGCAACTTAAAAGAAACTTCTCTCATCTCCTATGTTAGTACTTTAGATATTATTAGTCCACACCTTCTGCCAAGGTATTTCTTGTACAACTAATTCATTCCAATAAATAAGACATAAAACATGATACAGCAACTTTATAAGCTTTCTTAATAAAAAAGCTTTTATATTTCTGTTGTTACGGCTGTGACCATCAGAAAAATGAATTACAATCAGTCTTTAAGAAAAGAAATGTAAGATAGAAAGGACAAGGACAATAAAAAAGAATAATGATGAATAAGATGCCATAAATACATAAATTCTGAATGGAAGCAAAAGCAGATTGAATTCAAGTAATTACAGAAACATAGTTACAATATTTAAGAGTGCATATAGTCTGTTTTTATGAAATGTCTGAGAGTTTATAAAATATGTAGGTACAATATTGCTAATGTTGAAGAAAAAACACGTTTGGGACTAAAAATGTAGCATTAAAATCACCACATTAACAATACAATTAATGTTAGGGAATAAATGGCTCATTTTATTTTGGTAAGCCTGCCCTCAAATGACGTCGTAATTCTGCGACTGTTTATATGCGACACACCATCATGGCTCTGTTTCCAGCTTTTGCAGAAGTAGACAGTAACAAAGTAGAAGATTCGTCTAAAGGTAACCAGCCCTTCATGTGGCTCCCGTTTTAATATGGCCTGTTACTCTGCTCAGTACTCTGCTGTCACTGTGTTGGTGAGATAAAGCTGCTTAACAACGAGCTAGCTGACATTAGCCTGTCGTTGATGCTACACAGACCTCAGCGTTAGCTCACCTTCTTATCAATAAGTGGACTTTCCGCTGCACGGTTCCTTCAGAGAGCTAGGATACCGTGTGACTTCTTGTTTGCCTCATATAACTTAATGATGTTAGTGTCACATTTCATCCGGACACTGTTTACGCTGTGTACACTTGAACACACTCGTTGTTGGCTGCTGCCTTAGCAACGATGTATACCAGGTTGAAAACAACTGTTGTCCGCTTTCTTGTAGATCTAACGTTATATCATAAAGTTACCAAAATATCTCAGTACAGCCTTGAAATGTGTGTATTTCTGCTAACAACCGAGGCATTAAAGTGCTGGATGCTGGTGTGTAGTTGTATTTGTGATGTTTGTGGTGTCATCTTCCTGTTGTCACTATTACATAACGTTACACAATTAATACGCGTGTTTACATGTACTCTAGTATCCTGCTTTTGAGTCTTGTTGGTTTTGATGGAGTTTGTTATCCAGGTTCCTGATCCTCTGTGGCAGTGCAGTCTTTGACTCATCCACATGCAGCAAAAAAGTATTTCCTTTCTGGCTTCCTAGACTCTGGTGTGCTTACCCATAATCTGGATTTAACTGCTCCATCTAATCCTGAGTAATGGAATACAACAGAAATTTGTCTCCTACATAGGATTTAATGCGTCCATTTAATAAATCCAGTTATAACCGAGATACTACACTGCATATAAACAAATTGAGTAAGTGATAATATCCATCATGACCTCTCAATCCTCCTGAGTATTGAATAACACTCTTTTTTTTTGTGGTCACTCTCTTCTTTTAGAATTAGACTGGCTGAAAAATAAGAGTTTTCAGACTGAAGATGCCCTCTCTCTTCACAGCCGGTATTTTGAGAAGACCGGTGAAAGGCTAAACAAAAAGGAATCAAGGTACAAATAAAAATTAAAGTTTGTTTCTTTGCTTGCAGACACAACACTGGACAGTCTACTATGTATGCATGCAACTTTTTACTCCAGAATCTTTTACATTTTCTTCTTCTTTCTTTTCTCCTTATGTTTACTTGTTTCTGTGTTCCTATTAGTCTTACTTGTGTCTGTTTTTCTTCATTTGAACTCACTCTGAAACAATTTAGAAATAGTTTAAAGATCGTTATTCTATCACTTTTCATTATAATAACTGAAAGAAAATGTTTTGCTCGAGGCTGGTGTTTAGTTTAAATGTGTTCTTATGTGACTCTCATTAACATCGAGTTCACTTTATTATGCTCAGTGTTGGCAGAGAGGTGAGCTCTGAGGAGGTGGAGAAGGAAGAGGGAGAAGAGGGTAATGTGCCACCAAAAAAGAAGAAAAAGAAGAGTGAAAAAAAGAGGAAAAAGAAGAAAAAACACAAAAAGAAGAGTGGGAGGTATTCGGACAGCAGTGGGTCTGACTCTGAAACCATTTACCCCAGTGACCTCAAAAGGGAAGAAGAGGCAGACGGGTATAGACACACACATCATACGTATTTACACTCTTAATTTTATACACAACAGCATTGTGTTATTTATGGTTGGTGTGTGTGGGATTGTGTATGTGCGTCTCTGCAGGCCACGTGCTGCTCCGTTAGCAAGTCGATTCTCCTGGTTGGATGACCTCCAGACGCCCACAGAGCAGCCGTTCTGTGTGGACCGTAAAGCAGACTCAGCCAACTGGACATACAAGTCCCTGTACAGAGGAGATGTAGCCAGGTAACACAGAAACACACACACACACATACACACATACACACACACACACATACATTCTACACCATGACGGCTGTGACATCTGTCTCCTTGGATTTTTTTCATTTGATGAAGGTGGAATGTCTGTCTTGGTGACTAACCCTGCTCATAATAACCACCTGGTTCTACAGTTGATTACAAATCAAAAACATCAAATGCATCATTGAGTGGGGGGGAAAAGTCTGTCAAAATAAAAGTCTCAATGTCCTGGAAATAGGTTTGAAGACTACAGTAGCAAAACTTTGATAAATAATGTATGGGTTATCATCTTAAAGATAATTTAGAAACTCTCTGTGTGTTCCAGGTATAAGAGGAAAGGCATCTCGTCCTTGGGTCTGGACCCTCGCAGACAAGGAGTCAGCTGGGAGGAGTCAGAGTCAAACAAGAAACAGAAAGGCGGGGACAAGAAGAAAGCAGCAGACAGATACTTCTCTACAGCCAGTCGCCAGCTGCTGAGGTCCGAGCCACCTGTTCCTACATTACCAACGATTCCTGAGTGTGATGATGCCATCAGCTCCACCTCCTTCCTCCCACTGGGTAACGATGAGGAGAACAAAGGAGGTAAGAGGTTTAGCCACAACAGATGGGGAAGATTCGCCTCAAAAAAATCAAGGTAATCAGTAAAAATACGCAAAGTAAGGCTGACATGACTTTGGAAATTAAAATAAAGGCTTCATGTGTCCTATGAAGTGTGGAATGTGTCCTAAGGTTGCAGGAGTTGAACACTACAATATTGTATTAAAAGAATTTCAGGATTTAAGTGCCAAACCTTTAATGTGTCATTCCAGGTGACAGAGTGCAGACGTCATCAGTAAATCCCCTCGGTGTGTATGACTCCTCAACGGCCCTCTGGCTGCAGGGGAAGGGACAGCCGGAGCAGGCAGAGCAGCAGAAGCAGGACTTGCGGACAGGGCAGGGTGCTGCGCTTTTGGCCGGAAGGACTGAAGAGTTTAACAGGCGGCTCAGAGAGCAGCCATCAGACACACAGCTATGGATAAAATTCATAAGATACCAAGTATGAAACACTACTTTCGTTACACAAGCTTTGAACTGAGTATGTTTGTGTTTATATGAATGTCTATGTCAGTGTTTGGGTAGCTGTCCTGCTGACTGAACTGAGAAGGCATTGGCTACAGCCCAAAGCTGAAAGACAGATTTTCCTTTAGGGACAATAAAGTTAAAGTTGAAATTTGAAAGTTAGATTGCAAACTAACGTCTGTTCGTACTGTAGACTGTCACACATGGTCGGTGTTAAATCACATGGACAGTCTATATAAAGTAGAACTAGGAAATGCACTTGAGGCTGACATCATTGTCATTTAGTTATTACAGACATTGCTTCCTTATCAGCTAAGATATTGATGACACCAATATGTATATGTGACACCAGTGAGATAATATCATCCTACAAGCAAACCAGTACTTTATCTGGACACTCTTCCTTTTTCCTCTCTCATTTTTAAATAATGAAATTATTCCATAAGTTATTTCTCTGCAGCAATAATTATAAACTTTATCATCTCCTCTCCCTCTGTAGGATGAGCTGAGTGCAACAGTGTTTGGAGGTGAGGAGGAGCAACAAGGTAGCGATTCGGCTGAGCGTCATAAATCCTCCCACCGAGCAGTCCTGGAGAAAAAGCTGAGCATTACAGAGCGTGCAGTGGCCACCAACCCCAGCTGCATAGCTCTGCAGCGGGAGAGGCTCAGGATCTGCCAAGAGCTCTGGGAGCCCTCACTTCTGGCTAAGGAATGGAAGAAACTGGTCAGTCTACAGTCTTCATGTTTCTCACTCAATGCTTTTGTATTTGGACTACACACAGCGGTGCACATTCAAGGTGCAATTACAGCTGTAGTTTATTTTCTTTGCCCTTAAAGTGTGGGAAATTGGCTTTGCTGTAATTGTAGTATTTGGTGAAGGTGTCTCCACATTTTTCTTAAATGAATCCCTTTCTATAGCTGTGTATTAAAGGCTTCTCTGGGTCTGTAAAATAGTCTCATTGCTACTTTTTGTCACTGACCAATGCTGACATATGAGCATGTCTTTATACAAGGATAACTTGTGTTTTATCTATTGCACTTCAGGTGTTCCTCCACCCAAACAGTGCCCCCTTGTGGAGGGAGTATCTGCTGTTCACCCAGAGCTACTTCAGCAACTTCACTGTGTCCAAGGTCAACTCTGCGTACGGGAAGTGTCTAAGCACTCTCAGTGCTGTGCGTGATGGCAGCATGGTCTCTCACCCAGCCCTACCAGGGATAGAGGAGGATATGTTGGGTAACAGACATTTTGTCATTTTTACCTACACTGAACCAGTTTTTCTCCTCTGAGAGGACTGATTAGTTACATATTCAGTTACTCTGCCCAGTTTTATCACCTGTTTCTGTCACAAAAATACACAGACACAGATTAAAATGTGATGCATTCTCATTTGTTAATAGAAAATATTTTTGTTTGTACACTCAATGCTTATTGAAAGTTGTTTTCTGTCTGTCCAGATATCTTCACCCAGCAGTGTCATTTCCTGCGTCAGTCTGGTCACTCAGAGAAGGCGATTTCTCTGTTTCAGGCCATGATCGACTTTACTTTCTACAAACCTGACAGCGTACGACAACTGTCCACCAAGCAGCAGGTAAACTCACACACTGAAGGACTTCAAGTACACAGGCACTAAACCTGATCGTAATTTTATTATTCAAGTTGTAAATCTAAACCTGATGCTTTTAAATAATATTGGCCCACTGCAGTGACTTCCTGGAGCCTTGTGATCTATGTGAGGTTTTCAGGCAACCAGTGGAGCCTTCAGGAAGTCACTGTGCCCCGGCCAAGAAATAGCCCAGCACATGACCTGAAAAACCACAACTCTACACTTTATTTTTTGTGTTAATTAGTGAACTTTAGAGGTGCTAGTAGGTGTATTTTGTTACCTTTAGACAGAACCACACTAACCGCCTGACCACTAGTATTGCTAGGGAGCAGTGTTGTTATGATTGGTTTCCCATTTTGTGAGTATCATGCATGCACACGAGGACACGCATGCATGCAGGCGATTCAATACACATTCCTACCAATGGTTTCATGTTATTCAGCTGATGGACAGTTGGTGCCACTAAAGTGAAAAGAAACATTATGGTGGGTAACAGAGGTAGTGAAGAAGACTGCCAGCTAGCAAATATGGATATAAACAATGCAGCAAATAAAATACTCCAAATTCCACTCAGTGCCTTTAAAACTTGTAGTATCGATCTCATCGGTCAGTATAAAAACATCCCAATTAGGTGTGTGTGTGTGTGTGTGTGTGTGTGTGTGTGTGTGTGTGTGTGTGTGTGTGTGTGTGTGTGTGTGTGTGTGTGTGAATTTATGTTTTTATGTGCATGTATAGGCTGAGTTCTTTGAGCCATTCTGGGACAGTGGGGAAGCCAGGGTCGGAGAGTTGGGGGCCAGAGGTTGGAAAGCCTGGATGCTCCAACAAGAGCGAGGAGGGTGGCTACAGCCCAGTCCAGGTAAAAAACACACACACAAACAACCTTAAGGCAGGACTAAAATAATAAAAACAAGAAGTAAATAAACTTCATGTTCTTTTGTATGTTTTTTTGTGTCCACAGAGGAAGAAGAGGAGGAGGAAGAGGACGAGGAGGAGGTGAAGGATCGGAGCCAGCCCAGATGGACAGTCTGGTTGAATGTGGAGCCATCTCGTGAAGCAACTCACTGGCTGCCCTGGAGGCCTGACAAAGCAAAGGGCCAATCAGAAGAGGACTGTGAGGACCCGGACAGACAGGTACTGTTTAAAGTGTGAAGCCATTCACAAATTAAGATGTGATATGAGCATGTTGTTTGACTTCTTCGTCTTTTTCTCTACAACTCTAGGTGTTATTTGATGACATCGGCCCTTCCCTAATTTGTCTGTCTTCACCAGAGCTCCAGCTCCGTCTTCTTCTCCATTTCTTGTCATTCCTGGGTTTGCCCGTAGACCCTGTGCTCTCTGCTACCCCCTGTCAGCCTAGCCTGCTGCTGGAGAACCTCTCTCTGCTCACTCAGGGTAAAAATGACACCATCAGTCAGAGTAATACAAACTAGCTATTTGTTAGTATATAATTGAGATAAAGGCAATGACAAATTTTGCTCGATGTCATATCCTAAGGAAATGAGCCCCGGCGTCCTCTGACCTCCCACGACCTACCTGACCCCGGGGTTAACTCGGTAGGTCACATGACCACTCTCCAGGGAACAAGGAAGTGGGTGGGGCTTGGGAAGCAGGGCGAGATGTTTGTCACCAACGTGTTCAATATGGTCCAACCTGTCCTTCCTGCCCACCATCGAGCCGCCCTGTCTCTCAGCTGGATGCAGTACGAGAAACTCAAGGTAGGGGTCGCTTCATCTGACTATATTAAATTTGTAAGAAAAAGCATTTAGGTCAACTGACCTTTGCACCAATTTACCTATTTATATTTGTGTGTGTATATGTCAGGTCTTGCGCTGCTTGCGTGGCAGCAACAAAAAGCGTCTTCGCTCTCAAGGCAAGAGCAGCAAGCGGGTTGCCAAGCAACTGCTCAAAGAACCCGACAACCGCTCGTCGTTGGTGCTGTGGCGGGAGTACGCCCACCTGGAGTGGATGTTAGGCAACCTTGACGAGGCTCGCAAAGTCTTCTCCACAGCCACGGCAATGGGGGGAACCAAAGGGCCGAGGAGTCCCCATCTCTGTGAGCTGTGTCTGCTGTGGGCCCAGCTGGAGGTGGAGGACGGGGAAATTGTGCGAGGAGGAGGACTAACTGATGTCACCATGTCCCCATCCGTGTCCGTACTAACCAGGCTAGCCGAGGGAACCTCTTCATCCTCCCAGCCCCTCTCTCCGGTTTCCATCCTGAAAGCCAGGAGGTTGTATGAACAGGCTCTGATGGCCAGCTTGTCAGCTTTGGACCAGAACCCCCACAACCCTCAGGCCAACAGAAAAGGTTCACCTAACTCCTGTGTGTTTCATCCATCAAGGAGGTGCTGCATGTGTCCTATGAAAGGACCATATCAGTGGTTTTGCATGTTTTAACCCAGTTACTGCAAATCCTGTTCACTCAAGGTTACTGCTGACCATTGTTCCAAACATACAATGCTATTTGTTTAGAATAATGACTGCATATGTCATGAAACCCGTGTTTTCTAATCATTGTAGTGCGGCATAAAATTCAGCTTGCAGAGACTTGAAACTTGTAATCCATTGCATTTAGTTGAATATTTAGTCGTCTCTATACAGTCTTAGTGGTCAGTAATGTAAGGTATCCAGTACATGATTGGTAGTAATGGGTTTAAAACAACAACCTTCAGCAATAAGTCATTATTACCAGTTACTCACCAGTCATGCATATGAAACTCTTATGTAAGGTAACATGAAGTCAGGGATTGCTGTGGCATTAAAAACTGAATGGGTTGGTCACATCTTGCCAATACCCAATCCACTTAATCAGGTAACTGTCCTGATACCAATCGAGAAGATCAAATTGGTGCATAACTAATTATTATTCAGGATATTAGTATAATTATCAATTGCCAAACTAATGGTAGTCACTGGCCTCTGGATTGCATTTCATCTTCTGTCTGATGGATTTCTGTACAGTGACAAACCTGTTCTTCCGAGTCAAGCTATAGCATTCAGTTTATTGTAGATTACTGGTGGTAAGAGGAAAAACCAATGAACCCAAATATCCTCTCCCTTAGACATATCAAAATGTCTACTGTAAAGATTGACAGTAGGAAAAGCACAGGTGTAAATAATTAAAGTAATTATGGCTGAATTTCGTTTAGCTGATTCTGTTCCAATGTGCTGCTATTGTTCAGGCTGGCATACTGTCATGTCTTACTGGGACACAAACAGAACAGAGCTATTGTTAATGTTATTAGTAACACCTGTGCTTTCCCTAATATGACAGGTCTGAATATCTCCTGTGAAAAAGATCTCTTTCATTAATTTTATCCTACTTCTCATCTCATCATTCCATCACCAGGTCAAGAGGACTTGTTAGGAGAGAAGCCGAGGCTGAGAGGCCTGGTAGGCTGCTACGCTCTGTTCCAGTACCTCACAATGGGCATCGAAGCAGCCAACTCTGTCTACAGCCAGGCTAGAGAAAGGATAGAGGAGCTGCACCGCACACTAATACTTGACAAGCAGCTTAACAGTAATGAGCAAAGTACTGACGCTAGCCACTCTGCAGCGGATTTCAGCCATACGTACTATGTTAACAGACTAGCCTCTGAGTGTGAGGCATTAGCACTGCAGCAGGTAGTGTTGCTGAGGTACCACAACAGCATCAGTGTGTTTCCACTGGCAACACTGAGACAGACACTGACCTCTGCCCTCTCCACCTGGCCCAGCAGTGCCCCACTCTGGAGCATATATGTACAGGTAAGCCACGGTCTCCTCATAAGACACCAAAACTTGAAACCAAAATCAATCAGTTGTTGGCAATGAACTTCAATAACAGTTACTTGCCTCAGCCCTTTGCACTTATTCTGTACCGAGTCAGTAGTTAGATTTTGGCATGATATCCCTCATGCGACCTCTGTTTCAGGTGGAGAACCGTTACCATAGTGCTGGCCGAGCACGTCGCTTTTTTCACTCTGTAACCAGGGACAACAGCAGTGTTGTGCCACGCCTCTTTGCCATTGTTGCAGAACAACAAAGGAAGCAGCTGGTGGACGCTGCTCAGAGGTAAGAGCAGGAAGGATGATGGGTAGGTGCGGGGTAATCCTGCACTCATGTTGTATTGGAATAAGCACTGTAACAACTTCAAAAGATGCAATGGTCATAGTTTTCTACCTATAGTACATATTAATAATTATAAAATCACCAGATTTGAGTCAAAATTAAAAACAATATATATATATAATTTTTTTTTGGTTGTCTTTATAGATCTTGTTGCCATGACGCTGCCTTGCCTATCCTGCCAGAGAATGGCCTCAGCAACCGTATCCGTAGACTGTTTGAAAGCACCATAGCAACAGAGATGGGCTCTCACTGTCCTTTACTTTGGAGGATGTACATGCACTTCCTGGTGCGACAGACAATAACACACACAAACTCACACAGGGAAATTCATATTATTTTTTAACAGTTCATCTCAACATCATCAAACTCATAACAGCATAGTTACAGACTTTACTGAAAGGGTGTCAACAGAATGAATTAGTCAATAAACTGATGGGTGCATACATGATGCTAAAAGCAAAAAAAAAAGAAGTGAATGGTTGCAAACGTTACATGTATCAAGGATTTGTTAAACTAAGATAGTAGTGAGGTAGTAATGTATTATTTTAACTAAGCTAAAAGAAATGTAAGATATATGTGTGTTAGAGTTAGGCTCTATCATAGCATCTGACCAGACAGACGAGTACAGGCCTAATCATCTCTGTCAATTATCTATTGAAATTAGACAAAATAAATGTCGTATCAGACAGCTTCAGTGTCTTTTTTAAAAACAAAATCTTATTAAAATGAGTATTTTTCAAAAGAATCAAATTCAAACAAAAATGTACATTTCAGTAATGATTGGAAAAGCCTGCTGTGCCTTTAAGATCCCATTTTTTTTTGTATGTCATTCTGCTCGTTAATCTCTGACCTCTGAAATATTGACTTAAAGACAGACGTATAAGAACTAACACACACAGTAAGAACAGCCTACTCACTTACTTACTTTGTGTAATTGGATACATAAATATTGACAGTATAAAGTCTTCTGTCTGTTCTATGTGTATGTAATGTGTTTGTGTATTTGTAGGTGTCAGAAGGAAAGGTGGATAAAGCCACAGGGATCTTCTACAAGGCCTTACAGAATATCCCCTGGGCTAAGGTGAGACAGACATAATAGTCAATTTTCCTAACAACAGATGACTTATGTCAAGTCCATTTTAAAATTGTACATATGAGAAATTAATTCTTCCTCTTTCTCTCTGTGTGGGTCGGTGTGTATGAACATATATTTGCATTTTTGCAAATTTGTGTGTATGGCATGTGTGTCAGGGTTTGTACATGGATGGAGTGCAGCTGTTCCCTGAGCATCTGCAGGAGTTTGTAGATCTGATGACAGAGAAAGAACTCCGAGTCAGGCTGCCTTTGGAAGAACTGGATATACTACTGGAGGACTGAACACGCACACACACACACACACATCTCATTCAAGAACTGGAGTTTGCTTTAATGGCAACATGCCAACCCACATATTAGCACACTTAATGGAAGAAGAGGAGACGCGTGCAAACTCAGATGCTTTCACACACAGCTGCAGTTTAAACAGTAAAGTTGCAGTGATCATATCTAAAGATGGGCAAGGAACCACTCTTACATCCTGTACATTATATTAGATGTTTTATTTTCACAGCAGATAACTAGGACTGTGTTTTAGTACCAGACATTGTTAATAAATATGATTCTCAGTAACGTGTTGTGTGCTGGAGGTTTGTTTATGTATCTGAGCTTAAAGGACATGCATACTGAGACTGAGAGACTTGAGACCTGAGTTTTAAATGAAATATATTATAAAACTTCATGTTTATATTCAATATATTATTCCACATTTGAGTCTTATCGAAGAAACTGTAAACAAATACTGGGATAAATAAGGAACAAAAAAAATTACGCTGCCTCAGTATTTAATAGTCAAGATTGTCAAATTTGAACTGAATGTTGGCACAATGCAACTCATTCATAAAGCTGCCCTTAACCCTGGGTTAATAGACTCCATTTGATGATAATAATCATAATGAAGTTATAATAAATAAACAGTTTAATACTAATATTATATCCCTGAGCCTTGGTGAGAGACAACCAACAACTGAAAGACGGCAGGTTCAAGAAAGTTGTCACCTATGGGGCAATTTCTTAAATACTTTTTTTTAAATGTTAAATTTAATAATGTTAATAATGTGCTACTGTAAATGGGTCAGTGTTGAACATGTGCTGTTGTTGTTTTTTAATGTATTTGACTCCTTCAAATTTTTAATAATCACATTTTATACATAGAGCATTCAATCGATTTATTTTTTTACCCTATATACCCATGGTAAGTTTTGTTCTTTCATTCCCCCGCGACTCTCTTTGGAAACTCACCTGTGAATACCTGAAAGTTTTCACCGACCCTATTGTATATTACTCACAGGATATACTTTACACACATAGCGGTGGAGTCACTCCCTCCTTTCGTCGTTGCCGCGCCGTGGTTTGACGCATTGCAGATCCGCCCTGGCCAATCAGCGGCCCCTGTACAGAGTGCAGAATATTGCGGGTCTGCCTCGTCCAATCCAAATCTGCCTCTCAAAAACAAAACTGCAACTTCCCCAGCGCCGTCAGCCGAGATGTTTAGCCCGTATCCTTCCGCCTACATAAAACTCTGTGTAACACAAAATAGTCCGTCACTTTGTGTGTCACTTTCAACAGATTAAATATCTAGCACAAATACGAAGAAATACGGTTTAAAGTCACTTTTCTCACCTTTTTCTTTTGAGGGAAAACGACCACTATAATAGACAACTCCCTTATTTTAATGGAAATACAATTATTTTTTAGGTTGCTGTATTTATAATAATTATGCCACACATTTTAATTTAAGTCAACAATGTCAATTCATACAGTTAAGTTTATATGCCTGTTGCAGTCCAGATTACAGTAACAATGTCTGTCTATGATTCTGATGTCATGGCAGCCAATTGGCCAAGAGACATTAGCAGACTTGATGATTGGTGCCAGTTGGAGGGGACATGTGGACACACAGAAGATAATGCAATAATACTGGACAGTCTCCCGGAGCCATAATCTGACAAATAACTATATGATACTCTTGACTAGACTCAACTATAACCACCAAAATGTATCAGTTCATTAATAAAATATAATCTAATGGTGTGAAACTGTATTTTAAGAACATTTTAAAACAGATTTCTGAATTGATGTGAATGTTCTCCTTGTTCACAGATTTTGAGACAAAATTACATAACATTTATTTGGCTTATAGAGCTATTGCAGATGGATGAATTTTGAGTTGTTTGAGAGAATTTGCCTAATTGTTTGACTTACTGATTGATTGATGGTTCATATATTTGACTGTCTTATTTGTCCTCCAATATTAACAGGCATATATTTACAGGAAAACTGGGACTGCCATTTTGTTGGTTGCAGTCGACTGTAGTACCTGCAAAGGCCCAATAGACCAACTGTCTCACTGACTTGAAGTCCCATGAGATATATATCCCACTACTAGCAGGTAAAACATGACGCCCTAAATTTATGAGAAATCAGATTTTTTTTTATTGTCTTCAAGATCAATTGAGGTTTAAGTCTCTCCACTGTGGTGTCATTTAGCCCTCATTTAAAACTAGATTAGCACTATTATTCCCTGAATCCAAAGCAATAATAATTACCAGGGTTATTTTGATTTTCATAAGAAGATCCCAAACTTTTCCCACAGTTTCATTCAATTGACTGCAGTTTAGTTTGTGTTTGTCTGATTTCATAACAGAGATATTGGCTTAATTTAATTGTATATGGTGGTATTGATGTTAGACACCAGTAGACCTCTCTAGTTCTCCGATTACACAGCATCAAGGCCAGATTAGGAACAGGCAACTGCCATGGGGCCGCAGGTTCACTGCATGTCAGGCATGCCTGACAGTAAATTATCGCCCCAAAACAGGTTAATCTGGCTTTACACAATACACACAAACCCTTTCACATCAAACTACTGCAACTGTTTCTCTTTCTAAATGGAGACTACTTTTTAAACTCAGTCAACCCAGTAAACAATTAGAAGTAACTTCTTGGTGTGAAACATGACAAGCTCAGAGACAGGTGCGCGCACAGCAGCAAGCTCGTATGCATGTGTGCGTCTACGTGCGTGCATGCACGCTCACGGAGAGAGAACGAGGACGCCTCACTGAGCCACAGTGCGGAGGAATACAGTGAGCCGTACAGCAGTAGTTCGTCTTGCCTGCCCGCCTCCAGCAAGCCTTGTTCAGTGGCAACCGTCCATTTCCTCTCTCCCTGTAGCGTAGCAGACCACCGTCTCCAACTCAAACAGACATGGTGAGTATTTAATCATCGTGGTTTGTGATATGTACGACATGAAATTGTGTTGAGTTGAGGGAATGGCAGCCAGGGGCTCCTACGTATCTCCATATATAACGTTATATCTCCCGCTGTGTCGTTTTGTTGAAATATCCTGAAGCAGAGCGCGAGTAGGATGGACTCGGTTGCACTGTTGAGTTAGCTAGCTAACGTTAACTAACTTAGCTGTTAACACTGTGGTTTCTAGACACAACGAGGGAGAAGCTTATCACATCGCCGTAGCTTAAGTTAGTACCCGCCACTTAAATCGTAACTTATAGTGTGCCGCTTGTTACAGGTGGCCACATATTGGCAGTAGTTGTGGCTGCACGGTTGGCTGTCAGTGTTAGCATCAGAGCTAACGTTACATCCCCAATGAGTGATATTCCGGTATCTGACAGCTGTAATAACAGTCAGCAGTGCATTTTCTCTTCAAGAGTAACCTTACTAATGTTACAGTTTGTGTCGGGAGTGACTGTTTGTGAGGGATCGCTACACAGAATTTATTACGCCTGTGCTGCGCCGCAATCTGTGACCGATCTCATGTCCTATTCACAGACATAAGACATTCAGCTATGAGAAGGACTGATGGGTGAGGTGTCGGTGGGGTACAGGCAGATCACTTCTGGCCACCAGTTTCTGCCACCACACCTATTAAATATTGTCACCCTTCCAAGAGTCATATATTTTCATTACTGTTGCCGTAATAATTATTGATAACAGTTATCTAAGTACGTTATCTATGTATCCGTTGTAAAAGCTGCAGTGGTAACAACTGACTGTCTAATTAGGTCACACATTATGGTGTTACACCTGTATGTGGTTACTTTGCCACAGAATAAAACAGATATGTTTTAGTTACTGTTAAATCTATTATTGAAACAGTTTGGGCACTGATTGATTGAGGCACTGAAATGTCTTAAAGTCCTGTCTGTAGTATGTATCTGTACTTTGCAAGCACAAGGAACATTGTTGTTGTTTTTTTTCATACCTACAATCTGAAACGGATAAACAGCATACACATGTCTAGATTTTTGTCTCCCTCCTAGTTGTGGTACATACTTTGGTTAGTTTTTGTGTATAAATGCACAATGTCAGCTTCGTATTCATTATCCCTGGAGCAGTCCCCTAGGGAGTGGTAGTATCAATCAGCAGTCATACGCTGTAGTTTATAGCTTGTGGAGGGAGTTGCTTACATTCACACACACAGTGTGCTCTGTTGTCATGTGGAAAAAATAGAGTTTATGGTATAGTCAACCTTATCTTCAGGGTATGCAAGTCCTACATAGACATAAACCTTGTTTGACGGAGGCAATCTACTGAACATATCATAGGCTCCTTTCTTTTTCATTACACAGGCAAAGCCCTCTACTTCAATAAACTTCCTCAGTTATGTAAATACCCTCTTTTAACAAAACCCTGCAGCAACATGTCACTTAAATTAATGTTGGTAGTTGATTATCTTCTGGATCACACTTCTTGTTTGATACTCAAATATTCATTTGTTAGCATTTCTTGACACATCCTCCTTACATGCGTGTCTTGACTAACTCTAGTTTGTGTCCAGGAGTGTGTCTGGTTTTCTGTCCCAGCAGCTCATTATTTACAGTAAAGTATTAAAACAACCCAGGTGGGAAATAGATGCTGATTATATTGCTATAGCTTAATAAAAAGTAACCAGCAGAAGACCAGGGTCCAAAACCAGTGGCATAACATGATTAAGGTTTTGTTTTCTTTTTGTTTCTGCTGTTTTTGTTATACCTGTAGAATGGCTGGAGTAGCCGTCTGTTATCTTCAGCAGTGTGCAATTACAACTTCTTGAGATATTTGAGGCATGTGTAACACGACAGACATGAATAACATAATTTAGCTGTAAAACTGTGTTGTCTAGTAATTGATATACACATAGACAAGTTTTCACAATGGCTATTAGGATGAGCTGTGTTGTAACTATTCATGTATGAATGTTCCAATGTAAAATTATTTTAAAACTCACAGGTATCTCTAGTATTATTTGCTATAGCTACCTGTTACCATAGGTACCAAGTTGGTATGTGGTTGCTATAGCTACATGGTTGACAGACTTTGATACAGGAAGTAGGAAGCAGCCGGTGGGATTGAGACATCTTTTTTGCAGCTGTCATGTTTCCTTTCCATTTGAGAGATTTGGTAAAAAACAGACTTTGTCTTGGGTTTCATTTTACTGCTGTTAGAGTGTGAAATGTGTTCATGATAAGCCTGCTTCAAGTGAGAATATACTGGAAACCAAAAAGACATTGGCATGTCCGTCTGCTTTGATCACTACAGTGTGCACAGACTCAGTGGATGGGAATTGTTTTTAACACACAAGCATTGGGTTTACATTCTCACTTTTTTATAGGGTAGTGGTTATAACGATATGGAATAGGCCATAGTCATTAAATGGCCACATTTAGAACTGCTGTTAGTTATCACTGATTATGTTTAGTAGCAATGGTAGAATCAGTAAATTTAAATAAAACTATATTCTATTTTGTCCTTACATTTTTTAATACTGTCCATGGGTGCTGTAAAAGTAACTCTCATGGCCTACATGTTACACTCGCACATCATCTAACAGGAACTTGGTCTGTATTGCCTGGGATTGCAGCACCATGACAGGAATTTGGCATTGGTATTAAAGGGGGTTAGCAGCTTGTTAACCATTGCTAGAGCACACACACGCATTGACACACACACACATCATCACTGTCATTATCATCAGCCAAATTCTGAAAGCCTCATTATTATTATTATTGCTTGACAGTAGATGTAGATGAAACATTTCAGTTTTCTACATTATTTTCACCTCATGCTCTCTGTCATCAAGGTCAGCTAAATACAGAATATAGCATATATAACATCAGATAACAATATTTAGAGTATCAATTATCATGGATACCTTTATGCTTTCATTTTTTAATAACCTAGACAATTTCTTAAGTTTCTGTATTTAATTTAAGATTACAACATTTGGACTAATAATATTACTCAAAAAATGCTCATGACTTGCAGAAAAGAAAGAAATGAAAGATTCACAAGCAATGTAATGGGGATTTTGTTAAATATTGTTGACCACAGTATCTTGTAGAGGACTTCCCCTTCCAACATCTGGTTATTATGTATTCTTGCACATTCTTATATGTTCTTATATCGGTGACGGTAAGGATTTTGTTTTGTAAGAAGGGGCAGAGGGCTTTTTTAAAATTTATTTATTTATTTTTTTGTTTGGCTAATTTGTTTCAAACAAACTTTAACATTGGGCTCATGGTGAACTCTTGGGGAAATTGGCATGTCACTCACAGAAACAGTTGTAATTGTGTTGATAGGGGCCCCCCAGCCTGAGGGGGCCATTTGGTGTGACCCATGATGCTGTCAAGGAGGTCAGATGACCAGCCAACTGATCCTCCCTAGGAGCTGCAACTGTAGCAGTGAGATGACAGGCCACAGATTAACACATGCATATAGATGCACATAAAACCCCTGTGACCTCCCCCAGTCTGGACACTGTTACTCTCATACACCTTAAATCAATTTTCCTGACACATTTGAGTGACCTCCTCTGGCCTGGCCTCCTGGCCTCTGCACACACTCATTCTCTTTCTCTGTCAGAGTGTTGAAGGTTCCTCATCTATTGAACTACTGCAGGAGGTGGACACTTCATCTGTGCATCCATCTTCTACTGTACATCTGCTGGGGAGATGGACAGACAGCTAAGCATTCACTTGCCTAGGCTTACACACACACACACAGACACACACTGACATGGAGGCACAGGGAGTGGGGTTCTCCAAAGTCTCACCCAGTTGGAGTCAGATGCAGCCAGGGAAGGACACGGTCTGGTGACACATACTCACAACGCTGCAAGACACAAGGACAGAAAGAAAGATCGACAGTTAAGCAAACAGATTTATTGAAAGACAGACTGGCAGATGGACAAGTAACCAGGAAAACGTCAACAGAAGGACCAGCTTTTCCATCAACTATTCATCCAGCTCATAAAAGAGAGAGACATCGCCTGTCAGGTCAGTGCCAATCCAGTGACCTTTGCCACTCCAGAGGAATTCTGAAAACTTCTGTCATCTATCAAGCCAACCATCCACTTACTCTGTATGGATTGTCATTTGATCAACATTCATGTTTCCATCCAACTATCAACCCAACCTGGACGACTAAAAAACTTAATCTATTTTGCCATCTACTCAAATCAAGACTTAAACTTATTATTATGTAACTATTCAGAGACAGGGCAGAAGCTGCTGTTCACCCTTCCCTCTGTCTGTCTGTTCTACAAATCAGGAACGACTGATAGATGTCTGGCCATCAGTTTTTTCATTCACCTAATTCTCCCATCCTAAGACATCATTCCTGCCCTTCTTGCCATCATTCCCTCATCATGCTGCCTAAGAAAGTCACTCTGTACCCGGCAGAGGACGAGTTGGTGAGCCTGTCCACCGTCTATGACCTCTTGGATGAACAACAGGACTATTACAAGGAGCTCATCCAGCAGCAGGAGAGGAACTATAGAGCCTTCCTACAGATGCTGATGGACTCCTCATCCAGCCGCATGGACAGCCTGGTCAGGGAGATGCAGGACCTGAGGAACTGCCTGCAGAGAACCAAGGCCGAGCTGGCAGACATTAAGAAACAGGGTGTCCAGAACAGCAAGCGGGCAGAGTGCTTGGCTGAAGGCCTGGTGATGGTGCGGGGGGCGCTGGATGGCAACAGCATCAAATCAGGAGTTATTGGGGGAGGTGCTGGAGGAAGAGCTGTGGATGTGAAGCATCGGAGAGGAGGTGGTGGGTTAAGGCTGGATGGAGGAGGAAGAGGAGGTGGAGAGGCAATAAAACCAGCACCGAAAGCAGTAAAGCTGGTGGCAGACCTCACAGATATCCACTTTGATGACATAAAGGTTGTACACAGATGCGCACACAGTGAAATTATTGGGTGAGCTAGAGCATTTAGGATCACTAGGTGGTATAGTGATGTTAATGAACGGCTTCTGGATATCTTAACACTCTGAGCAGTGCTTTGAGGTAGTATGTGGTTGTGGTTCATACTGGAAAGGGTTTCACCATGACTAGATTAAGCATGCTAGGACGGTCGGTTCCAAAAGTAAAATAAAATTGTGCCTGAATTGTTCATCGCTCTGAGTGTAGTTTGAAGTGTATACTGTTCATACCAGTTTGTGATCCCAAATGTTAATTATGGTTTAATGGAGTGCCTTCGCAGCCTGCTCCCCTCTGACTTGTGATTGTTGCACAATTGTGAAGGCTGTTGCTGATTGCCAGTTGGCAAGGAAGTAGGGTTTTTAAGGTCTTTGATGATAGATATTGTGTTGGTCCAGGACATGGGTTCACTATTTGCAGCCCAACCTTTGCCTAAAGGATGAAGCTATCCTAGTATTTTAAGTGTATTAATGCTTTCTTCTCACTACTTCAGTTTCTCTTGACCTTTGTTTTTGTTTGCTAGGCTGACCAACTAACAGAAGAGCAAATTGCAGGTGAGGTGACAATATAAAAATACTACTTAATCATCTTTAGCAACACACACATTACCTGCAAAGGTCCATGCATTCTCACCAGCCATATCAGTTTTATTACCTGCTGTTACTAATGTTTTCTCTTTCATCCTTTCCTCTACCTTCTGCCCCCCCCGTGCCTATCCAGAGTTCAAGGAGGCCTTCTCCCTGTTTGATAAGGACGGAGATGGTACCATCACCACCAAGGAACTGGGCACGGTCATGAGGTCACTTGGTCAAAATCCAACTGAGGCCGAACTCCAGGACATGATCAATGAGGTGGACGCAGATGGTATGCTGATTCTGCCTCAACCTGGGGAAGGATTTTGTTAAGCCGTTTTTTGAAGAGCCTTTTTGACAGTATTAATTGGTTGTTTATAACTTCTGACCTTCTCTTCCCCAGGCAACGGGACCATTGACTTCCCTGAGTTCCTGACAATGATGGCAAGGAAGATGAAGGACACTGACAGTGAGGAGGAGATTAGGGAGGCGTTCAGGGTCTTTGATAAGGTATGCCTCTGTGGGTGTGTTTTATGTTATTTTTATTTATTATGTAAAGATGAAGTGAAAAAAAAAATTGATTCTTTGATGTGTCACATTTTTCTCATGAGTAATTTAGCATTAATACATAAAACTCATTAATCTCCAATCAGTGTTCCCTAAGCTTGACAACTTCCCTCTGTTTACCATGACAATGATATTTGACTGTCACCATTGTAGAGTGTTCGACTAACTGTAATGCTGTATGTGTCTTGGCCAGGATGGCAACGGTTACATTAGCGCAGCAGAGCTGCGTCATGTGATGACTAACCTGGGAGAGAAGCTGACAGATGAGGAAGTAGACGAGATGATCAGAGAAGCAGACATTGACGGAGACGGACAGGTCAACTATGAAGGTACAGGAGAGCAAAATCTGCCTGGAGAAAGCTTAGCCACACTGATGCAACACATAGCTCTGCACACACCTCATTTCCTCCACCATTAGTTTTAGATTAATTATGTTTATGGAACAGAGCTTTATTATGTAATCTGACAAACACTGATGATAGATAGAAGCTCTGTGGTCATTCTGTGTGTCTGAGGGAGTGGCTTCTTTTAGTCTGATTAATCATGATTGTTTTACTGTCTTGTGGTACACAAGTTAAACACTGTTCCTGATGGGGTTTTATTGTGTTTTTTCTTCCCACAGAATTTGTTCAGATGATGACCGCCAAATGAACTGGGCTCCAATTAAGACAAAGAATCAGTCAAATGTTTCACTTACCTCTTATTGCAAAAATCTACATTTATTCATACTGTTCTGTATAGACAACTTAAACTGAATGTTGGAAAACTGAAAATCTGTCCATATAAACAAGCTCAAAAAAAGGTAAAAGACAAAAAGAAAAACCTAAATGAATCTGCATGTACTGGCTTGTATTCCCTGCCCTCCCCCCAGCGCTAAGCTGCCCAATCAGATCTCAACTCGTTAGCCAAGCAGCCTGTCTGCAGCTGGCTGGTTTGGCCACTGCTCCTCTGCTTCCTGGTTCCATCTGCCTGATGTCATGATGATTATATGGGCTGGCCAATCGCCTTTCTTCTATGACTTCCTGTTTTCTTTTGTTCTGTTCTTCATGCATGCAGCTTTAGATGGGTTACTGTTGAGAGCCCAATGGCAGAGGGCTGTTGTTGGGCCTCAGGTTGGCCTGGGACCCACAGAGAGGAGGGAGGGGTTAGTTGACAGATAGATGGGAGTGAGTGAACCAGCGGAACCTTTGCCGTTTGCTTACCTAAATGAAGTCAGTGATGACAGATATTTTTAAGAAAAATATTAAAATGGAATAAATAAGAACTCATTTTAGATTCTGTGTTTCTGGCATGTCAGGATACTTGCTTTATCCTTTGTGTGTTTACCTTTTTTGAGGGTGAAGCCTGGGTGGGGCATAGATTTGAGACTCTTGGGCATTGGGTGTGTTCTAGACTATTTGGAGGGGTGGGGTGGTCTTTAAAGGTGATGATATAAAAGCAACCTTTGGAGCAATATGAGTATTGTGAGTATCAGCTTTTGTAGGGCTGAAGATTAACAATCAATTAATTTTTCCTCTGAAGCATGCTTAGGTGCAGTATATTGCCTCAAAGGTTGCGCGTGTATCATGATTCTACGCGGGTGTTCATTTCAGTTTAGTGGGGACGGGGTCGGTGCTTTGCGGCATTTCTATCTTGTGTTGTGTGTGAGTTTGCGTGTGAGTTTGCGTGTGTGTGTGTTTGTGTGTGTGTGTGTGTGTGTGTGTGTGTGTGTGTGTGTGTGTGTGTGTGTGGGTGGGCGAGGCCCGGCCCAGTCCAACTGTTCTGTTCGGTTCAGTTGATCTGCATTCCAAGTTGTACATGCTAGTCTTTACATTTTGTTTTTCCAATAAAATATCATGAACTAACATCTCGTATTGTGTCTTTGTGTTTCTGTCAGTGAGGCTGATCTTGTGGGGGCTTTAAAATGACTCGTGTGCTACTTATTGCATGGGATGTCTTTTTGAGTATAAAGTGTAAGCACAGACACTGAAGCCCACTTAAAAACATATTTTGGGAGGGGAATTGGTCAGCTCTTACATTCCTAGATCTGATAAATGAGAATGTATCAGGATCAGACAGTTGAACTGAGAACAGGAAAATGCTACAGAAAGTTGCAACTAGTCTCAGTTTTTCACACAGTATGATTTTTGCAGAGCAGATCAGTGATTGTACAGTATGGGGAACAGGAGAAAGGAATTAAGGGTCAGGAATAAAGTAATACTGAATAAACCATCTATTTAAACATCACTATGGTTACTCTAATTATCTTGCCTTGTTGATAAAGTTAATAAAAAAAGCACTTCTTATGGAACAGCAGATAAACAACTATCAGTATCACTATTCAAATGGGAAAAGGTTAAAGGATGAGTATTAAAACACACAACATCTATTTTCTCAAGTTAACATGTCACTGTCTCCAACACTAATGATGGTTATGGACACCAAAATGTCTGTTACTAATCTAATGGTACAATTAGTGTGTATTGAGGGGTGCCACAAGGACGACCAGATCGTCAAGAACGTCTGTCTGCAGATGAGGTGTTGCTAGGCAACAGAGCCAGGCATGGGGTGGGTGCAAGTGAAAAAGGGAGCAGAAAACCGTGGGAGTTTGAGGAGCGCGCAAGAGAGGAGACAAGTGGAGGGGGGGTGGGGGGAGTGAAGAGGTTGAAAGACAATAATAGAAACCCAGGACTTGAGGGAGAGGAAGAGAGCGAGGGATGAAAAGAGAAAATGAAAACAGAGATTCACAGTTCATCTTAAAACCCATAAAATCCCCTGCCTCTGATTTAAAAGCTGGCTTTTAACAGCTGAAGCCAGTGGCAGTCTAACAGACACTAAAGGCTTCACTCTGTTTAATTACTGGGGAGCTGTGTCAATAAGCAGTATAACTTTGTGTTTGTACTACTGGCACATGCACTGTTGATTCTTCCTAGAATATATAAAATGTAGCTGATTGATTGTGGCATCAACAAGAAGCAGACAGACAGAGATGGAGAAGTGAAGGAGGTGTTAGATTTATCCACATATCACACATACACACACATTGTTAGTAGCTGTAGTTATGTAACTGTCTGAAGTGTATTAATATAGCTTGCTGCTCACTGCTTGCTATTAGTGAGCTGCCACTCCAACGTTATTTACAGGGTTTAGATCCAGAAGATTCTTTGTTAGATTTGCCTCAAATTCATCTCACACACATTTACACACACACACACACACACACACACACACACACACACACACACACACACACACACACACACACACACACAGACGTACAGACACACAGTTCCCCACTCCTGGTTCCAGCTTTCACACACATAAATATTTTAGTTTTTCACCCGACAGTCTGAAGAATGGAGTGGGGAGCAAGTGTGTGTGTTAGAGTTGGACATCCCATGCTACTATATGAAGCAGATTGACAGTATATTAGCAGTCATTATATCTCTCTATATCCTCTGTCTTTTTTCTCCAAATCTGTAAACCCATTCATGAAAATCACCAAGCTTCATAGGAAATTTGCTAAGTTTTCTAGCAATTGCAGATATGAATTTCAGATTTATATATTTTTGTGAATGTTGTTCCTGTGCAAATAAGCCACATGCATATGCTGTTCCTGTTAATACTATTACTATTATTACTACCTGTGTTGTTTCTCTCTCTTTTTGAACATGAAAAACTGTAATCCGTCTCTCCTCCTCCTTATAATGCAGGACAAGGCTGTTCAGCTGAAATCAAAGGCTCTGTGGACATATATTGTGCAAGTTTATAACTTAATTAATAATCTAAACTTTAAAAATAACTGTTTTCGTACACTCCTTAAAATCAGGAAGGCCTTGCGACCCCCTGCAAAGCTTTGGCGACCCCTGGTGTGGGTTGGGGCCTCTACTTTGGGAAGCAGTGTCTTATCTCGGGACAGTGTGAAGTGAAAGCTTTGAAAAACAAGAGGAATCACTAGGATTCATCCACTGCCAAATTTCTTTTTCTTATTTAAAAATATTTTAAATAACACACACTGTGACACACAGCAAAGAGCCACAGGTCAAACCCATGGCCACTGCAGCAAGGACTCAGCCTTGGTACATGGGGTGCCAGCTCTACCAGGTGAGCTATCTATTTCATGGCAATGCACCACAAGTTGTCAAGACGTTTCACAAAAATTGCATTTGAGGTAAAGTCAGGTGTTCAGAGTGATCCCCGGGGAGCCTGAATGTATGTACAGAGTTTAATGGCAATTCATTCAATAGTTATTGAGATGTTTCAGTCTGGACCAAAGTCATGCACTGACTGACAGACCAACATTGCCATAGTCCCAAGCTGCGAGCAGGGATAAAAACGTGGCTTTATACAGTATTATACAATATGATGCCTTATTTGGAATTCTATGATCTGTTCAGTTAGAATGCTTCCAGTCCAGAATATCAATTGTGATGTCAAGAATTCCATCACAGGAAAGTCAGTAGAACTCCTGTCTGGTGGCATCATTTACCACAAACCTGTTGAAGAGAAAGCATTAGAGTAAACGAACGTACACGAGTAGAGAAAGAGTATTTAGACAAAGATGATTGAAAGACAAGAAAGTTCCCTTCTTTCTGAAATGGAGAAAGTGAAAAGCTTGATGAAACTGACCCCAGAGGAGAGAAAGATGGAGGTCAGAAGACAAATATATGTCAAGCTGAAAGCCGTGGAGATGGAGCGTAGACAAAGAGTCGCTCTGGAGACCAGGGAGAAGTGCAAGAGGGAAAGAGAGGAGATGATGAGGCAGGAGGCCAAACAGAGAGAGGAGGAGGAGATGAGGGCAAATGAACAAAAGGCCCTAGAGGAACAAAATCTGCACCAACTGAAGATAGAGAGGCTTCAGTGGAAAAAGGTGATGCTAGTGGAGGAGGAGCCAGTGAAAAGGCCCAGTTACACTATAAGTGCTCTGAAAGAAGAGCAACAGAGGAGGCGCGAGGAGGCCGAGCTCTGCCGTCCTCCAAAAGTGGGCGACAAAGCCAGCCCAGAGTGCTTGACCTTTGCCCTTAAGGCAGAGCAGCAGGGCAAAAATACAACTGTGCACAACAACTGGGTTGGAGGGCAAGAAATTAACAGTGAGCTCTCAGAGAAGTCTCACCCAAACAGCTCCACCTATCACCTCTTTGCTGCAAAAACAGCCGCCAAGTCTGAAGGTTTGTATCATATTTCTTCACCCTTCATCAGCTAGGACACTGTAACATCACAGCAAAGAACCAGAGTTTGCAATGTTATTACCTAATGACTTTTACTTATTTAATACTTAGGCAAACTCTTTGGGGTTAGGGAATCTTCCTCTGTATTACTTGAAAATAAACCTTCTTCTTTCCGTCTTTAGACAAACCAAAAACACCCAAATCCAATGAGACCCTGCAGTGGCTGCAGGAGAGACTCTACGCTGAATACTGGGTTGATAAGTACCGGGACCGCAGAGTGAGGAAGAAGGAGAAAAGAACTCTCAAAGCAGAGGAGAACTATGCAAGATGGACCGCCTTCAAGCTGAGCCACGCAAGCCAGTTCTCCCGGCAGTATGACTGCTACACCGGCGGAAAAAGGAACAGAGGAGAAATCCTGAAATCCATCTTTTAATTTACTTTCTTTCTTTGTATTTTGTGCTTTTACATACAGTAAAATTGTGTTGGTGTGGGAAAAAAAAGAGGACTGATTACTGTCTTACATAAATAGTGGTTAAGATGTGCTGAAATATATTGGACAAATTGTCACAGAAGACCATTAACAGTGTAATAATGCTAATTAAATGTAACATCAATATGTAATCAAAATACCAGTATCAGCCCCATGCACAGTACGTCTCTGGGCTGAGGCCATGACCTTTAAGGGGGACTAACTGTTGGTGATACCTGAGAATCCAGCAGGGAACTCAGTAGCAGTGGGGGGTCTGTGCTGGGTTGTGTGAGGCTGACCGGCGGCTTCCTGACACTCTAGGACAAAGCCTGTCAGCGCTGTAATCCTCTGCTGAAAAACACATAAAGGGGGACACGCCTATCCACTGACAGACCTACACCTGAGAAAGTAACACACACTGCTGGCCCCTGAGGTCACAGCCAGTGGGACGCCACACACAGACACACTGGTTTCTGCTAACCAAAACATTAAGCCTTAAGGTCAATATTTTCTTCCCATCAGATCCTAAATAAGGATTACAACAAACCCGTGGGAAGAGCAATGTTTTCAATACATCAAACAACAAATAGACAAGAAATCCTTCTCATTTTTTGACCCACTTTTTTTTTTTAAGTATATCTTTAATATTTATTATGTGTCACATCTTATTCACATATGCAACATTTTTACATTTCCCCCCCTTCGAGAGAGGTGTGGTAATCTCAACAACAGACACGTTGGGTCCAGATCCAACTCCTTATTAAAAAACAAATCTAATTTCAAAGCCACTTCTACCCAGAAATCCTGGATATGCACACAGGTCCATACAGTATGTATAAGGCTACCAACTTCCTTATTACACTTGATACACAAAGCTGATTTCTTTGGATCCATCTTATGTCTGAGTTCAGGTGATATCTGAAGGCGATGCAGTAACTTAAATTGTGATTCCTTTGCTCTATTACATATGGATATTTTGGTAGCATGCTCCCATATGTCCGCCTCCATAGCTTCGTCTGTTACCACCCTCAGGTCTTGAGCCCATGTTTGCATAATTGTATTGTTAGCCTTACTGGACTTATAAAAGGCATAGCATCGTCTTACTATAGCCTTATTGCTATGTATTTTGTATAGTAGTTGTTCAGTTGGTGACATTTCCAGAGTAAATTTATGCTGAATTGGATTCTGTATAAAGCTTCTGACTTGTAGGAACCTAAAAAAATGTGTGTGATAACTTGTATTTCAATCTTAATTGTTCAAATGACATCATTCTGTTCCCTTCAAATAAGTCTTTCAAAGTTGTGATACCAGCACTTTCCCACAGAGCAAACCCATTATCTGTCATACCTGGGAGAAAATCTGTATTTCTTTGTATTGGAGTAATTGGAGATAAACCATCAGTTCTTTTTTCCCATTTCTTAATCATGTCCCAAGCCTTTAGTGTGGATTTAACAATGAAATTACCATCTGCAACCTCTAGTTTATTCCAATTCAGAATAAATGGGAGACTAGCTAATTGTAACTGTTTACCTAACTTGTATGCTTCAATATCGAGCCAGACAGAGTCCGGGTCATTCCGTACCCAATCTACTAGATATCGAAATTGAGAAGCCACTTGATACAGTCTAATGTTGGGAATTGCCAATCCTCCCTGACCCGATGGCAATTGCAAGTTTGCAGTTCCATATAAATGATCTAAACCAACCATTCACCTTCTTGATAGTATTATTATTTAGTAGGACTGGGATCATTTGAAATTTGTAGAGCAGCCGTGGTAGAATATTCATCTTAATCAAAGAGATTCTTCCCAGCATCGAGAGTGGTAAAGAAACCACCTCTCTAGGTCATCGTGGATGCGTTTAAGCAGAGGCTGAAAATTTGCTTTAAACATCCTTTGCAGCAGAGGAGTAATAAATATACCTAAATAAACAAAACCTTCTGTTGCCCATCTGAAGGGTGACAAGCCGGGGCGAAGGGAGTGGTGCACCTGACCCAATGGCATGGCCTCTGACTTACTGAAATTTATTTTGTAACCAGAAAACTTACTAAACTCATAAATAACAGTAAGGACTGACATAATAGATATTTCCGGTTGAGTGATAAACAATAAAACATCATCAGCATACAAGGAGATCTTATGTTGTCTGTGATTAATCAAAATACCATGAACAGAGTGGGTTCTAATGGCTTCTGTCAGTGGCTCGATTGCGATCGCAAATAACAAAGGTGATAAGGGGCACCCTTGACACGTGCCCCTCCGCAGAGCAAAGTAGGGAGAACATTTACCAATTGTGATAACAGCCCCTAGTGGATTATGATAAAGCAACTTGAGTGTGAAAGCCAGGAACTCCCATTCTATACGGCCGAATCCTTTTTCTGCATCCAATGACACTACCATACCTTTAAGATTATTTTGTTGACACAGCTGAATAATGTTGAGTAACCTTCTAACATTATTACATGAGTTCCTTCAAGTAATAAACCCTGTCTGGTCATTATTACTATTATTATTATCCAGTGTTATTGCCATCACTGTCAATATTCCTCACAGTGGTCTTCATCATCACCATCACTGTTTACATTTATGATGTCTTATTTACTCTCGTGTACAGCACTTTGGTCAACTTTGGTTCTTTTTAAAGTGCTTAACAAATAAAGTTGGATTGGACTGGATTGGATTATTAATGATAAATGGAAGGATTTTCTCTAGCCTTAAGGCTAGTATTTTAGATAAAATCTTGAAATCTAAATTTAGTAGACTATAGGTCGGTAGGATGAACACACATCCGCTGGTTTATCCTTCTTGAGAATCAGGCTAATGTTCGCTTCTGTAAGTGTTTTGGGAAGAGCTCTCTTCTCAAAGGAGTGATTTAACATGGCAAGTAAAGGCTTCACCAACAGCGGCTAAAAGCATTTATAAAAATCCGAGCTAAAGCCATCAGGACCCGGAGCCTTTCCTGATTGTAAAACACCAACTGCTTCAGTTACTTCTCCCAGTATTATAGGTCCATTCAATACTGTCTTTTGTTGGTCATTAAGCTTGGGCAGATTCAGATTGAGAGAAAACGCTCTCCATGAGTCTAGAAAAACCTGCTGTCTGCTCACTCGTATATAACTTTTCATAAAATTTTATAAAAACCTTATTCATGCCATTGCTATCCATTTTCACCTGCCCAGAGACATCTTTAACTGGAGATATGTTCTGAGAATCAGATCTACTCTTGACCAGGCTGGCTAAAAACTTGCTGGGTTTGTTACCAAATTCAAATAGTTTTTGCCTTGCGAATCTTGCAGTGAGTTAAGTGTTGCTCTTGTGGCCAGAGTTGCTTCAAGATTAGTATTGGTACGGTTCTGGTTATATGCCCTCTCACACTCAGATAGCTGTACTTCTAGTTTCTGTTGTTCTTCTTGACGCTTTCATTTTGTGCTTTTTTCATAAGATATAATCAGACTGCGTGAATAAGCCTTACACATCAGGTGTGTTATTACGAAAAAAGAATAGCTGAAACTCAGTCTGAAAAAAAGATGGGTCATTCAACAGATAAAGTTTTTGACCACTTTTATTATCTCTCATTATTATCATCCTAATTTCAGTCATTCATTTACAGCACAAAGGACTCACTGACTGAGCTCATATCAACAAACTCAATCAGCTTCATCCTTTTATTCCCCCAACAGCATAACTTTCCAGAAAATAGAATTATAATTTACTTTCTAAAATAATAACAATAATACACTTGGAACAATCAAATATACAACAATAATCATTTGTATTTATAATGAAACAAAAAAACTATATTTATCTAGTTGTATTTAACATGACTGTGACAGGACACAAAGACAACACAATCACTGGATGCATTTACACACAACAGAAAATCTGATTTTTGAGAAAACGTGTGTAACAGATTCCTCCCATTTATGATTACACTTTGTTAAACTATGAATGTTTCACAGGAGCTCCAGTTTTCTACAAATTTACAAGAAACTTCACAGGTTATCTGTAACATTATCGAGTTTTTGGAGGTGACTACAGCTGCTAGTAGCCTGAAGGTAGAGCTAACAACCGGTTAGCTTAGCTTAGCATAAAGACCAGCAACAGGGGGGAAAAGGACTAGCCTGGCTAACCAGCACATCTAAAGCTCACAAATTAGCATGTCTCTATTTAAACTTAAATCTTTTTACACTTACATTACATTTCATGTATCTGTACAGAAACCTACAGTGTTAATAGATGAGCCTTAGCTGCTGTTTGCTAAGCTAATGTGCTGCTGGTAGTAGCTTTACCTTTACCGTACAAACAGAGTGGTAGCAATCGTTTCATCTAACACTCAGTAAGAAAGGAAAATTCAAACTATTCCTTTAGCTCCAAAACTTCCCTTGGAGAACAGTGCACATATTGGGAAAATGTGTTAAACCAGAGAATGTCATGGAAGTATGGTTCAACAAAGGAGCATTAAAGGATTGACACGTGAGAAAAAGAGTGCTTTAATTCAAGAACTGGCAGCTATCCATTGGACGTTTCAAATCTGATATCCCGTGTGTGTAAATGCAGCCTGTGTTTTGGCATTTAGACTTTACTGATTGATTCCTCAGCGATCCCTTGATCTTATTTCTTGATGCTCTAGTTGATTCTCAAAGATCTGGCTGTTCTAAACCAGCCATACAGCAAGTGAACGTGTGTGTGTGTGTGTGTGTGTCTGGTTGAGATTATCAGTAATATTTGGCTTACAAAGGAAACATTAATAAAACACATTTATTTTTTGTCAGATAGTCTAAACTTACCCTCAGTGTGTGAAAGGAAAAGGAAACTGTGTGTGTGTGTGTGTGTGTATTTTTGGACTAAATAACGTAAACAAAATGTAAACTGTTCTGAATGCTAGCGACGGCAGGGTGGGAACTCAAACTGAGTCTTATTTACATTTTTGAACAGGAAAAAACAACAAACACACACGGCATACTACAAATCACTTACAACCAGACACAAATGCACAGGCAACATGTTGGCACACATACACAGACATGGGTGCACATGCACAGACACAAACAGGCACGCAAATCGACACACACTCGCATACAGACACATACCCTCACACACAGGTGTCAGGTGTCACAGCCACAACAAGGCATTGTAGGAAGGGTGGGTGGCGGGTAGGCATGTTCATGTGTACTATTTGAATCTGTATACAGTGAGTGTGTGTGTGTGTGTGTGTGTGTGTGTGTATCTGAGGGTACGGCAGTAAAACCTTGTGTAAGTGGCATGCAGGCATGCTGTGTTTGTGTGTGTGCAACTTGCAGGTCCATCATTTGTGCCACTGTGCTACAGTACTTAGGCTAGAACTGTGAGGGTGTGTGTTTCATAGTGCTCTGGGTATGATGGTGAAGGGCAGGATGGGGCTGCTGGCCTCCAGCTCCAAGGCGGTGAGGAAACACTCGGTGGCAGCGGCAGCGTTTCCCTGAGCCTGCAAGACCTCACCCAGACTGTTCCACACATCATGAGCCGTACTGGGGAGAGGAGAGGAGGGGAGAGGAGGGGAAAGAAGCAGAGAGGAAGGGGAAGGAGAGGAGGGAAGGGTAGGAGAAATGAGACAAGGAAAGAGGAAGAAAACAGGAGAGAAGAAGGGAGATAACAGGAGAGATGAGAGGTGGATAAAGAGGAGAGGAAAAGGGGGGTTATGAGAAAGAAAGGGGGAAAAAGAAAAATAGGAAGCAGAGAGAAATCGAAACAAAGGAGAAGAGGAAACAGGAGAGGAGGGGAGGAGAAAGGAGAGAATAGGAGAGGAAAAGAGAGGTGAGGAGAGAAAAAAAAGAGAAGAGGAGAAAGAGAAATATTGTTGTGAATGCCCTAAAATATAACAATCATGTATATTGTATTGGCAAACACACAGATATATATATATATATATATATATATATATAACCCACACCTACCTGTTAACCTGCACAGCGTCCCTCAGGACCTTTTCAGACAGACTGTAGCGCTGCAGCTGGTGAAGAATCAGACCCTGTGGAGAATAAAAAAAGAAAAAGGGTGGGAGAGGAAGGACATTATTAGGCTTGTAGTCTGTCACCTTGCTGTGATGAATGTGGGTTGCTATGTATGTTAATAAAGGCAGTCATGGCAGTGATGATTCACTTTTATGGGAATCACTTACGGCAACAATGCAGTGGCCTAACTGGTAACATTACTAGTTTTATTGTTAGCCTCGTTGTCATTGTGCAGTTCTACTTTATTGCAGAAAGTAAATCAATAAAATGTCACCAAGCAGTGAGCTACATTATTTTCATAGGTTATATCCTTTATGACAGAGCCACAGGTGTCCATATATGATGATGGAGCAGCAAATAAACTGTCCTAAATTGCTTCCACTTTCCCTCACCTCTTCAATCCAGAATTGGATTGCTATATATTTTTTAAATAAACCTAGGTACGGGTACAAGACAAGTCAAATAAATTCAAGAACAAAGTTGAGGTTTTCCTTTTTGGTTTTAATTAGGACATATATGCATATTAAAGCAATCTGTAAAGCAAATAAGCAAATTAAAGCAAATAATGTGTCACACCTTACTTATGTGAAAATTACAGATCTGTAGTTGCACAGTTGTTGTGTGGTATTTCTCCTCTGGCAACTGACGTTGTCAGACTCAAAGATACTGATATAACTAATCATGTGAGCTGATGTCTCATTGTTATAGATACACAGGTGGTGTTAGTGATTTATGCATTTTTTTTTGTGGACATGAAGGTCTGAAAATATGACTGAAAATGAAAATGAAAATTTGCTTTTGTTGTTGAACAATATACAATGCATTCTGGATCTGGCCTACATGAATTTGTGGTGTCTTAGAAATTCATGGTAAGTCAGGCCCTCCAAGACTAGTCCATACTAACTTGTTTGGGACGGTCTTCAATATGGTGAAACCTCCAAGTGAATGACAGAGGCAGAGTACAGTGCTCCAAATGGGACAGACAAACAGGAAAGAGGTAGAGGAGTGTACAGTGAAGAAAGAAAGGAGACACTGGTCCCTCTCTTCTCTAATGGGGTTCTCCCAGAGGACTATGGCTAATTACATAAAACACAAAAACCCTCAGGCTGTATGGACACTGAGAGGACAAGATTTGTTACGTTCTCGAGAGACCAAACACAAGGACAGAGCAGGAGGAGAAGATCAGACTGTGATCAGTGGTTAGGGTTAGTGTGTTCGGTGTGTGTGTTGCGTGTTACCAGTCTCTGCATGGTCTTGACATGCGTAGGGTTGATGGACAGGGCCTCTTCATACCATCGTTTGGCATCGTCCATGTTGCCCCTCAGCTCGGCTATCTGCCCCCTCATGTACAGCACGTTATGGGATGTGGGGAAGAGGTTGGCAGCTTCCTGCGTGCAGGCCGAGGCCTCGGCGGGCTTCGACATGCTGGTGTAAACCTCAGCTATCAGAGAAACACAGACAGGGATTTCAAACATGACTGTTTAACTGTGAGTTCAGCAAGTTTCTCTCCATTTTGTGCAACACGCAGCAGTTTCAAACATCAGTATCTTTCTTTCTCGGATCAACTAGTAGCTTGGTATAATTACTGGACACAAACGAGATAACGGTCAATATAACCGGCAGCCTCAACCTCATCAAACTCAGACATTTCCCATAAATGTTGTCATTATGTGGAAGTAACATTTTCAATCTGTCACTGACCTGAGGTATTAGATATAATATATATTTTATCTGTGGTCTAGACATTGACAGCCCTTGAGTTTAAGCAAAATGATTTAAAACCCTCTAACAGAAAGTTTGATTTTATTTGTGCAGAAACATTTAAAATTCCCAGAGGAAGAAGCAGAAAATGTGAGAGAAAAAACATAATCCAATTTTTCTCCCTCAAATTGCATTATTAAAAAAAATGTTCCAGTATCAAGGTCACCAAATGCATTCTGTATATTGCTGTGATGAAGATACAAACTACAGACTGTACAGACAGACTGAGGAAATGAGTCTGAACGGTCTGCCTGTCTGTCCTCTGATTGGATAATTACATTAGCTGTGTCGCCAAGCTGGAAATGACCACCTCTGACAGGAAGCAGCTGGAGAGATAAACAGGAACACAAACAACCTCTGCCTATGGGTGTGTGTGTGTGTGTGTGTGTGTGTGTGTGTGTGTGTGTGTGTGCGTGCTGCCTGCATCTGTTTATGTATACTCTTCAGTGTGCTTATGTTTGCTTCTACAGGCCAGAAATTAGAATCAGGGCTCCAGCATACTCCAAAGGAAATCTAATTCTGGAGTAATTGCAAAGATCATCAGACTGCTGTTACATGCAGTCCTACGAACTAATGCCAGTACGCCCACTAACCCACTACAACTTTTTGCTTAATGAAATCTATGCTAGGAGGAAGATCATGTGTCATAATGAGGGGGCAACACAAAGTTATAGTGTAGGGAAGGGGGCATTTCGGTATTTGATGTGGGCCAGTATTCATATTTCAGTTATCATTGTTTCTTGAGATTTTACAGATGTAGGTAGTGACTGACGACATGCTGCGTACTCCAAAGGGTGGAAGAGGCTATGGTGATTCAATCATAGCACGGTCCATTATCAAGGGATACGATTATGAGCCAGAGTATATTCATTACATGCTTTCATGGTGGTTTGCATTTAATACACTGAAGTGAAACTATATTATCTACCTTTGTAGAATATGTATCTGCAGATACACATCTTGTTATTGGTTTATTGCCCAGGCCTCTGACCCTCAAATCTTGCCTTTTATCCATCCCTTGCTTAAACTGCAAATTAAATCAACTAACCCTTTGTTGTTTTAGCCCCAGCCCTCTGGAATCATCTTCCCCAATCGCACAGACTCGCTGAATTTTTGGACTGTGTACATGGTTTCTAAAAAACGATCTTTATAGTTGCTTTTTATCTTGTGTTTTGGTTCATTTTAAGTGTGGTCTGTCTCTCGCTCTGCTGTTTTTTATTGTAATTTATTTTTTACTTTATTTTTTTTTTTCCTGCGGGTGTGGTAGGCACTTTGCAACTGTGTGCAATATAAATAAAGCTTTACTTACTTACTGTTTGCTAAGAAATATTCTAGAGTCAACAAGGCATTACATGACCTACAGTATGTTGACTGTCCACACACATGACCAGAGGTGAGTTCCAGGAAAAGTTCACATGGGCTCATGGGAGTGCTACATGAGCTTACAGGATGTTAATGTGTTAACCTAACTTTACCACAGCCACCTGAGCTACATTAAGGTTAACAGACATGGTAACAATGGGATGTTAAAACTTTATATATATATTATTTCAGGTCATGTTAACCTACCCACCTACTGATCATAACAACAGAACAGATGTTTACAATGTTTTTTTTGTGTGGCTGTGGTCAGACCGGAACCACAATCATTATCTCATCCAGCCTTTCTCTCTCTTGCAAACCCTGTTTACAAAACAGTACTAAAACCTCATTTTAAAACAAAGCAAAAACACCAGCCCAGTATCTTCATCTTTTGCGCTTTCATGTATGTACTGTTCATTTACGTGTGCATACCTGCATGCAGCCAGATCTGAGCCAGGGTCATCCAGGGGTGCATTGGTCCCTGCTTGGGTGCGCTGCTCTGCAGGGACGATGCCACCTCAGACAGTGCCTGCTCTACACGACTCGCTGCTATAGATGTAGCATGAACCGAACCTGGAGGGAGAGAATCAAACCGTTACACACGCCATCTCCTACTGGTACTGACTAACTACTACAGCAGCGTTAGGCAGCCATGTGCCACAATGCAGGGTGTTAACTCAACCAAACACACAAGCAAGTTTCACTAATTCCCACAACTTCTGGGAGAAAAGAGGAACAGTGAAATCTGTGTGTTGGGTGCGGTAAAAAGCTCAAGTCTCTGGGCCCACATTGGCACACAGTTTCCTGTTCCTGCACTAAAGCCTTTAATCAGTCCACACCATTCCACAGTGTTAACAGTGTTAAGGCCCTGGATTAACCAGGTTAAAATGAATTAATTTCTGCACCACCATGCATAAACACTGCACCAGTCTGCACTCTGCTGATTAGTAATTGAAAGACGTGTGTCTCTGATTTTGTCTCTGCGATTAAGCTAAATCAGTTTATTACAGGGGCGCAAAATGGCCACCAAAGAAGGGACAGCAGCTCTGTGAAAGCAAAACATAATATATGTATAGATATATATACTTATATGTATAACATACAATATATAAAACATATGATATTTTCATTGTCAACTGTCATAATATTTATGTATAAAGTTTTAACTTGCCACTTATCTTTCATCGCCTACTTACCCATTTTACATATTATTTTTGTTACAGCTACACTCTGTTACGCCCTTTTTCGTGTCAGTTACCACCGATTCCAATTATTCAGGCTGAAATGTCCAATGGTTCAGCTGATAAATATTAACTCAACAATGATGATTTAATCCTCTTCGATCTGTGATGATGATTTGCGTGCAATTTATATATTTATGTATTTGTAGAACTTCTTTTACTGTTTTAACATTATAGAACAGATTTGTTTCTGTTGCTTAACGCCCTCATTAAATGCTATAAAATATTGATACCGTTATTGTTTATTATGAGATTGAGACTGTTGTTTTTATTCAATGGATTTCTTTAAAAGACTGTGAAAATAATGACTTACATGTTCGCTTTGGGCTTGTTTTGTTATATTGAACTGTCATGTCAATTGCAGCCTGCAGGGATTAGATAACATAAATATGGGGCTTCTATGCCTTAAACATGGACTAAATTAAAATCGACTGATGGTTGCAGCTCGCTTGGGCTAAAAGCTTTACTTTAAAAGATCTCCCGCCCTCTTCTCTTATTATTAAACTCCCAAATACTCTTCCTCCTTTCTCTACATTGACATAAAATGTGTTTGTGTGTTAAGGGTCAGAAACTTTCCATGTGTAAAAGATGAATGAGATAAGGATAAAAACAGAACATTTGCATATTGAAGCTCTGTGTGTGAAAGAGCAACGAGTATTGCTGATGGATTTAAGGGAATGACAAAAAGAAGTCTCTCTCTCTCTCACACACAACACAGATGCATCTGAAATTGAGTCGTCTGGTTTAGAGGGACATTGTAAGAAGTCATATATTAGATGGCAGCATGCAGCAGCCCAGCCTAGTGCAGCACATTTGAACGTGTTACAGTATGTTGAATCAAACTGTATTGTTCCATAGTTGATTTTTTCTTGCCCCACCCCACACCCCCATTCACCCCTTTTACCCTTGTGAACTTTGTGTTCTTATCACACGCTGTAATGCCTATATGAGAATAGCGACAGAAACAGTTGGAGAATGAGAGAAGTAGTGGTGTATATTTTCATATGGATTGCTTTCACTTATACCATTTGTGCCCCTAATATTCAAGTCAATCTTTCCACTGAATATATGTATATGATATATATATATATATATATATATATATATATATATATATATATATATATATATATGTGTGTGTGTGTGTGTATAAAGAAATAAATAAATAAAAAAAAACCTTGAAGCATAAGAAAACATTTGCTTTAAACATAAAGAAACAAGTTAAGAGATTTGCCAACAGATTACTGAGGAAGCTTCCTGCAGCGGTTTGTGCCTAAAATGTGGTCAATTCACACAGCAACGCATGCAGTAAAGCTGCTCACTGAATTAAAGGAATACATTGACTTATATATTACAAGAAATAATACCACTTATCACAACATCAGAGGCTGGTTAGTTCCAAGTTAGTGCAATGCATATTTAAACAGCAGCAAGCAGATGGACAGTTCATTTAAAAGTCAGAGTAAGCGAAGAGCAAGTGTTAGTATAAATGGTAAAAATAAACTAACTAAATCTTGGTAACAGATGCACAGATCTGTTATCAATGGAGTACCACATAATTTTTTCCTCTAGACCATTTCTTATCTAACCATTTGTTCTCTCATACCTTTCCACAATAACTTTAAATCATGGCAAATTAAATGTAATAATTCGGTAAAATTACTGCAAACAATTCTGTCTCATGCCGGCTGCACAGTCAGTATTAGTATTTGTCAATATTACAGACACATTTCATAGATATTAGTTCTACAAGCAGGAAGCGGCTTCTTTGTTTCCTTTCTGCAGTCACTCTGTGATCATTTACCATCTCTTTTGCTTTACTGAAAGGGATAAACATCTCAGAATTGGTATTTCCATCTGCCTTTCAGGGTGCTTCATCCAGCACATATCTGCTAGAAAACAGCACCCTCATCGTGTGTTGTATTGTAAAGCTTTCCAAAAGATTTATTTCCAGCAAAATCCAAAGTTGTTTCTTGAATACTTTCACATTGCTTCCTTCTGACAAATTGCAAAGAATGTGTATACCACAAGGTTTTCGGAGAGATATTCCTTTAAGTCGTTGTATTCCTTTAAATCATATACTGTACCACCAACAGGGCAACAATTTATCACAATTCTCCTGGAAACTGGCTGCAGGCTTCACGTTAAAGCAGAGGATATATGTACATATTTTCTTCGTTCAGATATCGTACATATATCAGAGCCTCGTCAGAAAAAGGAAGGTCAACGGGGACCAAAGGGTGGACAGGACAATGGATGAAAAAAGGAAGATCAGATGGAGGTTAGATGGCTACTTACAAACAGAAAACATGGAGGAAAAACCAAGAGTGTTAGCGTCCTGAAGGCCGCCTTGAAAAACGGAGGGATGGGAAAAAACAGAAAAGACGACTGTTAATGATTGAAAGAGAAGAGACAGAGAAGAAGTATCCAAATAATTAAGACAGAAAAAGAACGCTGATCCCAAAAGGAAGACTGCAGATCACAGTGAGGAGGTTTTCACTCTTCACAGTAGCCTCTTAGACCACATCGCATGAGACACGCTGCTCCCACTTGTGCCTTTTTCACACTGTAATCTGCAGTAGTAATTGCCATAAAGTTCAGTTAACTAACACCATGAAGGAGGCTCGTCTTTCTCTGCTTTATTGCTCATGAGAGCTTTGTGTTGACTGAATTTTCTTAGGTTCATAGTTATTCTGAAAATGAGAGATTATTTTGCATTTCAGCACAGTTACATTTAAATTAGAGGTGTCTGCACCACACATACCTCACAAAGCCTTTTAATTGACTAACAACGCATACAAAAACTATGTGCTTCAGTACCAAAAAGAACCTAGTCAGATTTTCAGTAAGTGAAATCACTGTGTTGGACTTATTGCAACAGTTTTAAATTATGTAACTGTTCACAGGCGGAAAAATCACATTCTGGAGGGGAAAAAAGTGTGTTTTCTTTATGCGGCTAAATACTTTATCTAAATAACAACCACTATTTTCCAGTGCAAACATCATTAGCAGAGGAGATGGCAACAAGGAGAGACAACATAAGGTTGGAACCGGGAAACGAGACAAATTAATTTTGGCTCAAATGAAAAATCTTCACAGAACCAAAGAGAGAGAAAGGAGGAGGATGCAAAACAGCAACAAAAACAAGAGTCAAGCAGCAGAGGAAACGCAGAGAATGTGAAGAGACAGTAAAGCAGCATTATGTAAAAATAATTTTCTGTAATATCAAAGAAGTACCCAGCAGAACGCTAAATCCTAGCTGCTTCAACTATTAGTGTGTGGAGCTTAAATGTGTGTGTGTCAAGTGAGTAAGTTCACCTGAGGGCTTGAGGAAGTCGCAAAAACACAAAGCAACAGCAGCATGTTGATAAAGGCTCTACTGCACACCCAAAGTATCCCTTTTACATATTAACATGCACAGATTTACAGCAGCTCTGAGAACTATGAGTGACTATGAAGCACATCCAGTACTCTTTAGGTTAGTCAGTTCAGTTTTGAAGTCCTTGTCCATGCTTGTGAGGTTTGAACTTTGAAGATTCACCTTGTCTCCAATCTTAGGGATTGGTCGTAAAAACAGCATAACAAGTTTTTAGGCCATCAGGGTATTGGTCATTTACTTGTTGAGTCAGTGATGAGAATATCCCCAGCATGTTTCTGCGTGTTTCTGACAAACTGTTCACTCCAGTGGGTGTTGTCCAAGTAAGAAAATGAGAACTGGAAAGGCTGGTATCTTTAATACAATAATATTATATATGGCTATATTCTGTTTTCACTTCGTCATTATGGGGTGCTGACTGTAGACTGATGAGGGAAAATTAATTTAGCATAAACCTGCAACATAACAGAATGTAAAAAGAGTGAGGGGGTCTACACACCTTCTGAATGCACTGTATGGTATATATAAATATCAGGTTTAATATATGCAGTGGGCTTGTGGATATGGTCATTTATGCTTTTTAATTCATTATTCAAACACTGAGTGAAAAGATTTATAATATTTTTTTGCTTGACATAAATTAGTAGATTATAGAAGATGCTGAATACTGTATATTGGAAGTAGATCTCTGTCCTGTTTTGAAGGGACAGTATGTTCCACCGTGCTACAATTGAATAAAAATAAAAATTCTAGTGCACAGACGCATTAAGGCAGAGAGACTTTTTTGTAAGCCTGGATGTGTGTTTGTCTGTCTATTTTTTTTGTCAGAGGAAGGTTTGCCAGTAGGGCAGAAATCTAAAACTGAACATTAACTTGTATTTATGTTTGTTTGAAATAAACTAAATAATTCATAATCTAGGTTGAAGCAGGCATTTTTGAGAAACACAGAGGTAGGTAAGTAAAAAACAACAACATATTTCATTATACAGTTGTCAAAACTAGTGACAGCGTGGATGATTGTTTTTGCTGCTAGTTCCAAACAGTAAAATCTTGTTTATTGATAAAGTCAGATCCACAGTATGTGCTCTCCTACTGAGGTGAGGTTGATGTTACTGCAGTTTGGCAGATTACTAGTGTGGTAAACCAGTAAAGTCCAGTAACACTGGGCTGAGTGTGGTGATCCTGATGTGGGTGTTTTGTGAATATTCTGCCCACTCTGTTCAGCTTCGACAGCTGCTGACTGCAGCAGGACCTCTGACTGGCAGACAGCCTCATAATATAATATCATATAAATAGATTATATTATTATACTGATATCATATGAGGAAAATATTGTAAGCTCACTGCTGAGTGGCAACAAAAGAAACTAGTGTTCTGATGTGTTTTAATCATTCAATAGGCATACTTTTGACTATGTCTATATTGTGTTTATGAACAATATTACTGATTATATTATTCAGTGACTGTCAGGAGCTGTGTCCTGCTCCTGCAGACTTTTGGTAACTCTGTTGCAGCACAGTCAGATAGGAAGTGCATAGCAGATCATACATCCTGTGTGTACTAAGAGTTTTAACAATAAAATAGCCTACATCAGCGACAGCGAGATCAGTGAGTTCATTTTTTAGGTTTTATGAATTCTGACCATGTACTATCCAAAGGGATATTGCTAGAGGACTAATACATACTGTTTATGCACCAGAGTAAGAAACATATTGGGAGTCCTCTCATTACTGAACACACAAGTTAATTAATGAGCCAATCTCCCAGAAACTTCTAGGTCACTCTCCACAACATGCTACAGGCCGACGTGGATGTGAAGGCGCATTACAGTTGGAGGAGAGCTGGCGGAGAGTGACGTGGTTGCAAAAGGAATGAGTCCTGGTCTTGGCGGGCGCGGGAGGAGGAAGAGGAGGAGGGGGAGGAGGAGGAGGGGGAGGAGGAGGGAGAGGAGGGAGGAAGGATGGGTTTTTGGGAGGATGGAAAGGAGGAGGCTGGAGGATGAAGACAGGGGAAGAAGGGGAGGACAGTGGGGAGGAGAGGTTGGAAATGGTAGATGGGGAGTTGGGGAAGACCAGTTCAAAACCAGAGAGAGAAGAGGAAGAACCTGAGACTAAAACAAAGGAAAAAAACAGAAATGAGTGAAATTAATCAAGGAATAAAGAAAGGAAAGAAACATAAGTCACAGGTTCTTAAACTGCATATACTTTAACATAATATCATAATAACTTCTAGATGAAGCAGCAACTTATCAAACGGACAACATGAAAAGAAAATCAATAGAAAATCAATAAAAAGAAGGGAGAGATTTTACAGACATTTTCCTTCAATATCTGTAGATATGAGGGAGAATGGATCAATATAAAAACAAGAAAGAGGAAACCATTATCTCCTCTTCATAATTAAGTGATTATTGACAACTGGTGATTCTCCGTGTACAATAAAGGCATCAGGGCTTCACTGTGGGGGTCCCAGGGGTTCCTGAACAGGAGTGAAAAAGCTTGTGCGTGTTTGTGTGTGTGCGTACCGGTCTCAGGGTCACTGAAGTCAGGCAGAGTCATGGCATTGAGCTGTCGTCTGTCTGCTATGGCTCTGTCCAACAGACTGCTGCCACGCCCAGAATCACTGCCACGAACACACATGTTTACTCACACTCGCATAAAAACACACAGACAAACAAAACAAAGCTGAGCTCCGGTGTGTTTGCTGGCTAAATTAACTTTAGAATCATTATAATGAACATGTTTACAAAGTGGAGATTTACACACCATTAAATGTAAACTGGTTGCACCACACTAACTAATTCTTACGTAAAGATTGTTACTCCATATTTACAAACAGCTTTAACTGTTGTGTAGCTGATTGAATCAACTGACAACACTGATGTTAGCATATGACCCGTTAGATTAAAGAGTAAAAGTATAATATCACATATGTTAAAATATCAGACCTGGTTCTTGATCAAAACCCTGTTTACTAATGATGTAAACTAGAGGAATCTTAAATTACATATTACAAAAATAAAACAGTATGTTTTGAACTAGAAAACATGTTAATACCATTAGAATGATTCGAAATTTCCCTCTGATTCTAAACTGCATGAATACTACCCCAAAACATACATATCTCGATGTATGGATATATAAATAAAAGTAGTAAGTCACATGTAAAGTACATTTATAAAGAATTAGCAGTAAAAAATTATATATAAAGTTTAAGATATATGGTTTGACCTCCTACAACTTATATTTTGGAAGTTATATCAAATATTTTCTATAACAGAAGATAACACATTACAATGGTGTGACATGGTTTACATTTCCAGTTCCCTAAGTGGGCGTGTCACCCCTCCCCCATCTCCACATCTTGTTAGGAAGTGTTGTGACGTCAGGTGGATGGACGAAAGCACACTGGGCTGTCCCAGAGATGGTTCAGAAAGTTATTTGAATTTTTGGTGAAACTACAACGATGACTCACCACCAACAAACAAAAGAGATATTTTTTGCCAGATCTCACGAGCGCTGCTGCTAACATAGAGACTAGTCTCCAAAGGTAATTTTCTCCCAAATTGTCTGTTTTAGTGTCTGAATGTTCAGAAGGTATGTGGCTTGTGAAAAATGGGTCCAATATTTACTTCAGTAACTATGGGACAAGAGAATATGTCATAATCTATACTCTCATTTCTCCCATTGCAGTCAATAGACTCACGACTTGCCGCTAGTCTCCTAAAGGGAGTGGCACAGATACAGGAAATGACTCTTCAGTGAACCGTCTCTGATTAAACTCAGCTTGTGATCCTACATAGACTTCCTCCTCACAGAGTTGACTGCTTTTGATTGGACAGAGTTACACGTGTCCTAGCAACTGATGAACACATTAGGTATTTTAAGAGGCTACGCCATTCCTTAAGTTTACTGGTGCAACCCAATTTAGTTAATCACTAGTTTGAATGGATGAGACCAAAACAAATATCAGGATTAGTGTTTGCATTTGGGGAGTGTGTGTGTGTGTGTGTGTGTGTGTGTGTGTGTGTGTGTGTGTGTGTGTGTGTGTGTGTGTGTGTGTACCTGGGGTTGGTAAGGTTGTAAAAGCTCTTCCAGATTTGCAACATGTGTTTACAGGTGAGCAGAGCTTCCTCCGGCCCTCTACACATCGACTCCAACTTTACCTTGGTATAAAGCAGACTACAACACACAGCACGCACAAGAACACACGGTAAGAACCCAGTGAAACAGAAATTCACTTTGGTGTGCTTTAAATGATGTGTGGTAGTGTGTGAGTCTTACTTGAAGTTCTCAGGGTACTCGGACAGAGCCATCTCTATAATATTGAGAGCGTCGTGGTAGTGTTTCTGAGCAGAGAGCAGCAGGGCCAGCAGGTGAAGGGAGTGGACATCATCCCCTTGAAGCTGCAACGCCTGTCGAACATAGCCTAGTGCCTCTGGGATCTACACACAGACATATATACAAACTACAGGTTTTCACTACAGTCGGGATAAAAGTGACAGATGTGTGATGTCTGACATGATATATAAACATGGTGACTTTATCCTGTTATTACTTAAGACTGTGTTACCTGTCTGGACACAGCAAGCTGGAGTGCCAAGTAGAAGGCTGCTAGATGGTCAGTAGGAGACAGACTCTGAGCTCTTCAGAGAGAGAGAGATTTTGTGTGTTCAGACATGCTGATAAAGTTAATAGATTAGATTAAACTTTAAAGGTCCCTGTGGGGAAATTGAGGCGCTGCAGCACCAAAGTCATAGAATATGTAAGAAATCAAACCAGAGGATATTTAAACATTTAGACACAATTAGAAACTGTAGCGCCACATTAATAAGCAGAATGACTGAATATAAAATGAGAGGCTACATTGCAGCATTATATCAATGTGATAAATAATGCAGAGTATGTATATTAACACCACCTTATTAATATATCAAATTTAAAGTATACTTTAAAACAGTTTTGCTAACATTTTGTCAGACTGTAAAGCAGTTTGTGCTATGGCACAATAATTATGAGGGAAATGTGGGTGTAAAAGAGAAAGCAGGGAACAGCATGGCTCAGTCCCAACCTCTGGAAGGCTCCCAAAGCTTTCCTCTGGTACTCCTCCTGTGTGCTTCGCAATGATGCTACAGAGAGACACAGAGAGACAGAGTCATGGACAGAAAGAGAAACACAGAATGAACTCAGGTACATTATTAATAATACACGAAGAGCAACAGTCAGTGTGGTAGAGTATTTAAAATCTCTATATGTGAAATCATCACATAGGGAATTTTCAACTGAGATTGGTTGACTTGCTTTTAATGTTGTCATCACTGAATCACCCAAATTTCCTAGTTTAACCCCACACTAACCGACAACATAATCCCAATTCTTTTAAAGTAAGAATCAACAAATTGTCCTGATTTAGCAAGTTTATCGTTCTTCCTAGTCGGAGAAGAACACATACAAACAGAGAGACCTACCATCAGTTGCTTTGAGACTGTAAACCAGCCCGATGGCCAGGTAGCCTTTGGCTCTGAACTCTGCTGCTTTCTCTCCCATGTCAATCACCATCTTTGCAAAGCAGTCCCCCTCATCCAACTGGATTGTGGGCGTAGACAGGCATATAATGAGAGAGAATGGACAAAAGAGAGAAGAGATTTGGGGGTAAAGTTAGACAATTTTATGTATAACGGTAGCTTGAAGTCCCCCTCCCCTCAGAAATCAGTTTTTCTTCCTGTTCCTACAGTGTGCTGTTTGAATGCTGTCTGTGCAGAGTTTGACACTAGAAGGATGTTTTCACATTCATCTGCTGAAAGTGGAAAGTTTCTCTGTGCTCATTGAAAAGCAGATTTTAAGGAGATGTAGAAACTTGAAGCCACCAGTGCACATCCACTGAGACTTTCCAGTGAAGTAGGAGACATCTTGTGTCCAGCAGCAAAACTTTAGAAATGAACATTTGCATATTTTAATGTGGAAAGTATATATTTTTTGGTGTAAAAAGAAAATCAGACACACATTATTGTTCCAAACAGACTATTTGTATGTATGTTTTAATGCCTGTCTGGAAAAAGTCTTATTTGTGTTTCTGTCTACAGCATGGTCCTTACCCAGTGCAGAGGTCCGATACACAACTTGACAGCCAGCAGTGGGATGGTGGGGTCGTCAGGCTTCAGACGAATACACTCTTTAAGGACTTTAACAGCACGAGCTGATTTCCCAGCTGCCATTAGCGACAGGGCGAGCTGGTACCACAAATGGAACTCCTCAAAGGCAAACTTCATGGCTCTCTCCAAACACTAGAGACATCAGAAATAGGACACGTTTCATCAACGTTATCAGAGTTTCTGTAAGCTTTATCTAGTTGCGCAGCCATTGTAGAGCCAATTAGATTGTAATGAAACACTCATTTGTTTGGGAAATGAATGTGAAAAAGAAGTGATATTTTATGTGGGCGTACTATGGTTGCAGGCTTTAACACTTTTCACAATCACTATGGCTGTGACTATGCAGCCCACAGAGGGATTACTCGCCTCTGACAGCATCTCGTACTGCCCTCTTCTGCCCAGAGCTATAGTCAGCAGGTCGTACACCACAGAGGCAGACTGCAGGCTGATGATACGATCATTGTTGTGTTCAGGAATTCTGCTCAGGACAGCGTCACGGTTAGCCTGAAACACACAAATACAGATACGGATATAGAAGTGGCACTGTGATAAGGTTGAGTTCAGGATTTACTGCTTCAGAAAAGGGTGTGAAATGTTTTCAAAGACTGTTTCTGTGTCTCACCATGGACTCACTGATGAGCAGCAGCAGCAAAGCTTCTTCTGTGTTCTCCTGAGGGCAAAACAGACTGGGAGAGAGAGAGAGAGAGAGAGAGAGAGAAATGCACCGAAGGAGTCAGAAAGATGGAGTTGGACAAGGATGAGAGGAGAAAAAGGGAAAAACCGAGTGGTGGAGAAGATGGAGAGAGCTACTTATGAAAAAGTACACTGGCAACAGTTTAATTTTGGGTGCCATGTTGGCTATTTTCCATTGCATTCCCACTTTAGCACCAACAAACAGACGTTATCACTTACTTCTCTCCCGAGTACACTCGTGGGCGTCGGCTTAGGGTGTAGTTCTTGCTGTGAGTGTGTCCTTGCCGTGTGGGATCGTCCAATGGCGACACTGTGGGAGGGTCTTCCAGAGGAGACCAGTAACTCTGTTCGCACATTCCTCTGAGCAAGATCTCTGCAAGCTGTCTGGCTATGGTCTGCATACACACACACATGCACACACATGCACACACACGCACACACATGCACATTTGGCAAAGACACTCAGTGCTAACACAGCAGCAATCTGTTTACTTGGAGCTTACTTTGCTTCAAATATACTTAGGTAACAGTTATATTAATGACTTTACCCCTGCACAGACTGTAATATGGATTCTTTCTGTACAAATAAAACCTAATATGAAGTCTACCTCCTTGTAGTGGGTTCTGTATCTACATCGATAGAAATCTGCGCTTAAGTTTAGGCTCGCCCTAGCCACTTTGACATTTTCAAATTGAAGCAATCTGTAGATAGCTGGGTATTACTTTGGAGGCAACAACATTTTTAAAGGAATAGTTTGAGATTTGGGGAAATAAATTTATTCTCCTTCTTGCCGAAAATTGGATGAGAAGTTGACACTGCTGTTAACTCCTCCCGGAAACTGTAAAGCTCACTAATTAACATGTTATATCTACCTTGTTTAATCCGTGCGTATCTCCCAAAATGTCAAACTATTCCTTTAAGTAAGTCAAAAAAGAAGCATGAGGGGATCCATAAACATCTCCTAATCTCAAAACAAAATATAAAAGGCCAACTTCCCAACCCAGTCCTCACCATGCGCAGGCTCTGGGTGGTTCTGTTCTCAACAGCCCGAAGAATCTCCCGAAACCGGCCCACGCCTCTAGTCAGGTTGCTATGGCAATGTGGTGAGGAAACAGGAAGAAAAACACTTGTCAGAGTCTGTAGGATGTGTATGTGTGAATGCAAGATATCTCAAAACAGACACGTGTGTATACTCCACTATGTTCGAAACATTTTCAAGTTTCCATCTATGAGAGTCAGTGAATTGGCGAATATTCAGTAGCAACACTAGCAGATGTTTCTTTGCTCCACAACTTTGCCAGTTTGCAAGATGATACAGCAAAAGCCTGTGTTACAGTGATGCTGTAAAGTAAACTACATCCCCAACATTAACATCCACATGTCTCAGGACTTTGATCTTTGATGTTGGTTTATATATTTTATATTTATTTCACACTGTGCTGGGCAATTCTGCATGCTGGTAGCTTCAAATGAGGTTTGAAATGAAGTTTTTTTGAAGGTTGTTATGGTCAGAGATGATGTATGTGATGTTGGCAAACAACAAAACTTTCTACTTTAAGTTTGAATTTCATTACTTGTGTGATGATGTCTTAATAGCAGACACCAGAATTCAATTGGATGAATATGGCACATCTACAGTGTGTACATTTAAGTTCCCCCTCCTGACACTGCAAAACAATGAGCTAGCACACAGGGAAAAAAGAGCTACAGAGACAGAAAATTGTACAGATTTCATCAAGGCCACTAAAAAGTTATTTCTTCCAGGACAAGGCTTTAGTAGCTGCCACGGCCCTGAAGCTCCCTCTGTACTTAAAACAACAACACTGTGGGAACTACTCTCTGTTGTGTGTGTTACTTAACAGTGTTCACACTTTGCTTTTATCAACCTGTCAGCAGCTTTGTAACACCATGACTGCAAAGTGGGTGGAAAGTGCCCACAACGGGTTGTTCTTTCTGTTGCGGCAACCATTCTAAACTAGAAAAAAACTGTGAAAGTGTATATACAAACTAACTTTCTTTTTGTCTTTGAGCAGTAAAATCTGTTGTGCTGTGGTTCTGAAGTGACTGACCGCCTGACTGTTCCTCTCTAATTTCCTTTTCTCTCCAATATCTATCTATCCATCACCACCCTTTTCCCTCTTTTACCCGTTCTTGAAGTGGATGACGTGGGCTCTCTGCAGGCCTGTCTCCAGGAAGTAGCCCAGTTCCAGGTCTTGGGCTGTTGGGCCGGGCTTTGGGCTGCGGTTCTGAATTCCCGCTGACAACGCCTGCAGAAACAGACATACGGCAATAAAGAAAGGAGAAAGAAAGAAAGGAAAAAAATAAATGACAGTGAGAGTTTAACCCAAATGAATGATGTGTTAAAAACTAATTAGACCGATCATACATTTGTCACTGCATTCAAATTATTTGTAACAGCAGAGCCCCAGGTTGGCTTTCACGTTTAATGAACAGCTATGGTTAACACACCGAAAACAGGGTTAACTAAAAATAATGAGCTGTGGTGAGTCAGCTGTATACCTATAACTGTAATTTCTGATTGACAGTTTGCCACAGCTATGGTGAGTTGTCAGACAATAAGTGCACAATAAATTCTCGAGGGAAACACTGAGACTCAAACTGCCGCACTCATTCTATTTCTAAATTTCATTTCTAAAGATGAAAAAGCATGAGACTTGATAACCAAGCAAGAAATTCAACAGAAAGGATCATATTTCTGTCTTTTGCAGCGAGTACAGTATGTGTGCTTGGGACTGAGATATGTACTTTTATTCACTATTGGTAACATACAGCTTTTTTGGCCTAAATGTTACTTGGATTATTAATCCAGCAGTGTCTCAAATAAATGATTATAGGGACATAATAATTAACTTTTGTTTGATAAATAAACTTGTTAAAATCTGCTGGTTTAGTTTGTGTATAAGGGGCAGTACACTGAGGTGAAATGTTACTAACAAGTGTTTTTAGAACGTCCATGTATAGTGTTTTCATTTATATTAAAATTCTTAATAAAGATTTAGGTAATTTGCTTAAGGAAAATCTGTATTTGTTCCATGTTGGTTTCATTTTGTAATTGTTACAACATGAAAAATGCAACCCTAAACAATCAATGTTAACTTCATTAATCTAATCAAATTTTAAGATCTGTAAAAGTCATATTAAAGATATTTTTAGGACTTTTTATGACCACACAGACACGCTGCGCTAAAATGTCTCTAGTTCCAGCTGCTCCGTTATGAGGATTTGCTGCTTTACATGATAGTAAACGTTGGGGTTAGGACTGCTGGTCAGACTAAATAACACAACTGAAGACTTCGTGACAAATATTTTTCACTATTCTATGACATTTTTAGATGAGGCCCTAAACCTTAGCTAATATATAATATCACTGTGATATTAAAAAAATATTCCTATAACTCAGTTTCCTTAGTGACCTTATCCAGGTGATATGAAGTTTACAGAATATATCTATATTGGCACTGTTTGATATACATCCTCCTGACATTTATTGCAGTTTACTCAGTCTGTTTGTCCTCTCAGACATCCTCAAAAAAAAAAAAAAAGAGGAAGAGATCTGTTTGCCAATTGGCTGTCATGGGCGGTAATGCATTAGTCAAACTTGCACACTGTCAGCAGAATATTCATCGCACACCCACAGGGATGGCAGAACACATGGGGGTCCAGGCGCTCACAAGACATTTGGAGAACGCTCGTGTGAGAAAATACTGCAGCAGATAGTTATGAGACAAGTAGGCCAACTTCAAACACTGTACGTAACAGACGTAACATAAAAAACTACCGGGCCACAAACACGTTACCTTCTCAGCCTCCTGCAGGTAGAGCAGAGCAATGTCTCCAGACTTTTCATAGCAGGTGATGATTTCCTGCTCCCGCTCTGTTGCGCCCCTATTGGACAACGGAGAGCCAGTGTTCTTATTGGATAGAGATGGGGAGGCAGCTGGGACCTTCTCTAAACACAGTCCTGAGGGGAGAGGGGGCGACAAGAGAGAGTGGGAAAGGATGGCCATGAGTCACTCATCAGTGTCTGGGATTCAGTTTAGCCTTTCAGACCATTTCTATATATAATTTCATATTTGTGGTAGAGTGGATCGCTGTAGTCTAACACTGGGATGATCATCTCCCTCTACTGATGATTGATTTGTGCCTCATAACGAATCATTTAAAGTTATCACATTCATATATTATCAACAAGCAATAAGTTTTCTCTTACACAGATAAATCAAATAAGAATAGAATTCATAAGACAGTACATCCCAAAGCTGTTCATCAGCAGTGACACTCTACTGCCACCATGTGGAGCAGAGCAGTAGTGCAGAGGTTAGAGCAGACTGGAGTGATGGCAGGTGAGGCGAGGTTAAGAATGAGATGAAGGCTGGGTGTTTATGTGTGTTTATACCTTTAGTAGCGTATGCCTCTGCTATCATGGACAGCCTATACACAGGAGCTCCCAATAGCTGCATGTCGTCCAGGTTCACCTTGCTGTAGTGACCTGTCAATACATCAATTAAAGACTAAATCGATCTGCACTTTTTTGATTGATAAAAACATAATGAACAAAAACGAAATATGAGAAGATAAACCAAGACAGAGGAGTGTGTGTGCTACCTAAAGCGTCTCTGTGTTCTCCCTCCACATAGCAAAGTTTAGCCATCAGCACGCTGGCTTCCTGAAGGTAATCGGCCTGCAGGACAGAAGATAGGAATTTAAAAAGTCTAAATATATACAGATTTTAATGTACCGATTTTGAAGAGCTTACATTAACCACATTTTGTTTGTGGCACACTGAGACAGAAACACGAATCAATTTGTAAAATAAGTAAGAAACAAACTGTAACAAGTGACAACACAATCAAGATCCACAGTTACCTTGAGGTTTCCTCTGTCCAGAGCAGCAGTGAGGTGTTTCCTGACCTCCACTAGTTTGGGTTGGGGGCCCCTGGGGCTGGCTCCCTGTTTGATGGGGTTCTCCTTCAGGTACGTCTGAAGCTTGCATTCCCCAAGCAGCAGCTCCCCTAGGTCATCTACACACACACACACACACACACACACACACCACAAGATGTTTGCCAGATTAAATCTAAAATCAATCTAATCTAATACTTAATCTAAAACTGATATATAGTTGATCCAGGATCACTGTATTGCATTGTAAGGTCAATCTAAGTTTAATCTAGATAGACAATTTAAGGTCTAAATAACAACACAATTGACAATCTAATGACAATGTGTCAGCCTTAAGGGCTCTCCTGGCTGTACATACCAGCCTGTATTATATACAGCCTTAACAAGCTTCTTAATCCAGTGAGTGAGTGTGTTTAGAAGCTCAAAGGGTGAAATGAGCAGTAATCCTGTTACTGATGCCAGCTCGCAGCTCTCAGTACATTCCATAATGGTAGCAACACGGATTCTACATTATTCTATTTAATATATAATATACTGACTTATATTCTACGCAAGAATAACATGTGGAAACATTTCTCGTCAAGATAAAAATGTTATTTCACTGAAAGCCAACAGACATCAGATGCTATTACTTATTTTTGCCGCATTTAGGGTCTGGGGGTGTTTAACACACTCACTGAAGCCATTAGAGTTGTTTTGTTTTGGCTAACAGTCGACACTGATCTATCAATATTTCTGTTTTATGACTTCAGGCAGCATATAGGAGATATAAATCACACTAGAAGTCTTTATGGTAATTAAATGTATTAACTACCATGAGCAGTCTGCCTTTGCTATTTGCAGTGGTGGCAAGATAGACACATCTGCAACAGAAGAGCATCGGTCAGTCTGGAGGATCTATTGCATGAGGGCCACCATGAGTAATATTTAAATGACAGTGGGTGAATGTAAACTGGATAGGATGGTGTTTACATGTAATTCTTTTAAATCTGCTTGTATGTAGGGCAGCTCATTTTCATATGAAGAGGAGTTGATATGATATCAGATGTGAAGAAGGTAAACATCTACAGCACATATACAGGTGGGCTTTTATGTTTACACAAACAGCTTTACTATTGCTGTGCTGCCTGCTGTGCAGCTGACAATCCAGCATCAGTAAGGAGTTTGACAGCTAGCATGTAGCAATCACGCAAGTTAGCCACACAGCTAACTTCAGTGAAACTAGTTACGATGCGGAACCATAAATAAAAACCTTCAGATTTCAGAATTTGGTTAGTTTATGATAGAAGTCAAGCAAAGACATCATTAACCTTAAAGTGACAGATTTCTGAATGGAGTTCGGTTGACGGGAGAGCGGGAGAAGACACAGCTGTCAGACCACAGGAACTAATGGTCACAGAGTAAGTTCTCCGTATCTTCACATCAGTGTATCTCGGTGTGCGCACACCGCACTGCCGAACAGTGGTACAATCCTTTGCTAGCTAACGTTAACTGGCTCTAACCACAGCGCACAGTGCTGGAAAACTCCCAGCATCGGCTGCCGCTGTCAGGAAGTACCGAGGACTCCGAGCAGGGAGAAGGCCTTACACACTGAATGAACCAACAAAAGGGACCCCGCACATTTCTTACCGTTTGATATTAGTTTGGCTGAGAGCTGTCGTACTAACTCCGGTATCTTGTCCCACTGACTCTCTGAACGGCACCGCTCTATCTCGGTCTCCAGTCGGGAGCCAGACTTCCTCGCTGTCATTTTGGTGAGTGGGGGCTCGACTGGACCAAAACACCACAAGACGAGCTGACGTCAAGCTCATGCTCACGAGAAGTACGGCTTCCGGTCAATCATTTCGAAATAAAGCTTTATTTGCTAATGGTTGGGAATTTACAGGACAGTATCAGCTTGAATAAAAAAACAAAACACGTATGGTTTAACTTGTTGTCTTAGTTGACACATTGTAACGGGTTGAGATCACTTTTAACTGTTAAAAAAAAAGAGTTAAGAGGACAAAAGTGAGCAACTTACTGGGGTAAAATAGTGACATCTAGTGGCCCAGAGTTTATAATTACTTTCCTCTTTTTTTCTGTTTGCCAGCAGGGTATTTTCCTTCTTCCTGGTTTTCTGAATTGACTGTTGGTCTCTCACAGGATCCCTGTTGAAATCTGATTGTGTACATATAAAACCACACACAGCCTGAAAAACATTTCTGTCAGCACAACATGCCCTTTTCACAGGTGGCATTTGGACATGTTTCAGCAGGAAAAGGACAGGAGTAAATATTAAAATGAATGAATCCCATTGAGCTGCTTCAGTTTCACGGTCCTGGTATTCTGAATGTTGGCTCACTGTCATTGCTTTCTGTTGAACAGCTGAATAGAACAAAAACCACAAAAATTAGAAGAAGTATTCATATTTGTTGAAGTAAAATTTGCACTACTACTACTCTATTATATTATATTCATTGCATTATGCAAGACTAAAAAAGTATTAAAACATGCAGTCAAAATGGTCTCTGTCAGTGTTATATTATATATGTATATTATACTACTGAATTATTATTAATTCTATATAATTATTTATTTACGTTTCTTGGTTTCTTGGCGATTTTATCAATAAAAGAAATCTCTTCATAAAGACAATCTATATTGTGCAGAACATTTACCATCCAACCATTGACTGATGTCAATGTCCCCGGGTCCTGCACAAAAAGCTTTTATTGTGAAGAAGAAGCAGGAAGTGTTGGCCGCGGCTCACAGACACACAGACCGTAGTGAGGTGGAGGGGTTGACTGAGATGGCAGATTTGTCGTTGTATTTAACTAACGTGAACGTTTCACTCGGACAAACTATGGAAACTGACAAGGTTAGTCCGTGCGATACAACTTTCGTCATTTTTAATGTTTGTGAAAGATAAAATAAAGACTTTTTAGATTAATAACGAATGACTTCCTTAGCGAAGAAGCTAACGTTAACAGTCAAACAAAAAGTAGCTGAAGTTAGCTAATGAACACACAATGCTTTACAGTGGTAACCGTTTACCGTCTGTCATAAACTTTACTGTACTTTTCCTCCCTCTGTAGCCAACGTTACTGTACATAATGAGATAAAAGACACAAGTCACTTGTAACGCTAGTTAAATAACTTTGTTAGGTAAGTTTCTGATGTTTTATTTATATGATTTCTCTTGTGTATGCTAACAGAGGGAGAGGGCACAGCGCTTTGCTTATGGACACTTTATCATTTACAAATTACACTAAAGCTGATAATAATAATAATATAATGTGTATTACTAATAATAATGGCGAGTACATCATATATATGTATTGTCTATTTTGAACTAGTGTCAGAGCCCAGAAGGGGCGACAGAGTTTGAGAGGGTGGAGATGGGAGACTCTGCGGGGAGGCAGGTGAAGGTCCCCCGCAGGACCATCTACTTTGCCAGTGGAGAGACCATGGAGGAGTACAGCACCGATGAAGAGGAGGAAGAGGAGGAGCCTGCGAAGAAAGACATCATTACTGTTGATTCGGTATGCTCCAGCCACTTAGGTTGATTTTTACAGATACTGAAACAGCCTCTGATGTGAGGCAGGTCCTGTGGGTGGTGTTTGCATCAGAGCAATCCTTCTTTTAGGCCTGTTTATCAAAACATAAATGGCCAGTCACTTGCAAATTTATTTCAGTTGGCCAATTAGTCTTGAAACGTAAGACTGGCAGCCTATTGCCGGGGTAAAGTGAACTATATGAGCCTCACTGCTGTCCCAGTTCTCATAGAGCATTTGGAGCCCTTGCGCCTGAGGACACAGACACTTTTAAATCCTGTATTGATGCCTGAGACAGAATCTTAGGTGACATTTGTACTTTTGTGTTTAACCAGCAGACGTGGGCTAATTTTCATGGTTCTCTCCTCATGTATTTCAGTCCAAACTGACCTGGGGTCCCTATTTCTGGTTCCACATGTGGAGAATGGCGACCTCCACTGTCTCAGGTAAAGCAGCCTACTGTCACAGTTGGCATTCATGCTAGCAAGGATCAATCACATGTTACTGGGTTCTTACCTGTCATGGAAATCCTGAGGTGTTTTCTACACAGAGGAAGCCAGGAAATGTTTTAAATGCTCTGGAATATTATCTAACTGTACTATTTGTTTTACAGGAATGTATCAATGTATATTACAGCTTGTTTCACTCTTCTTTTCTATATATCTTGGTTTTGGAGTTATCTTTATTGACTGTATGTGTGTGTGTGTTTCCTGTAGTGTGTGACTACATGGGAGAGAGACTGGCCTCTCTCTTCGGCATCACTTCTCCTAAATACCAGTATGCTATTGATGAGTACTACCGTATGAAGAAAGAGGTAGGGCACACACATCCTTGAGTTTCATATGTCAGTTGTATATATAAATATGAATAAAGTCACACCTTCTGTTTACACAGAGGCAGGAGCAAGAACATGAACTCTCAGATAAAAAGTATTCAATGTTGAACACACTGTTCTCCTGCAGGAGGAGGAGGAAGAGGAGGAGAACCATCTGTCGGAGATGGCGGAGCGTCGCTTTGCGGAGCAGCGACGAGGTGAGCAGGATGATCCTCGTCCCGCTACAGTGGAGCAGCCAGAAGGGTCCGGAGCTTCCTTTGTAAACATCAGCTTTGAGCTCCAACCTGAGCCTTCTCTCAGCACTCCAGACAGAGTCCCTTCTCCACTCCCCTCCTGAAGACTGACACTCCTTGTCAAACCATTAATATTCAAACATTTATATCAGTTTGCAAAACCTTAATTTACCTAGCTGTATAGATTAATAATATTATTTTTCTATGTTTTTATTTTATAAAAAGAGATCTTAGTACACAGTGCAGGGAAACATTTAAAGGGCTGTGGAAGTGGCTGCACTGGCCTTAGGTGTGAATGTAAATTTGTGTATAGTGTGAAAAATCATATGCAAGACTGAGACGTGTCTTTTAACTATTTGTTGAGCAGACTGCGACTGGGATCAACTCACTTTAAGTTGAGTTGAGAAGGTGAAATAAATGCTGGATTTTAGTCTTATTGAGAAATAGACCTCAATCTCAGTTTTTTCATTAATTACAAATGGATAAAGAGCCACCCTGAACTGGAGCAGCAGCATTAACAGACACATGCTACATCTACTGTACAACTGTTGATCCTGCTCCTTTTGTATATGCAAAGTAAGACATTTCATAAGTTTAGCCAATTTTGCCAAGCCATTTCCACTCTCAAGTTGCTTCCTGCACATCTGAGTGTAGCAGTGCTGGATAGTATTTTACTTCCAAACTATAAAGAGATGAGCAGGCAGTGATGACATCAGTACCCGGAACTGGTGTAATGCACTGGGACCGTGTTGTACTCTATTTCAGCCAATCATAACCAAACGTAGTCCTTGAGTTTCATCAAACGGCACCTTTAACATCAATTATAAGTTCAACATTTTATCCAAATACATATGACAACCCTACAGCCTTTTAGCGGTCATGAATACTTCCTCACATGTGGAATATTGTGTCTTGGTCAATTACATACAGAGGCATTAGCCATGGATCACTGTTGCAGAGTCAGACTAAGGGCTGGTTAATCCAAAAGCTAATTTAATAGGTTTCATGCATTAATTACTAATTTGACCACAATCTTCTAACATCTTATTTCCCTTCAGAGCATAACATCTGCCTGATGTTGTGTTACTTAAGCAGCTCATATTTAACTTGTTGTTGTGTCCCTCCTGGTAAGCATTATATCCTAAGTCATTGGAAATGGCACAGTAGAAGCCACCCAGCAGTGACTGGAGCTTAACTCTCTCTCTCTCTCTCTCTCTCTCTCTCTGCTAGTAATTTTGTACTGTACTTGACTGTGTAGTCAGTCACAGGCTTCATTGAAAAAAACCTCCTGTTCTTAAGAGGTGTCACAGCACCACTTTGTTCCTATTGTGCAGCTTGATTTACGCAATTGAGATTTGGAGGCAGGCAAGAAGAAGCGGCAGTTTGTCGACTTCAATGCTAATCTCAAAGAAATAAGCTGCTTTCTTTACCTGCCATAATGTAAAAAAATGTTTCTGTAATGATACTTTAAGTGGTTGACAAACAGAAACAACTTTACATTATGTAGAACAAATTGTTTTTTTCTTGGAAATGCCAAAAGTGCAAATTCTTTAGCCAATGTAGATCAAATAATATCAATATAGCTCAAATATTCTGCTAGACCTCAAATGTATTGATGACTGATGATTTACATTGGCAAGGAAAGTTGCTCACATACATTTCCACTTTGTTCGTGTGTGTTGAGGGGTCATTCTTAAAGTGTCCTTGTGGAAGAGATTGATATAAGTGTCTAGCTGCACAGCAGGCCTAATGCTGAGACTGAGCTCTCATAAGCCTCTTATTCGTTATTTTTATCCTCTGATATCGCTGTGTGGTGACCAGATGCAGAGAAATTACGCACACCTCTTTTCAAAATGAGCCTTAAAGTTAAACAGAGTGAAATTTAAACATATCAGACATAGTGTACGGCAAGTTAATAATACTTAGTGGGTAAATGTCTCTCACTACATGAGTCAATGAATAATTTTATTCATGCTTTTTTTTTGTAAAAAAGGGACAACATATGCAAATGTTTTGGTTATTTTAACAAACTTAATGAATCTGTATATATGTATTTATATTTAATAAACCCTTTAAACATTCAAAAGGTTGGCTTTTGTTTTTAGTATTATACAGTTTACCAAAAAACTGTTGACCACCTGTTTTACTTGGATTTGTTCATATTCATCTTATCTAATCAGAATCAGAAATACTTTACTTACTTACTTAATAAAACTCATGGAGATGGATCTTGTTTGTTTATAGTTTTAAATTACTTCTGAATCAATCTAGTCAAGCTAAATCAAATTTTGTGGCAAAATTATGCACCAAAAAATGACTTCTATTCACTGACAAAGGCCTTGAGAAGCCTTAAATTAAAAGATACTAAGTATACAGGAGCAAATGTAAATCAAATATTCACTTTCTTCTAGGTCTCTACCAACACCTGAGGGAAATATCTGGCTACTTAATGCTCCACCATATTCACCAGATAGTTGTCTGTCTGTCTGTCTGTCTGTCGTGTAGTGCTTGCCCAGTAGTGTACAGTGGGTTTCATGAGCTTTTCCACCAAAAACAGCTGCCCACTTCAGCCAAAAATTCAACAATGAGTGAACAAAAACAGAAGTTGCAAAGCCAGAAAACCAAAACAATGAGCTGAAAGACGCTACAAAGCGCTGTAGCGCTGAGGAGAACAGAAGAGTCACATGATGATATGAGTGACCATTTTCACATTTGATCCAACATATTGATTATAGCCACTTTACGTTTGACAGTCAATCAGTCGCTTATTAAACTCTTGTATTTTGTCTTTTAGATTTTCTCACCGGTTTGATTTCAGTGGGTGTAAACGATAAGAGGCTTCCATTATACAAAGAAAAGTGAAACACTGCTGGAAAAGGAAACATTTACTTTAAAAAGGCCAATGAGAAAATACATGTGTATTCTTTACAGGAAAAGACAGGAACACAGAACAATATAATAATATATAACAATATACACAAATCACAGCATCTGGCTTTCCTCAGAGGGAGCTGAGTCAGCAGTAACAGTACTTGGCTTTCAGGTCGGGACTGAAACTGTGAGCCTTCTGGTGACAGGAGAGTCTCCAAATCATCTTCAGGTGTCATCTAGGTCAGCTGTGTTGCTGCTGTCGTTGTCGTTGGCGACCAGCACTTCTCTGTTCTCGTAGGTCCAGAAGCCGTTGAGGTCGATCAGGATGCTGGTGACGGTGTCGCCCTGGCAACTGTTTACCAAGTCCTGCAGAGTGATCCTAAAGGGGTCTTTAGGCTTCACCATGTCAAAGATCTCATCCTGAGGAGAGACAGTGATCAAAATGTTAATCTTTTCTTACCCCAAAACAAAGACTCTCTTGGTGGAGGGTCTGTACAGGTTGGTTGAACCTTTGTCAACCAAAATAAATGTGTGTAACATACCTTGACATCCTGGAAGGAGACAGGCTCTTGCCCGTGGAGTTTCATCTGCTCCTGAATGGCCTGAAAAACCAAGCACACAAACAGTACCATGAAACACTGACATAACAAAGTGAGTGCAGTCGTGATAATATGGTGATATTTTGTGAATTAATGTAACATGTAAATGGCCCTAATAGTAATAGAGACAAGGTATTCTCTGTGTGTCCTCAGTGTGTTTGTGTGAGGGTTGTGCAGCTGATACCCTGAAGAAATAGTTGAGGGAGAATACATTGAGGTATCCTCGATTCTCCATGTCCAGAAGTTTAAAAATATACTGTATGGCCGCTGGCTCCTTCCTGTTTTCCAACGCCAATACAAAGTCCAGATAGGTCTTATAGTCCTGAGAGAGAAGAAGAACACAATTATGAACGGTAATATCCAATTTAGACCCAAAGCACACAAGTCTATATTTACACTGTTGTGCTGTTGTTAATTGTACCATTTCTCCGTCATAGGTGAGACACTCCTGAAACACTCTGTCCAGGAAGACTGAGGTGAGCGTAGCTGTGCCGTAGCGTGAAAGCTCCTCTTTGCTCAACATGCCGTTGTGGTCCTTATCTAGGTTGAGGTACTGGCCTGTACAGACAGAAATAACAGAAAATAAAACAGAACACCACTTCCACCCAAGTCTTGTCACTTAGCTGGCACATATAATATATATGTAACTTATCATTCAGTGCTGAAAATGATCTGCACTACAGAAGACCTACATTGTTCTCAAGGATCATTTAACATCGTGAACATTTACATCAAGACGTTTTCTCACCGTAGACTCGGAGAGCTGAGGGGGCCGAGAACCAGTTGCTCTCCTGACTCTCTTTAGACAGCTCCTCATCTCTCAGCTGGGAGCACAGAGGGAGAGAGAAAGAGAGGAGAAGCAGGAAATGACATCAGCTGGTCTCGACACACACTGGGAGTATTACTTACTACAGGTAGTTCTTAACTGATCATAAAACAGAACACAAAATGACAGTTCCTTGTAACGATGAATCTGCCTAGTAATGCTGACTATTTTGTAAGGTAAGAAACCTTATGTACCTCCAATAAGTCGTCCAGAAAACTGCAGGCCAATATATCTTGGATTTTAATCTTTCCTGAAAAACAAAAACAGAGACACAAACACCCTCAGTAAAGGAAATGTTGTTCACTTTGTGAACTTTTCTCTTCCTGTAACACAGAACATATATACAGAGTTGCGTCCTTATAAAAACACAATACCGCCACAAACATTACTTCTAACAAAGCACACATGCCCTCTCTGGACATGTTTCTGTACAATCCATTTGAAATTTTTAATACACTTTGACATGTACTATTCAACATTTTACTGCAGAGACACATTTTCACCCTGTGTTGGCATCAGTCTCACCTGTTCGGAGGGGGTCGAGGAAGAAAAAGAACTTGCGAACGGCGGTGCAGACATAGAAAGAATAGAAGGACTTCTCCAGTCCGTCTAGCTGAGGCAGAGTGGGGATCAGCTCCAGGATGTAGTTCTCCAGATCCTACACAGAATAATGAGTGTCAACTTTTCCTTGCATTTTTTTGTATTTCACTGTAACCATTATTCTCCTACTGGCTGAAAATCTCAATGCTTACCGACTCTCTCAGGTGGCCCTGTCCTGCTACATCGTACAGACTCAGACCTATCCTCGTCTGATGCAGCCAGACTAGATGCACAGAGAGAATAGAAATTAGCAACATTCAGTGACAAGAGTACACCAGTACAGATAAATTCAGGGCTGGGAGATATTTCACTATATGTAAAAAGAGACCAGATAGACAACAAAGCCAAGTGAAGGTCCAGACCTTTCCTCATGACATAGTTGAAGAACTGCATGATGGAGATCCTGCCGTAAGGGTCGCTGTGCAGCAGCTTGGCGTACACTCTGGCTGTGAAGAATTTTCTGAAGGATGAGAGAGATCTTTTACTTTTCACTGCATTACTCTGTTTGATTTTATCCCCCCTTTACATCTGCTATAAACATGTTCCTCTTCCTATGTATCTTAGCTGGATTTTATTGTTCAAGACTTTCAAAGCCAGATTTCTCTTTGCTTTCCCACAATGAAAATGTCTTTTAATAATCAATCCCTGGACATTACACACATTGACAAATTTTCCATCTGCTTTATGTGTGTCACGTCCTGTTTGAAAAGTTTTTTTTTTTTTATAGTTTATTTACAGAGTGCGTATGTAGCTTGGGTTGTTTAATGTGGCTAAATACATCTCTGACAGACTCCAGAGGAAGTGATCACATTTTCAGTGCTATTAGGATTTTATGTGTATTTGCCTGATCTGAATATACAGTTATCCCATCAGCCAAGACAGACTGACGCCAGGTGGACATAAAGTCAAGCTGATAGGGGGATTTTCCATAATCGACCTTTGATCTAGCATGAGGCAAATGAGAACACTGTTCTGTAAAACAATAGTAGCACAGGGGGTTTTCCCTAAACTGTGCTGTTGCCAGCAAACCTCTACTTCTTCCTGTTACTCACTTGCACTTGGGCCCCGCCTTCTCCCCCACCTGCAGGTAGGCTTCATAGCTGATCATGGCCTCCTCCCCACTCACTGGAGGCACCTGGTGCTTATCGAGCAGAAACCACAGATTCTACAGAAAAACACAAAGACAACAAAGTGACAGTGAATGACAAACCTGCAGTGTTGCAATTCATGCAGAAATATGGCATCATGTTGTACCTGTAGTTCCTCATTATCCAGCAGTTCTCTGCTCTTCCTCTGGAGGAATACGGCTCTGGACTCCTCTCTCAGCTTCTGAAGTAACACTTCATCCTCTGCTGGTAGCTGCAGAGCAACATCATCATCATCACCTTAGTTATGTTCACTCGTGCACATATTTATCATCAAACAACAAGCCTGTATTGTGGCACCTTGCTGGCAACTACACATCAGTTATAACATGATCAACATCATAATCTTCTTCATCAGTACCACCATCACTGTTGTTTAAGTATGAATGCTATATGCTACTGTAATGTGAGAGCATTAAGCCATACTTCAATTAAGATATGAGTTATTAGAGCTACAACTGCATGGCAGTAGGTTGTTTTCATCTGGTGTCATATATTATTAATACATTGTAGGGTGTCCTGTCATAAAGTAGCTTATCAAACTCAAACTATCAACTACCTCATCTTCCTACAAGAAAAGTGACCCTTTTCTTTAAATGGAGATTTATTGAAGACACACTGTTAGGGGGATTTCAGTGATTTAGTCCTCTGTTTATCATCATAACATCAAAATGACCTGAATGACAATAGTTTCCATTGGGTTCACATAATAATGTATTATTTGAATAATATACCCTGTAGTAGAATCGTGGGATGTTCTTGTAGGACTTGTCTCTGTCGCCTCCTCCCTTCCACTCTGTGTAATATTTGGTGAACAGCTCAGTTTCTTCTGCTTTCATTTCCTCATCGCTTCTCTCATCTGTCCAGGAACAGGGACACAAAGTTAACGTTGACTCAGCTAACAGCTAACCAATCCACAGCAGCTAACGTTAGCCAGTATGTTAGTTTACGTTACCTTTTTGGGACTTTGCTAACCTCCTTTTCAAAATATCCGACCAGTGAGGCTGTTGTTCTTTAGCCATTGCTGCTCCGAACTAGATCTAATATTTATTCAGTAAAACCTTTTTACACTAAAAGTCAAACACAAGCAGTGTGAAGTCGACTTGTGTACAAAAGTAGCCAAGCTACTCCAAAACAAGAATGTGGCTTCCGGTTGAATTTTTGTCTATTCCAAAATAAAATAAATTAAAAACTTAATTTCTATTAATTTGGAAAACCCAACGCCCACCAAAGACAAACAATTAAGCAGTAAAGTAAATGTCTTACAGTTGCTGTCCATTCAAATCGAATATTTAAGTCATCAATGCAATCATTAAAGGAAGTATCAGTCCATTTAAATCAAAGGTTGAAGGAAAGCACAAAACAGAGGCTACAGAAACAGAGTATATAATAAATGCTCCTGAGCAAATCTTTAGGAAAATAATAATATTCCTCAAATAATTGTTTTTTTTAACTATTGACAGTATCTATAAGTTCTCATCTGATAAAATGTCCATTCATTTTGAAACCAAATTGCTATATCCGGTCTTTCTCGGGTTATCTTGAAAAGCTTGACGCAGCTGTCAAGCGTTGATGACGTCAAAGTGTGCGACTGGAGTCATGCAGTTGTAAGCATTTGGTCGTAGACATCTTATGATTGTCAGTGAGTCTGTCCATCGCATCAAATGTGGATATCGGGGCGAAGAGTGAGCCACATTTAAAGTGTTAGAATGAAAGCTACGAGAGAGTGACTGTCTGTCTCATTTATTGTTTATTTACAGTTTATTGATTCATGTAGCTAGTAGCATGTGTTAGTTTTGCGGTCATTTGGTGTGGGGCCATACGTTTCCACAGTTTGTTAGTTAAGGATTATAGATGATTTATAACTCAAGTGAAATCAAAGTGTAGTAAATGGTACATTAATATATTAAGGTCACACAAGCCCAGAGGTTAAACATCCAAACATGGGCCCCACCTTGATATTAAGACTCGGGATATGCCAGAAACCCTTAAAGTCTTTATTTCACAGAGGAAGTTCAGCTCTTTTTACATTAAAGACACCGCTGTGCGAGTCGTTGCAGCTACCTCTCTCTGCACGCTTTCTGTGCACCAGAGACAACAACCCCCACCCAGGTGGCAGACAGACAGACAGAAGGATCGGTGGGCAGACTGATGGACAGGCGAGAGTAAGAAATAGCACCATCAGATATACGGAAGAGGAAGATTGGCGTGACGAGGTGAAAGGAAGGGGTAAGAGCCCCACTTTAAGGCAGAAGCCTTCCTTCCCCAGATCTGTGTTTGCTGCCGGGACAGCAAAGAGGACGGCAGAGATCATGAGCAGGAAGGCAGCTCTGGTCTCTAGGGACCAGCGAGAAAAGGAGCCAACGAAAAGAGAAGGTAGAACAACATACTGGAACTATGTTCTTTAGTCGGCATCATTTTTCTCTTACAGTCAGACTTTTTGGTCCAACATTTCATAAAACAATGAATAAAACATGCATCTAAGAAAGTGTTTGGGAATCATTGTTTCAGTTTCATTCACAGAGAAGATGCAGCCTCCTGACCGGCCACTGTCTGCAGCTGAGTGGAGGAAGCTGAAGGAGTCTTACGGAAACATCCCGCAGTTTGACATTATGATGATGAACGTGATGTTGAACTCTGAGACGGAGCTGGATATCACCAAGTGAGAGCAGATTTTGAACAATTCACATATAAGCAAGGCAAATGTGCTCTGAAGGTCAATGAATTAAGAATGTGTCTGTGACAAACATGTACAACATGTTCTGCAACAGGTCCCTGCTGACTTTTGTAGCCACGGAAAGAGGGACGCTGTCTTATGAACTGTTGCTACGGTACCTGACACTGTGTGAGAGATACGGCCATGACGCAGAGATGTTTGATGTCTATGACATTATGCGGGGAAGCTTCCCTTCTCTGGACACTGGAGCCTGCAGCCTCTTCATCAAGCTCTTCACCCGGACGGCGAGGTGGAGGGAGGCTCTCACAGTCCTGCAAGATATTAAGAAGGTGAACAGGGTTTTGATTGTTATTTTAATAAAAAATGAACCTCATATGGATGGGAGCTTCTCTATCATCACCCTGTTTTACCGTCATCCTCACAGGTCATTACTCCATCACCACGAAACTATGGTTGTATCATCTCCGCAGCGATGGTCAATGGCGACCTGACCACTGCCTGGGCTCTTTATGATGAATTAATTGAAAAGGGACTGAGTCCACACCAGGAGACCTGGGGCTCTATGTTTAAGGCAGTGGGGAAGACCAAGGAAGAAAATGGGGAGAAGACAGAGGCCATATCTCAGTCTGAGCACCAGGAGAGGCTGCTGGGGATTCTGCTCTACATGAGGAACAACCAGATCTACCCCAAGCACAGCCTCGCGTGCACCATCAGCGCCTGGTTTGAGAGGTACGAGAGTGTCAGGAGGGAAACTGAGGCTGGATTCACATTATACAATTCCTGAAATCATGAACATCAGTTCTCTAAACTGTCGCAAAGTCTTTCAAAATGATATAGTTTGGATACTTTCACAATGTTTATATAGCACCTAGACCTTATTTATAATCATAAAATACATGGAATTTTCACTTTCTACGATATGGGACCTTTTTAAAACCATAATATGGCCAGTAAACTATAACTCTGAGTGAGTGTTGCTGACGAGTTGTACTTAGATATGTCTTCTGAATACATTTCAAGTGATTTTCCTGAGTTCCTAACCTTTTATGCTGATAAAAACAAGATAAAATTGCAAACCAGCATTCAAAGTAATTTTCCCTTGTCTGTATAAACTTAATACAATCTCATTGCCTTCTGTTTTTATCCACCTCAACTGATCACTCCTCGCTCTCATTTCTCTGTTTTCTGTCTGTCTATCCTCGCTGTCTGCAGTCTCACAGGGCAGAACTGGACAGGAAGTTGGACCAGCATCTCCCCAAAGTAATCACACCACCTCCTGCTTATATGTGTTTTTATCATCCATATTTGTGCATCGGAAAAATGTGTGTTCTGTATGTATGCATGTGTCATTTATGTGTGTGTTTAGGGGTACGTGTAGGTGTTGTGGGGCTGAGTTAGAGTCCACCCAGCTGACTGATGAGGAGTACCAACAGCTGAAAGACAGAGTGTTCACTGACATCATTCACGGACAAGATGTTTTCAAGAAGACTACACCAGAGGTACACACACACACACACTAAGCAGGGTTTCCATTGTTTCTTAAGAAATCTTAAAAAGTCTCTAATGATTGGGGAATCCAGTACTGTTCCAAAGTGTCTGATCCATTGGAATCATATGCAACCGAGCGTATTGCAAAACAATGATGTCAAACCCCTGGTTACACTACTGGGAACTTGCAACACGAAGGACTCATGGCGGAGCGGAATAAATGGTCCACAGTGTGGCTTAATTTCACCAAAAGACTCAAACTACTATTAAATATAGTCTTTTTCTGAGCACTCAGAGATAATAATAATTGCCTTGACACTGAAATCCTTTGTAGGCCTACTTTGTTTCCACACAGAAAACTGAATCAATAAAGAACTTATAAGCAGAATCGATAATGGTAAAATCTTATAAAGTCCAACTAATGATTCAAATCCAAGGTCATAAAGAGCATTTAAATAGCTTTAACACATCTCTACTAAGACTTGAAGACATAATATGCAGGTTTATTTTTTATTTAATTTCACTGTATGCAGTTATGAAATTATAAATTGGTTTTAAAACAGTTTACATTTACAATATATGTTTTTATTAACTGGTTTGCATTTCCAGTTTGTCCATTAAATGTGATCTACATTCATATTAACCTTAAGATTTATACAGGACATGATAAATGATACATTATACTAATCCTGGTTGGTATCAAAGGTTTGTTATATTTCAGTTCAGATCTTTTAAGCTATGTTCCATTTGAAATAGTGTGTTTTTTGCTTTTATTATAATTGGAAACAATGAATCCTGAAACAACAATTCCATGTTGTTGTAATGTGTGAAAACTCTAAACCAAAAATCAGATTTCTCTCTAACCTCTGCTAGATGGCGCTCTGGTTACACATACAGCACTTTACTGTTGAGGTTAGTTCAAACTGCTTAGTGAACTCTAGTTAATACTTTCACTCTCTAGATGAGAGTAAAACAGCTTCTGAACAGATCTCCTTTTGATGCAACTAGCGATTGTTTTCACTCTTTGTGCTTGCCAGCATAACAAAGTCATTACCTTTTTCATCACCAGTTACATTAAATTAATTTGTTGTGCTCACAGCAGTCTCGGAAACATAAAGCAGAGATGAGAGGAATAATTTGACATTTTATTTTGACATATTCGCTTTCTTGCAGAGAGTTAAATGAAAAGATTGATGTCACTCTCATGTCTGTCTGTCAAATAAGAAGCTAGCAACAGCAGCAGGTTAGCTTAGTTTAGCAAAAAAGGCTGGAAACAGGAAGCCTGGCTTTGTTCGAAGCACCTCTGAAGCTCACTATATGTTAAATCTTTGTTTAATTTGTAAAAAAACCAAATAGCATCTAATACAGCCTAATGATGTAGCACAGCTGGATTAAATTAACATTTGGTTCGCTACACTACATTATTAAGCTGTATTAGATGGTAATTATCTTGCATTGATAAAGCCACAAGCCAGTTTCTGTATGAACTAAACAAACAAGATACAGCATGCTAATTAGTGAGCTAAATGTTTGCCTTGTTTCTAATGTTTATGCTTGTGCAGTAGGTTGGTAATTTAATATTTACATGAAACATGAAATGGAAATGACATGATGATATTTTGTACGTGTTCAGGTGGCAGGGAAAAATGTTTCCTAAAGCAAACGTGTGTGTGTGTGTGTGTGTGTGTGTGTGTGTGTGTGTGTGTGTGTGTGTGTGTGTGTGTGTGTGTGTGTGTGTGTGTGTGTGTGTGTGTGTGTGAAGGCTCAGTGTATCAATGACAGTATCAGTCATTCAGCTCATAATTTTAAGTGCTTCCAAAGCGACAGGACTCACACTACCTTCAGCGTACAGACAATCTCGATACTAGCAAACAGGACATGCAAAGTTGAAAACAAAGTGAGGACTGTATGGTTTAAGTTATATTACCCTTTTATAGCCAAAAGAAGGCAGTGATCGTTTTATCTTGCGTGCATATGTG